TCTCTTTCTCATACACATATACACCCGCTTTACGCACGCACGCATACACAGAGAGAGAGCGAGAGTGAGGGAGAGAGAGACACACACAGAGAGAGGGAGAAAGAGAGAAAGAGAGAGCAAGTCCTGTTAACCCCCTAAACAAATGCTTGACACCTCGATGTGGTTGTACAGGTTTTTCTAAGCAGACTCGATAATTCAACCAAGGCATGTCTTTTTAAAATATGCTGAGAAACTTGAGAAACCTGCATTTTGTTTTGACCCTATTATTGTCTTGACTCTTTATTGTCCTTGAAGTAATAAAAAGTAGGTTACATAGTAAGAAAACATTAGAGTACATAAAGGAAAAAAGTCAAGTAATTATGATGCCCTGGAATGGTGTACATGGGTTTGGATGTGGAGATTGTAGGCTAATGCATTGGTAAGGATATGGAAACAGCCTTTTGTAACACTTTCTTGTGACACTGTTCCTTTAAGAAATATAGGCAAATATGGGCAAATATGGTGTTGACACTGAACACTGCCTTTGGTGGTAGAGCATGAGAAAACAACTTCCCTATACATCATTCTTCTGCATCCTGATCACAAGCTGTTAGCTACATCAGTAAATTAAGACTATATGACACAGCACATGAAGATAATATTGAACATTCAGTCATTATTTTGATTGACACTATTATGGGCCTTTTTTTATTTGACTACATTTTATATTCCATTGACCTTAACAAGGGCCCCAGGACCAGTGGAAGCAAAATAGCCCCATCTTTTTTAGGAAAATAAATATTACTTGTTAAACAAAATCTCTTTCTCTGAGTAATTGTATTAGTATAAAATAATATAATTTCCCCGTTTTTGTTAGCATACAATATAGCTCAGTATTTGTATTATCTTGTCTGAAAGCAATGGCTAGCTAGTTTGCTAACTATCCTAGCTAACTAACTGGCTGAATAAGTTGACGACGGACTCGCTCAAGCTGTCGGGACTAACCCACAACGTTAGACACGGACACGAACGATCTGCTTGCGTGTTGATACACTGGTGGTTTGTTGTGGCTGAGTATTGGCGCTAAACCGTGTTGTTGGAGACCGGCATGCTAGCTGGCTGTGGCGTCTTATGACGAGGTGCCCGGACGTTTTTCACGGAATAATACTGCACCTAGTTAGCTAGCTGAATAAACTAAGTTAGTCTATTCCTAGAAAACATTGAACCGCTGTAGTTTACAACAATTATAGTTTCGGAGGTGGAAGTTGGGAGAGTTATATTTGGGAGTTGTGGTGAGGGAGGCCCCGCTCTCTCCTTTCCCAGATGTTTAGTTCATTTCATTCCGATCTCCTCTGCATTATTGTAGCCATCTGCTGCAGCCTGTCAACTATGCCTCTGCCTATCCCTGTTCTCTCCTCTCCGCACAGGCTACACAAACGCCTCACACCGCGTGGCTGCTGCCTCTCTAACCTGGTGGTCCCTGCACGCACGACCCACGTGGAGTTCCAGGTCTCAGGCAGCCTCTGGAACTGCCGTTCTGCTGCCAACAAGGCAGAGTTCATCTCAGCCTATGCTACCCTCCAGTCCCTCGACTTCTTGGCGCTGACGGAAACATGGATTACCACTGAAAACACTGCTACCCCTGCTGCTCTCTCCTCGTCTGACCATGTGTTCTCGCATACCCCGAGAGCATCTGGTCAGCGGGGTGGTGGCACAGGAATCCTCATCTCTCCCAAGTGGACATTCTCAATTTTTCCCCTGACCCATCTGTCTATCTCCTCATTTGAATTCCATGCTGTCACAGTCACTAGCCCATTTAAGCTTAATATCCTTGTCATCTATCGCCCTCCAGGTTCCCTTGGAGAGTTCATCAATGAGCTTGACGCCTTGATAAGTTCCTTTCCTGAGGATGGCTCACCCCTTACAGTTCTGGGGGATTTCAACCTCCCTACGTCTACATTTGACTCATTTCTCTCTGCCTCCTTCTTTCCACTCCTCTCCTCTTTTGACCTCACCCTCTCACCGTCCCCCCCTACTCACAAGGCAATACGCTTGACCTCATCTTTACTAGATGCTGTTCTTCTACTAATCTCACTGCAACTCCCCTCCAAGTCTCCGACCACTACTTTGTATCCTTTTCTCTCTCCCTCTCCTCCAACACTACTCACTCTGCCCCTACACAGATGGTAATGCGCCGTCGCAACCTTCGCTCTCTCTCTCCCGCTACTCTCTCCTCTTCCATCCTATCATCTCTTCCCTCTGCTCATTCCTTCTCCCTCCAATCACCTGATTCTGCCTCCTCAACCCTCCTCTCCTCCCTTTCTGCATCATTTGACTCTCTATGTCCCCTATCCTCCCGGCCGGCTCGGTCCTCCCCTCCAGCTCCGTGGCTTGATGACTCATTGCGAGCTCACAGAACAGGGCTCCGGGCAGCCGAGCGGAAATGGAAGAAAACTAGACTCCCTGCGGACCTGGTATCTTTTCACTCCCTCCTCTCTACATTCTCTTCATCTGTTTCTGCTGCTAAGGCCACTTTCTACCACTCTAAATTCCAAGCATCCGCCTCTAACCCTAGGAAGCTCTTTGCCACATTCTCCTCCCTGCTGAATCCCCCCCCCCCCCCCCCCCTCCCTCTCTGTGGATGACTTCGTCAACCATTTTGAAAAGAAGGTTGACGACATCCGATCCTCGTTTGTTAAGTCAAATGACACTGCTGGTCCTGCTCACACTGCCCTACCCTATGCTTTGACTTCTTTCTCCCCTCTCTCTCCAGATAAAATCTTGCGACTTGTGACGGCAGGCCGCCCAACAACCTGCCCGCTTGACCCTATCCCCTCCTCTCTTCTCCAGACCATCTCCGGTGACCTTCTCCCTTACCTCACCTCGCTGATCAACTCATCCTTGACCGCTGGCTATGTCCCTTCCGTCTTCAAGAGAGCGAGAGTTGCACCCCTTCTCAAAAAACCAACACTCGATCCTTCTGATGTCAACAACTACAGACCAGTATCCCTTCTTTCTTTTCTCTCCAAAACTATTGAGCGTGCCGTCTTTAGCCAACTCTCTTGCTATCTCTCTCAGAATGACCTTCTTCATCCAAACCAGTCAGCTTTCAAGACTGGTCATTCAACTGAGACTGCTCTTCTCTGTGTCACGGAGGCTCTCCGCACTGCTAAAGCTAACTCTCTCTCCTCTGCTCTTGTCCTTCTAGACCTGTCTGCTGCCTTTGATACTGTGAACCATCAGATCCTCCTCTCCACCCTCTCCGAGCTGGGCATCGCCGGCGCGGCTCACTCTTGGATTGCGTCCTACCTGACCGGTCGCTCCTACTAAGTGGCGTGGCGAGAAGCTGTCTCTGCACCACATGCTCCCACCACTGGTGTCCCCCAGGGCTCAGTTCTAGGCCCTCTCCAATTCTCGCTATACACCAAGTCACTTGGCACTGTCATATCCTCACATGGCCTCTCCTATCATTGCTACGCTGACGACACACAACTAATCTTCTCCTTTCCTCCTTCTGATAACCAGGTGGCGAATCGCATCTCTGCATGTCTGGCAGACATATCAGTATGGATGACGGATCACCACCTCAAGCTGAACCTCGGCAAGACGGAGCTGCTCTTCCTCCCGGGGAAGGACTGCCCGTTCCATGATCTCGCCATCACGGTTGACAACTCCGTTGTGTCCTCTTCCCAGAGTGCGAAGAGCCTTGGCGTGACCCTGGACAACACCCTGTCGTTCTCCGCTAACATCAAGGCGGTGACCCGATCCTGTAGGTTCATGCTCTACAACATTCGGAGAGTACGACCCTGCCTTACACAGGAAGCGGCACAGGTCCTAATCCAGGCACTTGTCATCTCCCGTCTGGATTACTGCAACTCGCTGTTGGCTGGGCTCCCTGCCTGTGCCATTAAACCCCTACAACTCATCCAGAATGCCGCCGCCCGTCTGGTGTTCAACCTTCCCAAGTTCTCTCACGTCACCCCGCTCCTCCGCACACTCCACTGGCTTCCAGTTGAAGCTCGCATCTGCTACAAGACCATGGTGCTTGCCTACGGAGCTGTGAGGGGAACGGCACCTCCGTACCTTCAGGCTCTGATCAGTCCCTACACCCAAACGAGGGCACTGCATTCATCCACCTCTGGCCTGCTGGCTCCCCTACCTCTGCGGAAGCATAGTTCCCGCTCAGCCCAGTCAAAACTGTTCGCTGCTCTGGCACCCCAATGGTGGAACAAGCTCCCTCACGACGCCAGGACAGCGGAGTCACTCACCACCTTCCGGAGACATTTGAAACCCCACCTCTTTAAGGAATACCTGGGATAGGATAAAGTAATCCTTCTACCCCCCCCCCCCCTTTACTCCAACCCCCCCCCCCCCCCCAGGCGCACCGGTTGCTAAATGACGTAAGAGCGTCTGCTAAATGACGTAAATGTAATGTAAATGTAAATGTATTATTTATTTTATAGTATTTTATTTATTTTATAGTCTTTTTTGCTCATCTTTATCAAGGGTGCCAATAATTTTGGATCTGACTGTAATAACAGATATCTATTCTTCCTAGTACTCAGAACAAATATATAGCTAGGTATGAAGAGGAAATGTTTTTTGAGAAAAAAAAAGATGTATTAACAATTTAAACAATAAATATAAAATCCTTTATTTAGCACAGAATATGTAAATATCTTTCAATATAAAAGTTTTCTCAAAGGTGTATCTATTTGGTTATAGGAAGGTCAGAGAAGGACATTATTCTGTTTCAATGTACATCAATCTGGGTGTCTCAACGTTTGTGTGTCTCTTTGTGATACATTGTTCATTTCATACTTTCTTTCTGTGTCCAAAAATATGAGTACACAAGTACGAATGTCAAGCATTCTGAACTTGCTAATAAGTACCCATCACAGGCCGCTGGTGGCCCCTTAATTGGGGAGGATGGGCTCATAGTAATGTCTGGAATTGAATGAATGGAATGGTATCGACACATAAAACCAAATTGACCTTGTGTTTGATACCATTCCATTCACTTCATTCCAGTCATTGTTATGAGTTGTCCTCCTCTCACCAGCCTCCTGTGGTACACATGTACCATACAGTAAGATGTCTCCATTACCCTCTGTATTCAGAAATGAGTTGCTTGCATTTCCTGGAGAACAGAGAGGGAGACAGACAGAGAGGTGAGGGAGAAAGAGAGAGAAAGAAAGAGAGAGATATATACCACGGCTGGTTTGGTTATAAATAGTTAACAACTACAGTGTAACAGAGTCACGTACATTGTAGACCACTCCTGTCCTGTATATTAAGTCACATAGTTGTTTGGGGCCACCCTGCTCATAACGTCAGCAGCCCCAAACTGAGTTTGACGGTTTGAGAGGAAGATCTTGTTAAAATATATCCTGTTTCAACACAGCCAGTAACCTTAGCAACCTTCATAACATAGTCTCAGCAAAATGATTTAGAGAGGCTTAGGTCAAAGGATTTGTACTCCAAATACCTCTTGGGCTCTATTTACGCACGTTAGTTTGCAATTTCGTCAACCAGCCTTAGTAGCACACTGGCTACTAAGGCTGGTTCAACAGCAATGCATCTTGTCTTTTTTATCCTGGCCTTGCAAAGTAGCCTATCCATAAAAGGTGTTTAAATGAGTGCCTTGAATTGAAAATATACTGCACATCCTAAAACATACACACTTATGCCTACCTGCATACTTCATTTTGCTTGTTCAAGTATCCATCCCCATCTTCTAAGAGCCCCTCTCAACTGGTTACCAAAGATGAGCTCCTCCAAACTTATTTCAATTATTCAGTCCTACAATGCAATATCAACGGTAGGCCTAGGTTATATTTTGCTTATTGAGAACGTGCCTCACACATACAATACAATTTACGGGAGCCTGACGTTTTTTATTTTAGGAGAAGTGCGATGCATAAACACACGTAGCTCGTTGAAGCCAATTATAACAATGTTGACTGCCAACACTCCAAACACTCCAAAAGGCTTTTGAGGAAACGCTGGCTGTAAGGAACTTGTCTGTCGGCCCTACATGAAAGACCAAAATTGGTTAAATAAAATTGTGATAAATAAAAAAGTATACCAGTTTCATTTAAGGACCAAAAAATGGACAGCTATGCCATATAGATTGCAAAATAGTTTGGAAGAGATTTTCGATGTACCGATTCCATGGCACATGGTTTATGAACTGATACGCAAAACGACGCAGTATTCAAAACTTAGAATTCTTCAATTTAAATGAATATACAAAAATCTAGCAACCAATAGAATGTTATATATATGGGGGATACAACCTTCCCAGCTCTGCAGATTTTGCTGCAAAGAGACAGAGTCATTATATGATTTGTTTTGGTACTGTCCATATGTAGCTTGTTTTTGGTCACAGGTCCAGGAATGGCTAAAGGATTGCAATATTTACCTGGAGCTAACCCTGCAGATAGCACTACTGGGTGATCTGAAAAGTCATAGTCAATCGATCAATAATATAATAATATTTTTCGTAAAAATGTTTATCTTTAATTTACAATCTGTAGAAACTATGAGAATAGAAAGGTTCAGAACTTTTGTGAAACATCACAGTACAGTTGAAAATATATGGCAAATAGAAATCCAATATGGATGGTGTTAAGAGATAGATGGGAGGGGTTGAATGGAGCTGAAGGGTGGGACTAATAACAACAAGATAACTCATGTAAAATATACTGTGTCCGTAAAATGTATATAGGTTCAGAATTTTTGTGAAACAGCACAGTTAAAAATATATGGTAAATAGAAATCAAACTAGAATTAGATGAGAGAGGTTGAGGGTAGAGGAAGGACAGGACTAAAAACAAACAAAATATGACTATTGTCAAATAGATTGTGTCCATAAAATGTTTATAGTATGTATAAGCTGGAAGTAGACATGATGCAGACAGTTACGTTACTTGTTACTGTAGCCTATACTATTTAATAAACTGTAGTATCAATCCACAATGGACTAGGACACCACAATGGACCAGGACTAGAACGTTCCATTCCCCCAGCTGAATTGGAGTTGATGACAACGCAAAGCCCGTCAATAACCTAGAGAACTTGAGACAATTGCATGCAGTATTAGACTATGGAATGTGTTGATTGGCCAGTGAGTGGCCAAGCCCTCATCACACATACAACTTGTTTGTTAATCTAAACCCAGAGCTTTCACGCCACCGCCAGCTACTGCGCTCATAATTCTGGCTGTGAAAATAGCAAAAGTATTTCTGACACACCCCTGAACCTATAGCGCTATCGCCAGTGCTTAGACTTACCATTGCGTAAGGTTTGATAAAATAGAGCCCCTTGACTGTTTCAGATAAGGGTTTTCAGCATTTATCAGTATAACTGATCGATCATTCGTAAAATGTTCCCTGACTGTGTTTTCTGAACAATTACCATAAACATGTAAGATCTCCCTGTGGAGCTGTAAAAGAGCCATCCATGCAACTAAACACTAAAACAGATCTGCCAGCAACCAAAACCTAAACCCCACAAAACAAAATATTTGTAGAGAACCATTTGTGTATACACTGAGTGTACAAAACAGTAGGAACACCTTCCTAATATTGAGTTGCAACCCATTTCCCCCCCTCAGAACAGCCTCAATTCGTCAGGGCATAGACTCTACAAGGCGTTCCATGTTGACTCCAATGCTTCCCACAGTTATGTCAAGTTGGCCAGATGTTCTTTGGGTGGTGGACCATTCTTGATACACCAGGGAAACTGTTGAGCGTGACAAACCCAGCAGTGTTGCAGTTCTTGACATACTCAAACCGGTGCGCCTGGCAACTACTACCATACCCATTCAAAGGCACTTAAATCTTATATCTTGCCCATTCACCCTCTGAATGGCACACATACACAATCCATGTCTCAATTGTCTCAAGGCTTGAAAATCCTTCTTTAACCCAACTCATCTACACTGATTGAAGTGGATTTAACAAGTGACATCAATAAGGGATCATAGCTTTCACCTGGATTCACCTGGTCAGACTATGTCATGGAAAGAGCAGGTATTCCTAATGTTTTGTACACTCAGTGTATGTGTACAATATGAACAGGTTATAAACTGTAAAAGGATGTGAGTAATCGTGAGTGTGTTTGTGAGTGTGTGTTGTAGTGCATGCGTGTACATGCATGAGTGTGTGTGAGCATGTGTCATGCTCGTGTGTGTTTGACTGTTTCACCTCGTCATCACTGTCCATCTGGGCCCTGTCTGTCTGACAGTAAAGCACAGCGTCGTGGATTGAGGAGAAGAGACACATTTTAGTGACTTTCTCACTGACGAATCCTCTTCTTTCCAGGTTCTCAATAACACCAGCTAGAGAGAGAGAGAGAGCGAGAGAGCGGGAGGGAGGGAGGGAGGGAGGCAGGGAGGGAAGCAGGGGGAGTGGGACAGATGTAGGGGGATAGAGGAAGGAGAAGAGTGAGAGATGTGATCAAACATTCGTAATTATGGTTAATCAACATTCCTAACTACATAAACATTGGCCACTTTAGTGATTTTGCCTGTATAATCAGTCATGATAAGCAATCCCCTAATTACATAAGAGAATCAAAGTAAATATCTCAGAAAACATTATGGGAAACACACACAAACAACGCTATTTTCAGCATCCACGGTATGCATTGCTTTTACAGTGCTGTATGTTCAGCATGAAGGTTTTGGTAATAGTAAATTGAAAATGTAACACTCACTCTGACATCCACACCTCTACACCGATATCACCATAGTCCCTTTGGATCTGAAACAGCACCAGAGAGAGGTCAAAGGTCGGGGTCAGAGCGAGAGAGACTGCTCCATAATTTCTTTTCTTGAATTGTGTGTCTCGTTTTGAGAACATTGCATTTTTGCAGTCATAGCAGTAAATCATTATTGAATTGAATTGAGAGAGAGAAAGAGAGAAAAGAGAGAAAGAAAGAAAGAGGTAATCTTACTCAACCTGTTCTGCCCGTTTACCTCTTTCTTTCTCCCTCTCTCTCTTTTCTCTCTTTCTCTCTCTCAATTGAATTCAATAATACTTTACTGCTATGACTACAGGCAGACAGACGACTCACATTGCATATCGTCATGACGCCCACGGTATCTAGGAAATTTACTGGACTTAGGTCCAGGATGATGGCACGAGGAAGTGTAGAGATGGGTTTACTCCCTTCCTCCACTGTGGCCAAAATCCTTCTCCACATCCTTCTCTGAACTGTCTGGCTCCCCCTCCTGGACAGGACAACACATGGATGGATCATTCATAAGACACCCACTCATCACATTAACTGCATATTAATCCAATACTATCCTAACCTTAGACCCTATTGGTAGATTACATTGGAGCTATACAAACAGACTGGTATTCTCCCTATCTTCTCAGTGTCACTCCTCCTCACCAGTTCCTGTGCGTTCTTCTTTTTTCTTTCTTGGCTTTCCTGGCATCTTTCTTTTTCTTCCTCAATCTCTTGGCCTCCGCTTTCTTCTTTTGGGAGATGAGCTTAGTGACGTCAATCCCACTCTGCAGACACAATAGCAAGGAAGTGAGACATTTTGTCATCTTTTTCCATTCCTGCCATGGAACATGACAGCATAATGGGGGGTGTAGAGAGGAGAGAGGAATGGATGACATCTTAACAATGTTGCTCAACCTCTCGATACACACACAGCAGAATGTAAGCAAAATGGGTCAGGCATTTCACCAGTTTGTCAAAGTATGCTTGTGTAGTGCATATTAATTCCTTGTGTAGTGCATAGTAATTGCAGTGTTGTTCTGATTGCTTGGCTTGTATTGAGTAGTGTCATCGTTGTGTGACCTTTATCCTGTGACCTCACCTTGTCTGAGGGTATCAGAGGAGCGGAAGATCACTACCCCAGGGACCTCCTTCACCTGAGAGAGAATGGTACTTTACAGCAATGCTCTTGTTATAATAGACTTGATAAAGCAGACTGGTCTCATAGACTGTACGTAACATAGTAAACTTAAATCCGGGATACTCAAACTAGCATGATATGTTACGTTTGGTATGGTTACATAAGATAGAAGGTTACTTAAAGCAAAAACGAAAGGAGGGTGGTTCGTCGGGGTGGATGGGTGGCCGTATAACGCAAACGTCTAGCAACCCCAAGGTGTTTGAATCTCATTGTGGACAATTTTAGCATTTCAGCTAATTAGCAACTTTGCAACTACTTAGCATGTTAGCTAACCCTTCCCCTAACCCTAACCCTAACCTTAACCCTTTTAGCTAATCCTAACCTTAATCCTTTAACCTAACACCTAACCCCAACCTTAACCGTAAATGTAACCCCTAACCCCTAGCCTACCTATCATTAGCCAGCTATCTAATGTTAGCGTTAGCCACCTTGCCACCTAGCTAACGTTAACCACAACAAATCGGAATTTGTAACATATCATACGTTTTGCAAATTTGTGACATGTTGTGCGAAATTCAATTCGTAACATATCATAGGAAATGGATGATGGACATCCACAAATGAATACATACCATATGAAACGTAACATAACATATCATACTAAATGGAGTGTCTCAGATTTACGTACAGAATAATACGAAATGATGATACACATCATTACACAGAGTTGCAATTTTCCCCACTAATGGTAGGATTGGTGGAGGGGAAGCTGATCCTAGATATGTACCTAGGGGATACTTCACCCCGGAGCCTAGTTAAAGTACACCTCACAACTGATATACTGTAGAACATGTAAGTGAAACACCTTCATAGACATAGCCCTGGTACCTACAAGTTAAAGATTCCCCATTGATTGAGTGGCGGTATGATTAGAGAGTAACTGAATATGTACTGTATATTTATATATCTTGTTGCCATGGACGCATACCTGATTATAGTCCTCCACTGGTCTGTAGATGTCAGTCTCAGGGACCTGCCTTAGAAGGGAGTACTTTGGCCTGAAACTGACAAATAGACAAACTGACAAATAGATTTAACATACAATTTAGTACACAATTTAGCACAGTAAGTGGAGCAGATGAGATGTTGAGTCCCTTTAAATCTGTTAAAATGACTATAAAGAGTGAATGGTTTAATGATGTGTGGGAGGGATACATTAAAATGAGCAGTGTTGGAGGTTCCTGGTTAGGTGGAGTCTGTCTGTGATAGAGTGGAGTTAATGTGGGGTGTGGTTTATAGTGGTTGGGAATACGTGTGTCTGTGTGTGTCTGCATGTGTCCTTGTCTGTATCTGCGTGCGGACGTGCGTGCATGTGTGTGAGTGATTGTGTGCTCACAGCTGGGTCCTGTAGATGACCGTGAGCATGGAGAAGGCAATGGAGGCTGCCACGCATAGGTCAGGGTTGAAGAGCACGGTCAGGATCAGAGTGGCCACCCACAGCAGCTAGAGCGAGAGGGAGGGGGACAGACAGGAAAACAAACACCTCACCAGACGCTCTCACTTTACCCCTGAGACTTTTGTTTCTACTATGAACTCTTAGAAAAAATGGTTCCAAAAGGGTTCTTCGGCTGACCTCATAGGAGAACCTATTTTGGTTCCAGGTAGAACCCTTTTTGGTTCCAGGTAGAACCCTTTTGGAACCCTCTGCGGAAAGGGTTCTACATGGAACCCAAAAGGGTTCTAACTTGAACCAAGAAGGGTTCTTCAAAGGATTCTCATATGGGGACAGCCGAAGAACAATTTTAGGTTCTAGAAAGCACTTTTTTCATATTATCTCTGTGAGGGAAAAACCAATAAACTAACTTGAAATCAAATCTAAGACCCCTCTCTTCTCTTTCTCCACTCCTCATTCATCTCGCCCCTATCTCTGTTGACCCCTCCTCCCCCTGACTCTTTCTCTCTCGTTCTCTCTCTCTCACACCATATCCATGAACTGCTTCATCATGCCATGCAGGTTCACATAAATGATGGCTGCCAACACTGCCTGTTGGACAGAAAGATAGCCACCAATCACAATCACACACAGAACCACCTCAGTGGCTAACAGGAAGAGTGTATAAACCAACAGTCAATAGAATGGTACCTTTGGCAGTTCTTCAAAGAGAGCCCCAATCCACAGCACAATGACTAGAATCACCATGGCTGAAAGAGCACTAGCCACCTGGGAGAAGAGAGAAAGAAAGAAAGAAAGAAAGATTTGATTTGATATATTAGGATCCCCATTAGCCGACGCCAAATGCACATAACAAGTAGGTCACATGGGGGAGAGGTGTTGTGTCGTGAGGTGTTGCTTTATTTGTTTTTTGAAACCAGGTTTGCTGTTCACTTGCGCTATATAAGATGGAAGGGAGTTCCATGCAATCATGGCTCTGTATAATACTGTATGTTTCCTTGAATTTGTTCTGGACCTGGGGGATGTGAAAAGACCCCTGGTGGCATGTCTGGTGGGGTAAGTGTGTGTGTCAGTGCTGTGTGTAAGTTGACTATGCAAACAATTTAGGAATTTCCAACACATTAATGTTTCTTATAAAAACAAGAAGTGACACAGTCAATTTTTCCTCAATTCTTAGCCAAGAGAAACTGGCATGAATAGTATTAATATTAGCCCTCTGATTACAATGAAGAGCAAGACGTGTGTCACGCCTACACCCGCTCTCCCGCTCCGGCGCTCGACGACGCCGGTCTACTAACCACCGGTCTTGGCAACCCACATTACGCACACCTGGCAACCATCATTACGCACACCTGCTCCCCATCGTTATGCACACCTGGACTTCATCAGTACCTTGATTACTTCCCCTTTATTTAGCCCTCAGTAGCCTCAGTCTTCAGGCAGTATTGGTTTTGTTTTTCATGCCCAGTACGCTGCTCTTGTTTTGTATATCTTCATGGTCTTCGTTATTAAACTCACCAACTGCACTTGCTTCCTGGCTCCCTGCGTCTACGCTACAATGTGTGGCTCTGTTCTGGGCCAGCTGTAGCTTAACTAGGTATTTCTTTGCAGCACCATATGACTGGACAATAATCAAGATAAGATAAAAACTAGAGCCTGCCGGACTTGCCTTGTGGAGTGTGGTGTCAACAAAGCAGAGCATCTCTTTATTATGGACAGACCTCTCTCCATCTTTACAACCTTTCAATCTATATGTTTTGACCATGACAGTTTGCAAACTAAGGTAAGTAATTTAGTCTCCTCAACTTGTTCAACAGCCACACCATTCATTACCAGATTCAGCTGAGGTCTAGACCTTAGGGAATGATTTGTACCAAATACAATGCTCTTAGTTTTAGAGATGTTTAGGACCAGTTTATTACTGGCCACCCATTCCAAAACAGACTGCAAATCTTTGTTAAGGGTTTCAGTGACTTCATTAGCTGTGGTTGCTGATGTGTATATGGTTGAATCATCAGCATACATGTACACACATGCTCTGTTTAATGCCAGTGGCAGGTCATTGGTAAAAAAGAAAAAGAGTAGAGGGCCTAGAGAGCTGCCCTGCGGTACACCATACTTTACATGTTTGACATAAGAGAAGCTTCCATTAAAGAAAACCCTCTGAGTTCTATTAGATATCTCTGAATCCACGATATGGCAGAGGTTGAAAAGCCATAACACATACGTTTTCTCAACAACAGGTTATAGTCAATTATATCAAAGGCTGCACTGAAATCTAACAGTACAGCTGTTCTTATTATCAATTTATTTCAACCAATCATTAATCATTTGTGTCAGTGCCGTACATGTTGAGTGCCCTTCTCTATAAGCATGCTGAAAGTCTGTTGTTAATTTGTTTACAGAGAAATAGCATTGTATTTGGTCAAACACAATTCTTTCCAACTGTTTTCTAAGAGCTGGCAGCAAGCTGATAGGTCTGCTGTTAGAACCAGTAAAGGCCGCTTTACCACTCTTGGGTTGTGGATTTACTTTGGCTTCCCTCCAGGCCTGAGGACAAATACTTTCCTCTAGGCTCAGATTAAAGATATGACAGATAGAAGTGGCTATAGAGTCAGCTACCAACCTCAGTAGCTTTCCATCTACGTTGTCAATGCCAGGAGGTTTGTCATTATTGATCGATAACAATAATTTTTCCACCTCTCCCACACCAACTTTACAAAATTCAAACTTACAATGCTTTTCTTTCATTATCTGTTTTTTTTATGCATGAGTACGATGGCTCACTGTGCGTTGTTGGCATTTCCACTTTGCCAATGAAGTAATCATTCAAATAATTGCCAACATCAAATGGTTTTGTGATGAATAAGCCATCTGATTCGATGAAAGATGGAGTTGAATTTGCCCATAATTTCATTTAAAGTACTCCAAAGTGTTTTATCACCATTCTTTATATCATTGATCTTGGCTTCATAATACAGATTCTTCTTCTTTTTGTTGAGTTTAGTCACATAATTTCTCCATTTGCAGTAAGTCACTATATCGTGATCACTGCATCCAATGAGAACGGATACAGCTTTAGAACAAAGTTCTACAGTATTAGTAAAAATGTGATTAATACATGTGGATGATCTTGTTCCTGTAGTGTTTGTAAACACCCTGGTAGGTTGATTAATAACCTGAACCAGATTACAGGCACTGGTTACAGTGAGATACTTTCTCTTGAGCCAACAGCATGATGAAAACCAGTCAATATCGAGGTCCCCAAGAAAGTAGACCTCCCTGTTTAAATCACATACACTATCAAGCATTTCACACATATTATTTAGATACTGACTGTTAGCACTTGGTGGTCTATAGCAACACCCCAAAATAAAAGGCTTTAGATGTGACAGGTGAACCTGCAACCACAACACTTCAATAACACTTGACATAAGATCTTCTCTAAGCATTACAAGGATATGGCTCTGAATATATATAGCAACACCTCCCCCATAAGCATTTCTGTCTCTTCTATAGATGTTATATCCTTGTATTGCTATTGCTGTATCGTCAAATGAATTATATAAGTAAGTCTCAGAAATGGCTAATATATTAACGTTATCTGATGTTAGCAAGTTATTGATTTCATTAACGTTATTTCTAAGGCTACATATATTAATATGGGCTATTTTCAGCCTTTTCCTGGGTAGCTTATCAGAGATAGACATAATATGGAAAAGAGCAAACAGAGCAAGATAAAAAATATATACATTCAGCAGTCCATTAATCAGTTGGTGTAAGTGTGTGTGCTGCGGGGTTGAAGCTACAAGCCCATAGGCTTGGCTCTCTCATCCCTTCCAGGCATTTGGGAGGGAGGGTGGACAATGAGCCTGTCATAGTGGATGTAAGCAATGTCCCTGTACGCTTTGGCAGCTTCCATGGTTGGGATAAGTTATTTCCTCTTCAGGAGCACAGCTTCAGGATAGTCCTCGTTGAGGAAGATGTACATTCTTCTCAAGTTCTTGGCTCATTCCAGAACAGCTACCTTGTCCTTAAACCTCAGGAACTTCACCACTATCGACCTGGGCCTGTCACCTGGGCCGGTGGTGGGTTTTCCAGTCCTGTGGGCGCGCTCCACCTCAGTCTTCCTGTAGTCTATCTTCAGTTTCTCCCACATCATTTCCCTCACTTTGCTCAGTCTCGTCCAGGTCTCATGTGGAGATTCTGCAATTGGATCATTGAGCATTAAAACAGACTTCAACCCTCTTGTACTTGCATAGTAATAATGAGCCCTGGCAGTTGAAATGAAGTGCTAGACAACAAATTATTTGTGTTGTAATGAATGACACATGGGTGTGTAATGTGGGTTTTAATGAATGCTTTGAGGGATTTTTTAATGAACCCACTTATCAGTGCAACAGAATAATGTATGACTACTGTCATAATGAGAGGTGTCTGTACCTGTGTCTTTCCCCCAGTGCTTTCCTGAACCATGGTACGAGATATCGAGCAACTGATTGCAAAGCACTGGAAAACCCCTCCGATGGAGTTGCTGAGACCCAGGGCTATCCGTTCCTAAACCAGGAAGAGACCACTTTCTTTAGTAAATAGGGAAGTGAATAGCACATGCAGTCATTCACAAGCAGTGCATGCCACACATTACAACATCTATACCCAGAGAGATATCCAATCACACCATTTTTGACAGTGTTTCTCACCTGGTTGCTGTCAACTTTGTAGCCATGTTTTAGGGCAAAGATTTGTCCGAGAGAGATGGCAATGGCGTAGCCAACCACAGACAGAACGAAGGCATCATTTATAACCTGACCAAACAGAGAGGCTGTAGGCAGGACATGGGGCTGTAGACTGGGGAAGAGAAACAAGCGTAGATAACTTTGTGTGATCATGATGTTGTGTATTGTAGTTTGGTGGTTGTGTAGCTAGGTATACTGTCATCTGTGTGAGTGGTTGTGTAGTTAGACTATGTGACTGAGTATCTGGGATGTGGGCTGTTATGGCTGTGATACTTTGTGGTTATGCATGTACAGTATGTGGTAGTGTATCTATGTGGTTGTGTACAGTATCTATGTGGTTGTCTATATATGTGGTTGTATATCTATGTGGTTGTGTATCTATGTGGTTGTGTATCTATGTGGTTGTGTATCTATGTGGTTGTGTATCTATGTGGTTGTGTATCTATGTGGTTGTGTATCTCTATGTGTGTGCAGTATAATACTCCTCTACTCACCCAGAGGGGATCTCTCCCACCACTTCCACTCCATGCTCCCCCCCAAGGTTGACCTGCCAGGAGATCACCGTGGCGATGATGACCTGTCGACAGACAGACAGAGAGATGACGTCAATGACTGAACCCACATTAGAAATGGACAAAATAATGTTGGGGCTGTTTTAATGTGGTCAAAATACAGTTGTCATTTTTTTTTACAGAAAAAGGGTTACTCCTACTCCACTTCGTCATCCATTGTTTGTGAACACACCAATTTTTTCTCCCTGCCATTCATTTGGTCAAATGTTCAGGGTGGGAACTACAGTCATCTATTGTCCTCTGTTGGGTGTAGGAGGAGTGGGATTGTGACTCACCGCCAGCAGCTCTACAGGGATGGGTACTTGCAGTTTTTTTCCCCCAGGTAGGTGTTGAGCTCCTTGACGATGATGAGGCCAATGATGGACACCAGGCTCACCCTCAGGGTGCCTATGTTGGTTTCTGGGTTCTCCTATGGGGACAGCTGAAGAACCCTTTTGGAACCCTTTTTTCTAAGAGCATAGGCAGAACATTAAATCAAACAAATCAAATGTTATTGGTCACATACACATACTTAGCAGATGTTATTGCAGGTGTAGCGAAATGCTTGTGTTTCTAGCTCCAACAGTGCAGTAATATCTAACAATTAACAACAAAACACACAATACACACAAATCTAAAAGTAAAAGAATGGAATTAAGAAATATATGGATATTAGTACAATCAATGTCGGAGTGGCATAGACTAAAATACAGTAGAATAGTATAGAATACAGCACATACATATGAGATGAGTAAAGCAAAATTATGTAAACATTATTAAAGTGGCCAGTGATTCCATGTCTATGTATGTAGGGCAGCAGCCTCTAAGGTTTAGGGTTATGTAACCGGGTGGAAGCCGCCTGGTGATGGTTATTTAACAGTCTGATGGCCTTGAGATAGAAGCTGTCTCTCGGCCCCAGCTTTGATGCACCTGTACTGACCTCACCTTCTGGATGATAGAGGGGTGAACAGGCAGTGGCTCGGGTGGTTGTTGTCCTTGATGATCTTTTTGGCCTTCCTGTGACATTGTGTGCTGTAGGTGTCCTGGAGGGCAGGTAGTTTGCCCCCGGTGATGCGTTGGGCAGACCGCACCACATCTCTGGAGAGCCCTGCGGTTGCGGTGATACAGGCTGACAGGATGCTCTCAATTGTGCATCTGTAAAAGTTTGTGAGGGTTTTAGGTGCCAAGCCAAATTTCTTCAGCCTCCTGAGGTTGAAGAGGCGCTGTTGCGCCTTCTTCACCACACTGTCTGTGTGGGTGGACCATTTCAGATCGTCAGTGATGTGTACGCCGAGGAACTTGAAGCTTTCCACCTTCACTGTCACAACCTGATCTGTTTCACCTGTCTTGTGCTTGTCTCCACCCCCCACAAGGTGTCTCCCATTTGTTCCCATTATCCCCTGTGTATTTATACCTGTGTTTTATGTCTGCCTGTTGCCAGTTTGTCTTGTCTCGTCAAGCCTACCAGAGTGTTGTTCCATACTCCTGGTTTTTCCTAGTCCCTGTTTTTCTAGTCCTCCCGGTTCTGACCTTTTCTGCCTGCCCTGACACAGAGCCCGCCTGCCTGACCATTCAGCCTGCCCTGACCTCAAGCCTGCCTGCCGCCCTGTACCTTTCGGACTCAGACCTGGTTTACAAACTTCTGTCTGTCCTCGACCTGCCTCTTGCCTGCCCCTTGTATTTTAATAAATATCAGTGACTCGAACCATCTGCCTCCTGTGTCTGCATCTGGGTCTCATCCTGCGTCTATATTCTCCACTGCGGTCCCGTCGATGTGGATAGGGACGTGCTCTCTCTGCTGTTTCCTGAAGTTCACAATCGGCTCCTTTGTTTTATTGACGTTGAGTGAGAGGTTATTTTCCTGGCACCACCAGTGTTCTGTTCACTGGATGACTAAATAAGGCATGTGTAGTGGTCGCTGTGTGTGCTATAAAACATAGTTTATACTCTCTACATAGCACCGTCCTTACCCACAGAGATGTGTTAGAACGTCCCAAAGATGAAGTTAATGAGGATGAGATAAAAAGAGGAGTAAAGATGGTTATTATATGGTTATTAAAGATGGTCATTATATGGTTATTAAAGATGGTTATTATATGGTTATTAAAGATGGTTATTATATGGTTTTAAAGATGGTTATTAAAGATGGCAACAGAGCTATAATATAAGACACATAAAAGTATGTTTAAAATATAGGTTTTATTTAGTCAGGCAATCAGACCTTGTGGTAGGTGCATGATGCCCACACTGATGCCTGAGATCGGGTCTCCGATGGCGTTGTCTCTGAGGGAGGCAGCCAGGAGAGGACAGGAACAGATGACAACATACAGCTCTTCAGCCTGGGACCAGAACACCTGGGAGAGGACACACACACACAGACTGAGACTCAGACAAGCTCAAACTACAGTGCCTTCAGAAAGTTTTCACACCCCTTGACTTTTTGCACATTTTGATTTGTTACAGCCTGAATTTAAAATGGATTAAAGTGCTATTTTGTGTCACAGGCCTACACACAATACTCCATAATGTCAAAGTGTAATTATTTTTGTAGAACATTTGTAGAAAACACATTATATAAAAATGAAAAACTCCTTTGTTATGGCAACCCTAAATAAGTTCAGGAGTAAAACGTGCTTAACAAGCAGTGGCGACACGTCATTCAGGACAGGTGGGCAGAGCCCCACTTCTTTTGAGCCCCAACTGTTGTGCCTGTTTTGCATGTTATTTTGGCATTAATACATGTCACAAATCAGTTTGCAAACAATGTAAGAGTTAATAAAGCTGCATACAAACATGGTCTCTTTTTTGCTTTCTTGAGTAAGGTATCTCCAAAATGCAGGTGTTTCAGCCTAGCTCAGTACTTTCTGTGGTGGAGGAGCAGCCAGCGGAAAATACAGAGTGTAGGGGTTGGTAATCTTCTCTAGTTGCGCCGTGATTGGCTCAGTGTTCTGGGACACTACGTCACTGCAAAATCTACAGGGAGAGCTAGAAAGTTCAAGCCCCCTAGGGTGCTGCTATAGAGTTACATTAGAAGTGCCCGTCCAAATCTTAGCTAGCAAGCTACACAAGCAGTCATCATCATGAATCACATCGACAATCTACTGGCAAATCCTTTTCAATCCTTGTCATATGAAGAGAAATTATAGATAAAACGTATCGGTGCTCATTGGCCATAAACATTACACAACAAGTTAGAAATCGCAAATTCAACAATGAGTGGTTTGGAAGGAATACATTGCAAAGTAATCACTATTTTGCTTCCCCTGTGTCAGAACGGGCGTAGGTGTGGTGTGGGAATCAAATGCAGGATGCAGATGCAAGTCCAAAATTACTTTAATAAAGCCACAGAATGAACGGCTACAAACAGAGCCGGAGGCACAAGGAAAATAACGCACTCAGCGTAAAAATACAACACACGCACAACAGTGCGGACTCTCTATCATGAATAGAGCACAAACTGACATGGAAACACCTGCTGACAATGAACAACTACACACAACCACAAGACAGAAACAACGAGAACTTAAAGGACACATAATCAATACAAAATGAGAAACAGGTGTACCAAAACAGACCAAACCAAACGAACACAGAAACAACGAACGGTGGCAGCTAGTACTCCGGGGACGACGACCGCCGAAGCCTGCCCGAACAAGGAGAAGGAGCAGCCTCGGCAGAAACCGTGACACCCTGCTATTCGGTTGAGAGGGTGTGTGGTCCAAGTCTGGGTTTAAGGGTCTCTTTTGCAAGCTTAAAAGGATAAACATTCACACGCAACACCATGGGCCAGAAAAGGTTGAATACATTGGCCATGCTATCAATGCAGCATGACTTCTGAAGCATTCAAAACAACTGGAAACTCGGAACTGGGAAATCTCAGACTTCAGTGAGTTCAAGACAACTGGGAACTCTGAAAAAAAACTAGCTCCGACTGGGAAAATACGTTTTGAACGGTCATCTAACTCAGAATTCCAAGTCGGAAACTCTGGCCTCTTTCTAGAGCTCTGACCTGAAGATCACTAACGTCATGATTAGACCTTGTTTTTTTCCAAGTTCCCAGTTGTCTTTAATGCACCATAAATCCAGAGAATGACAGACTTTGATGACAAAGTTTCATGACAAAATTTGCCCACAAGAAGGCTGCCTTCCTGTTCAAGTGAGCACAGCACAACGGGAGTGCAAAAATGTATTGTATGTAACCACATTTTTTACTCTGTTCCATTTATTCCATTCCAGCCATTACAATGAGCCCATCCTCCTATAGCTCCACCCACCAGCCTCCATTGCACTGAGTACCACTCTTCATATTTTCACACATGGTGGCGTCTGCATCATGTTATGGGTATACTCATCATCGGCAAGGACTAGGGAGATTTTTAGGATAAAAATAAACGTAATAGAGCTAAGCACAAGCAAAATCCTAGAGGAAAACCTGGTTCAGTCTGCTTTCCAATAGACACTGGGAGACAAATTCACCTTTCAGCAGGACAATAACTTAAAACACAAGGCAAAATGTACACTGGAGTTGCTTACCAAGACGACATTGAATGTTTCTGAGAGGCTTAGTTACAGTTTTAACTTAAATCGGCTTGGAAATCTATGGCAAGACTTGAAAATGGCTGTCTGGCAATGATCAACAACCAACTTGACAAAGCTTGAAGAATATTAAAAAGAATAATGTGCAAATATTGTACAATCCAGGTGTGCAAAGCTCTTAGAGACTTACCCAGAAAGACTGACAGCTGTAATCGCTGCCACTGACAGCTGTAATCGCTGCCAAAGGTGATTCTATCATGTATTGACTCAGGGTGTTGAATACTTATGTAATCAAGATATATATTTTTTTTTTACAAATGTTAGAATTTTTCTTCCACTTTGACATTACAGAGTATTTTGTGTAGCTCGTTGACAAAAAAATGACAATTAAATCCATTTTAATCCCACCTTGTAACACAACACAATGTGGAAAAAGACAAGGGGTGTGAATACTTTCTGAAGGCACTGTATCCAGGCCAGTGGTGGAAGAGGGTACAGGGATTTGCTTCCTCAAATGTTCTACTGCTTGAGTACCAGCACCAGTTCCAGTTCTAAAATTCGAACACTGGTATGATAACAGAGTCGTTCTTGAATTGCGATGGCATTTGCGTCCCTTGCCTTTGCAACCATTAAAAACACTTTCAAATGACAAATAGTTACACATCAATCATGTTTTTGTTTATATTGAACTGTTTATCAATGATAAAACATAATGAAAATCCTTTATACTGCAAAACAGTATATTAATGTAAGCTTATCTCAATATGTATAGTTGTAGTGACATTCTTTGGGGATTTAGTGTCACGCTCTGGCTCCGGGACTGTGTAGTTTGAGCCAGGGTGTATTCATTTGGTTGTGTTGGGTATAGGGTGTGTTCATTTGGTTGTGTTTGGTTTTGGTTGTAGTGTCTTGTCTCGTCATGTGACTCCCAATCGGAGGTAACGAGTGTCAGCTGTCGGCTCGTTATCTCTGATTGGGAGCCATATTTAAACTGTCAGTGTTCACCTTAGGGTTGTGGGTTTTTGTTCCATGTTTCAGTCTGTGTACTGAGGACTTCACTATCCGTCATTGTTTATTGTTTTCTCGTTCGTGCACTTTAATAAAGTCATGTTCACTACAAACGCTGCGCTTTGGTCCACTCCTTCCGTAGACGGCCGTGACAGAAAAACCCACCAAAAAAGGACCAAGCAGCGTGTCCAGGAGCAAGTAGACTGGACATGGGAGGAAGCGCCGGGTAAGGAGGATCAAGGCCCTGGCGAGAGAGGAGCAACGGCGTCAGCAGGGCCATCGTCGGAGGGACGAGAGGCAACCCCAAAAAGTTTTGGGGGGGGGGCACATGGTTTGGGCGGCTGGGCAGCAGGAGGCTGCCACAGGGAGACGTGGAGAGAAGGCTACCGGATTACGGGAGCCATTGGCGAGTAGAGGGAGGGAAGTAGTTGAGGCACGGCGTAAGAGACTGAGGTGTGTTACCAGTCCGGTCCGGCCCGTTCCTGATCCCCGGTTAAGGCCAGTGGTGTGTGTTCCCAGTACGGACCGGCCTGTTCCTACTCCACGCATCAAGCCTACGGTGTGCGTGGCCAGCCCAGCCCGACCTGTTCCTGCTCCACGTACTAAGCCTAAGGTGTGCGTCGCCAGCCCAGCCCGGCCTGTTCCTGCTCAACGCACAAAGCCTACGGTGTGCGTCGCCAGCCCAGCCCGGCCTGTTCCTGCTCCACGTACGAAGCCTACGGTGTGCGTGGCCAGCCCAGCCCGACCTGTTCCTGCTCCACGTACTAAGCCTAAGGTGTGCGTCGCCAGCCAAGCCCGGCCTGTTCCTGCTCAACGCACAAAGCCTACGGTGTGCGTCGCCAGCCCAGCCCGGCCTGTTCCTGCTCCACGTACGAAGCCTACGGTGTGCGTCGCCAGCCCAGCCCGGCCTGTTCCTGCCACCCGCACCAAGTCTACGGTGCGCGTCGCCAGCCCGACCCGGCCTGTTCCTGCCACTCGCACCAAACCTACGGTGCGCGTCGCCAGCCCGGTCCGGCCTGTTCCTGCCACCCGCACCAAGTGTACGGTGCGCGTCGCCAGCCCGACCCGGCCTGTTCCTGCCACTCGCACCAAACCTACGGTGCGCGTCGCCAGCCCGGTCCGGCCTGTTCCTGCCACCCGCACCAAGTCTACGGTGCGCGTCGCCAGCCCGACCCGGCCTGTTCCTGCCACTCGCACCAAGCCAAGGGTGCGAGTCGTCAGCCTGGTCCAGCCCGTTCCTGCTACTCGCACCAAGCCAGGGGTACGAGTCGTCGGCCTGGTCCAGCCCGTTCCTGCTACTCGCACCAAGCCAAGGGTGCGAGCCGTCAGCCTGATCCAGCCCATTCCTGCTACTCGCACCAAGCCAGGGATGCGAGTCTTCAGCCTGGTGAGGCCTGTTCCGGCTCCACGCACCAGGCAAAGGGTGCGCGTCGGAGGTCCTGATCCAGCAAGCTGGGTCAGATCGGACCGGGGGCACTACGGGGGGAGTGAAGTGGGGTGGTGGTCAAGCCCGGAGCCGGAGCCGCCTCCGAGGAACAACACCCACCCAGCCCTCACCTATTTTGGGGTGTAGGCGCAGTCGGAGTCCGCGCCTTTAGGGGGGGGTACTGTCACGCTCTGGCTCCGGGACTGTGTAGTTTGAGCCAGGGTGTATTCATTTGGTTGTGTTGGGTATAGGGTGTGTTCATTTGGTTGTGTTTGGTTTTGGTTGTAGTGTCTTGTCTCGTCATGTGACTCCCAATCGGAGGTAACGAGTGTCAGCTGTCGGCTCGTTATCTCTGATTGGGAGCCATATTTAAACTGTCAGTGTTCACCTTAGGGTTGTGGGTTTTTGTTCCATGTTTCAGTCTGTGTACTGAGGACTTCACTATCCGTCATTGTTTATTGTTTTCTCGTTCGTGCACTTTAACTTTAATAAAGTCATGTTCGCTACAAACGCTGCGCTTTGGTCCACTCCTTCCGTAGACGGCCGTGACATTTAGAGATATCTATTTTGAATGCTAGAAAGTGAACAAAGGTAAATTATATATTGTAAAGATAAATAAAACAAAGAAGGCTAATTAAAATACCTATATTTTTTACTAGTATAATGTCTGTCCTTCAGTTTCATGTCATTGGTGTTACTGCCTTGAAAATCACATTTATTACAAAGATATACAAGGACCTTGAGCATTCCCTCCAGAGGCAAACTGTTATCGGGGGAGGGGTCTATATTAAAGAAAATGATTCGCTAATATTCTTCAAGCTTTGTCAAATTATTAATGATATCACTTTAGTAAATTATTTTTAAAGGGTTATTGACCTGCATCTGTGGCCTCCATTTAAGAAAATCCTCAATAACCAAAAATGTCTCATTGGTGCATTGGTGTTTCTACTCCTACTGGTGGCACCATAATGTTATCATAATGGTTTTAAAAAAGTCATTAAGCTACCATATTAGTTTAATTAGAATGGGAAGATGTACCCAAATACATCTTTTTTTTAACAAATGAGAAAACTGTAATGCCCAAATGCCACCGCAATTCAAGAACGACCTGACAGTAAATTGAGTACTTTATTTTTCATTTATCTTTAAAGAGTGACTGCCTTTAAAAAGCAACAATTCCCTTCGAAAATGGCCTATGTGGCATCGATATAAGTCAGAAACAGCTGCGGTGATTGCTCTCTATCCAATAGCATAGGCAACGAGACAGACCTGCTCAGCAGCTCTGACTTTGTTTACATAAGACAACAAGTCACGTATCTTTTTACTTGAGAAATACTGCACCAAACACCTTAGTTAGATGTAAAAACTAAAACATCCTCGGTAAAAACGTCAACATTTTTCATTCTGGGGATTTTGAGGAAGTGAAATAGGCTTCCAGTGTGTCACGGTTTCGGCCGAGGCTGCTCCTCCTCCTTGTTCGGGCAGGCTTCGGCGGTCGTCGTCTCCGGAGTACTAGCTGCCACCGTTCTTTGTTTTCGATGTTTGTTTGGTTAGGTCTGTTTGGTACACCTGTTCATGTTTAGTGTTGATTATGTGTCCTATAAGTTCTCGTTGTTTCTGTCATGTGTTGTGTGTAATTGTTTTCACCTGTCTGTTGGTGCTCTTCATTTGTTTGGACAGACGCCAGAGTGTACCGTCGCACTTTTGTTTTCGTGCGTAGTCGGTTTTGGTATTTTACGCACTGTTGCGTATTGTTCGCCTCCGGGCTAGTTGGACCCGTTTGTATTTGTTTCATCTCAGTAAAGTCAGGTTTGACTGAGCTCCTGTGTCCTGCACTTGATTCCACACCACACTCGCATCAGAACCCTTGACACAGTGTCTCATGGGGGGACAAATATCATTAACCAAACGCAGAATCGGTTAGGAAACACACCTCCAAGACTGAAATCTCGTTTTTTTCAAATGAGCAACAGAAAAACACACGTGCCAATCGGCATGTTCAGTAGCTCTTTAAGCACTGAAACAGGCACACAAGACATACTGAGTCATAGGGAGAACTAAGACGCACAGCAACTCTTACACATACTGTACTAAAACAACACAAGGATACACTGAGTCTTTCCAGGAATTACAAATGGTATTAGTAGTGAGTCATGTCTGAGACACAGCATTCTAGAGAGGTCAACAATGAACGCTATTTCGTCACAGTTTCATTTCATTTAGGTTATTTTCAGTTGTATTCAAGGTGAACGTTACCTTACCTCATTGACTCTTGAGTTTTTCAGTGAGAGGGACTTTAACATCTGATTTCTCTGCAAATTTGTCCACTTTTCCTTAATCCAGCACCTCTCTGTACATGCGGTAGCCCACACGCCTTCTCTCCTCCATGGTTGGGCCTGTGTGACCCACTAGAGTCCCATCTGTGTAGAGGTCACCTCTGATACTTCCTTCAAACTTGTCTGATATCAACTCTCTCCCTGTGCTCCGATGTGTTGTGATCTTATGACTTAAATGTCTTATGTCTCAATAGAAACTGGCTTCAGGTTGATTGTCAATGATCAGCAATAATATCCCACTTGATGTAGCTTCAACTTCTGAAAATATGTTCCTCTCCTTCAAGGTCAATCTACTGCAGGTCTGTACATCAGTGTTCAGGTTGTCCAAATATGGTAATCCAAATACTTTATGAATCTGTGTCCAAAGTGTCTGAGCCTTTGTATGACTTTGAGTTAAGAGGGGTCATTCTTCCGTTATTAATCCAGTTGAGACCCTCTGTTCCTAGAAAGTCCTCTGGTTTCATCTTTAACCTCCTCTGTCACTGAGTATTCCCTCTTGTCCAAGTATCTTATGACAGCGGACCTTGAATGAAGACAAAACACAGATACACTCTTGCAGGTGGGGAGGAGGACAGCAAAGTCCCAGTCAATCACTTCATCCCATTCGAGATGGACAGACAGGTGTGCTGTTGACGCTACAAGTCAGTGAGACAGTAGGTCTTTAGAAAGAGGTGTCAGGAGTCTTATCTGGGCCTGATTAGAGAGAGGACATAATTCAGTCAAGTCAGGGATATTACCCTTGTTTTTGCTTACCCTGTGTGGATGGTGTATGACCTGGTTGTGTGCACAAACAGATATGGCCGCAATAATGATACTAGGGGACCGTGAGGGATAAATAATGAACCTGTTGTGTTGGAGTTTGTTGGTCATTTGAATGTTTTGAACCAAACTTCCATTGAAACAGGTTTTTTTTATAGGGGTCAAAGGAAATACCCAGCAGCCCTGGGTGACCTTTGAACTTTGCCCTCCAGTTCACGCCTCTTGCAGATACCCTTATATAAACCGCCTCTTTCTTTATGATCTCTGCTAGACTTATTATATACAGTGTAGGCAGCTCTTCAGTCCCTCCATTTGCAGTTAAGTTAAACTATGCGCTGTACTCTTGTACTCTTCCCTCCCCTTCTGATGTGCAGTGAATATTTAACATTTATTTATGTTTAATAGTATTTTAATTTCCATCTGAAGCTTGATGATATATGTTGAAACAGTATTACTTTCTTCAGTATTCAAGGGTTGACATAGAGTTTAATAGAGGTGTTGTCCACCCAACTAATGCTAAGTAATCAAACAGGGGTGTTGCACCTGTCAATCATTCCAATTAAATCCATGTTTTAGTGGAGCTGCAGACAGAGTAAGCTTACAAAGATTTTAAATGGTAAAACACAATGATACAGTTTGGTTATAATGAAAAAGAATAAACCATTCTGTATGCAACAAAGAATTGAACACACGATGCCATATTGCTCCAATAAAGCTTTTATAGAAACAGCTTCTGTTTCCATTTCTTCTAAAACACACAGCAGAATGAATGATGTGACAGTATGGTCTCATAGTTCACAACTTAACCGTAGTAGGCTATCAGCATGTGGATTGAAGTCATTATACTGTACAACCTTTCACTGAGCAAGGTTGAGAAAAACATCCAAATGTACCCTCCTGAATGACATTTCATTTGTACCCCCCCCCCAAATTGTAAAGTGGTTATCCCACTGGCTATAGGGTGAACGCACCAATTTGTGAGTCGCTCTGGCTAAGAGCGTCTGCTAAATGACGTTAATGTGCCCTTGAGCAAGGCACTTAACCCTAATTGCTCCTGTAAGTCGCTCTGGTTAAGAGCGTCTGCTAAATGACTAAAATGTAAATGTAAATGTAAAATGTACCCTCCTGAATTACATTGTCACAAGAGGGCGAGTCAGTCAGTCATTATTTATCTCTGTGTAGCACAAACCCACCCAGGCAATGCCAGCAGTACAGTAGTAGTACAGTAGCAGTACAGTAGTAGTACAGTAGTAGTACAGTAGCAGTACAGTAGTAGTACAGTAGCAGTACAGTAGCAGTACAGTAGTAGTACAGTAGCAACACAGTAGCAGTACAGTAGCAGTACAGTAGTAGTACAGTAGTAGTACAGTAGTAGTACAGTAGCAGTACAGTAGTAGTACAGTAGCAGTACAGTAGCAGTACAGTAGCAACACAGTAGCAGTACAGTAGCAGTACAGTAGTAGTACAGTAGCAGTACAGTAGTAGTACAGTAGCAGTACAGTAGTAGTACAGTAGCAGTACAGTAGTAGTACAGTAGTAGTACAGTAGTAGTACAGTAGCAGTACAGTAGTAGTACAGTAGTAGTACAGTAGCAGTAAAGTAGTAGTACAGTAGCAGTACAGTAGTAGTACAGTAGTAGTACAGTAGCAGTACAGTAGCAGTACAGTAGCACTACAGTAGTAGTACAGTAGCAGTACAGTAGTAGTACAGTAGTAGTACAGTAGTAGTACAGTAGCAGTACAGTAGTAGTACAGTAGTAGTACAGTAGCACTACAGTAGCACTACAGTAGCAACACAGTAGCAGTACAGTAGCAGTACAGTAGTAGTACAGTAGCAGTACAGTAGTAGTACAGTAGTAGTACAGTAGTAGTACAGTAGCACTACAGTAGCACTACAGTAGCAACACAGTAGCAGTACAGTAGCAGTACAGTAGTAGTACAGTAGCAGTACAGTAGTAGTACAGTAGCAACACAGTAGCAGTACAGTAGCAGTACAGTAGTAGTACAGTAGTAGTACAGTAGCAGTACAGTAGTAGTACAGTAGCAGTACAGTAGTAGTACAGTAGTAGTACAGTAGCACTACAGTAGCACTACAGTAGTAGTACAGTAGCAGTACAGTAGTAGTACAGTAGTAGTACAGTAGTAGTACAGTAGCAGTACAGTAGTAGTACAGTAGCAGTACAGTAGTAGTACAGTAGTAGTAGTACAGTAGCAGTACAGTAGCAGTACAGTAGTAGTACAGTAGCAGTACAGTAGCAGTACAGTAGTAGTACAGTAGCAGTACAGTAGTAGTACAGTAGCAGTACAGTAGTAGTACAGTAGCAGTACAGTAGTAGTACAGTAGTAGTACAGTAGCAGTACAGTAGCACTACAGTAGCACTACAGTAGTAGTACAGTAGTAGTACAGTAGCAGTACAGTAGTAGTACAGTAGTAGTACAGTAGCAGTACAGTAGTAGTACAGTAGCAGTACAGTAGTAGTACAGTAGCAGTACAGTAGCAGTACAGTAGTAGTACAGTAGCAGTACAGTAGTAGTACAGTAGTAGTACAGTAGCACTACAGTAGTAGTACAGTAGCAGTACAGTAGTAGTACAGTAGTAGTACAGTAGCAGTACAGTAGTAGTACAGTAGTAGTACAGTAGTAGTACAGTAGCAGTACAGTAGTTGTACAGTAGTAGTACAGTAGCAGTACAGTAGTAGTACAGTAGTAGTACAGTAGCAGTACAGTAGCAGTACAGTAGTAGTACAGTAGCACTACAGTAGCACTACAGTAGCAACACAGTAGCAGTACAGTAGCAGTACAGTAGTAGTACAGTAGCAGTACAGTAGCAGTACAGTAGTAGTACAGTAGTAGTACAGTAGTAGTACAGTAGCACTACAGTAGCACTACAGTAGCAACACAGTAGCAGTACAGTAGCAGTACAGTAGCAGTACAGTAGCAACACAGTAGCAGTACAGTAGCAGTACAGTAGTAGTACAGTAGTAGTACAGTAGCAGTACAGTAGTAGTACAGTAGCAGTACAGTAGTAGTACAGTAGTAGTACAGTAGCACTACAGTAGCACTACAGTAGTAGTACAGTAGCAGTACAGTAGTAGTACAGTAGTAGTACAGTAGTAGTACAGTAGCAGTACAGTAGTAGTACAGTAGCAGTACAGTAGTAGTACAGTAGTAGTACAGTAGCAGTACAGTAGCAGTACAGTAGTAGTACAGTAGCAGTACAGTAGTAGTACAGTAGTAGTACAGTAGCAGTACAGTAGTAGTACAGTAGCAGTACAGTAGTAGTACAGTAGTAGTACAGTAGTAGTACAGTAGCAGTACAGTAGCACTACAGTAGCAGTACAGTAGTAGTACAGTAGCACTACAGTAGCACTACAGTAGTAGTACAGTAGCAGTACAGTAGTAGTACAGTAGTAGTACAGTAGTAGTACAGTAGCAGTACAGTAGCACTACAGTAGCACTACAGTAGTAGTACAGTATCAGTACAGTAGTAGTACAGTAGTAGTACAGTAGTAGTACAGTAGCAGTACAGTAGTAGTACAGTAGCAGTACAGTAGTAGTACAGTAGCAGTACAGTAGTAGTACAGTAGTAGTACAGTAGCAGTACAGTAGTAGTACAGTAGCAGTACAGTAGTAGTACAGTAGCAGTACAGTAGCAGTACAGTAGTAGTACAGTAGCAGTACAGTAGTAGTACAGTAGTAGTACAGTAGCACTACAGTAGTAGTACAGTAGCAGTACAGTAGTAGTACAGTAGTAGTACAGTAGCAGTACAGTAGTAGTACAGTAGTAGTACAGTAGTAGTACAGTAGCAGTACAGTAGTAGTACAGTAGTAGTACAGTAGCAGTACAGTAGTAGTACAGTAGGCCTGCAATGGAAATCGAAACGATGATGCAAACAACGAATGACAGTCAATTCTGTCTGAGTAACATCAGCTGAGCTCACCCATTTCCTATAAGTGTCTGATCTCATTGGAGGAGGTCAAGGAGAGAAACCCAACCATTAAACCCACACAGACACCTCTAAGCATTGTGCAGGAGGGTTGGTCTTGGACATGTTTTAGAGATAGGCATACAGACAGAGACAGACAGACTCAGGCTGGCTCCTCTCCTGCTGCTCTCTTTTCATAGCTCAAAAGAAGACTTTGAACTACAGCATTAGAGATTGAGCTCAAAGGAAAGCATTTTCATAGTCCTATCGCAACGCCAGCTTGAGCTGGGAGTTCAGTCTACTGTATATTCTGATTGAGGTAGGAATTCCACAGTGGCATTTTCCCATCCACTCCATGAGCTGCATGCTGCACATCAACACTCACTCAGCTCTGTGTTGTGGTCCTATAGGAGCAGAAGAACAACATCAATGCAGAGGTAGAAAACAATCACAAGCAAGCAGACTAATTCCAACAGACAAATTGGTAGATATAGGACACTAGGTAGCAATGCCACTAGCAATGCATACAGAAAAAGTTAACATACTCACAGCCAAGGGAGGAGATATCTGGCAGTGTTGGACAGCGTGGTGCACTGAGGGGAAGAGGCAGGACCTGGGCAGAGTGTTTGGGATGAAGCCCTGGGCCTGCAGCTGACTCACCAGCCTGTCTACAGTACACAGGTAACACACAAGCACATTACCCTACAATCTGAAACTGACATGCACATTACCCTACAATCTGAAACTGAGATGCACATTACCCTACAATCTGAAACTGATTTCTAAAGCAACTGTAGCTGCCATTACGTCTTACACCAAAAACAGTACTATCAATGTCCTGAGAGGTATGAGAGCAATGTCCAGTGCAGAATTTCACAATATGAAATATATATATATATATATATGTTACAGTACATCAATCACTGTTTTGAGGGTAGACCAGGGAGTTTTATAAGTAAATGAGGTTGTTATGGCAGTAACAGGTTGTTTGAGGGGAATTTACCTTGGCAAGCAGCCAGAAACACATTGACCCCCTGCTCCTCCAATTCCTCCACAAGCTGCCACAATGGAAAAACACAGTGTGTTACACAGCACAGTATGGAATATCCCTTGTTCCCTTTCCCTATCTCACGCTCTCTGTTATTCGTTTCAGGAAATGACTGTTTGGGCTCACCGTACATAGTGCTTTGATTGACACAGAGTCCATGAAGATGACTGAGCTAAACTCTAGCACCATACTGCGCCTTGCTCCTGACATTTGAGCTAAGGGCTGGATCTCAATGAGGGCTGCATTCTCCAGTTGGACACGCTGCACCGACTGTATTCACAAAAACACACACTTGCTAATGTTCATAGACTTTCACATTGCATGAATTACAGCTGTCAACCTACAGTAAGTACGTGAAGGAATGCACAACTGTGCAGAAACAAACAGTGGAATGCGGTGGTTCTGGGTTGAGTTGTAGTTTATGTTATATTGTCTCGGTTAAGTTGTAGTTTATGTCTCGTAGCATGTAGCCTACCTACCTTTCTGAGAGAGCTGAAGAACAGCTCAGCATTTGCAAAGTACAGAGGGTTGGAGCAAGAGAATATAGTTACTCCAGGAATCGGCCTGGCCTGTAAAACACAGAGCAGGCCAGGGTGTTGTTCATCAGCAGCACAGCTGGGGCTGGTTAGTTAGTTCAGGTGAAAGGTGGCTATCATAGAGGTTACCTCAGCATAGAGATGTAGGTCCCTGTAGCAGTCAGTCCCAGGAATATGACCCAGCATTGCACTGTGGGAGCTGAGAGAGAGAGATAAAGAGATAAAGAGAGAGAGAGAGAGAGAGAGAGACATAAACAGACAGAGCGAGTGATGAGTGAATACAAAAGAAAGAATGAGAAAGAAAAGACATGAACAATTACCATAGGTGTTATGCGAATCCCATAACATGCACCCAACCTAACGCATGAACGACACACTCACAGTTGAGTCCTGTAGATGACAGTGATCAGAGAGAGGGCCAGAGCAGCAGCCAGGCCCAGATCCAGGTTGAAAAGCAGGGTGGATATCAGGGTGGCCAACCACACCAGCTGTAGGGAGAGAGGGGAGAGAGACATAGGAAAGTCCCTGGATTAGAGGCCTTTATGGGGTGATCAGTGATGGCATATGGGATGGATGATGGATGTTATATGGAGGTTGTTGTTGAATAATACCAGGTCCAAGCGGTCAGATGCCCAGAGCACTGGGACTTCCCGAAACTGACCCAGAATCCCTTGCAGATTTACCACAATGACCACTGCTAACACTGCCTGTAACAGACACACATAGAGACAGAGCAACACCTATAAACACTTACAAACACAAAGGCAGGGAATGATACAGAAGCATATGGACACAAAAACAAACAAATGAACGCAAACACAGACAAAACATCTGATTTCAGTGTTAGAGAAGGGATTGTAGAAGGTGTTATAAATGACTTGAGTACTATTGGCAGCTGCTCAAAGAGATGTCCAATCTTCAGCAAGATGGTGAGCATCATCAGAGCAGAGAGAAGCCCAGCCGCCTGTGGAGAGAGGGAGCGAGGGGGAGAGATTAGAAAAGCGAGAGCGAAACAGAGGGAGATACATATAAGAGAGGGAAGATGTGAGATTAAGTCTTTACCTGTGCCGGAGTTTGGTCTAGCACACAGACAACTATGGACTACATATTCCCCAAAGGAGACCAGAGTTCAATTCCAGAGCCAGACTTTAAATCCTGTGTCCCTCTCACATGTAATACTACAGTATGTATCCCTCTCATTTCAATACTATAGTGTGTCTATCACAAAAAACAATTCCATTCACCTGATGTGTATATGCGGAAATCTCTCCACCATTTCCTGGTTGCTAAAATTCTAATACTTTGCCTAATTTCAGTTTATGTGACAAAACAAGCAAGTATAGTGTAGAGAATCATTGTAACATCTAAACTGCTGTGAAATATATTTTCCATAACCAAAACACTTTGTAATTTCAGCTGTTTGAAGCTGGTGTACAAAATCAAAAGTAAAAGATGCAAAAAACGAAACATAAAAATGGGAAGCATAGAAATAGCGCATTGCTTTCAATGAGAATGACATACACTATATATACAAAAGTTTGTGGACACCTCTTCTAATTAGTGGATTTGGCTATTTCAGCCACACCCGTTGCTGACATGTGTATAAAATCGAGCACACCGCCATGCAATCTCCATAGACAAACATTGGCAGTAGAATGGCTTTACTGAAGAGCTCAGTGACTTTCAACGTGGCACCGTCATAGGATGCCACCTTTCCAACAAGTCAGTTCGTCAAATTTCTGTCCTGCTAGAGCTGCCCCAGTCAACTGTAAGGGCTGTTATTGTGAAGAGGAAATGTCTGGGGGCAACAAAGGCTCAGCCGCGAAGTGGTAGGTCACACAAGCCCAAGATCACCATGCGCAATGCCAAGCGTCGGCTGGAGTGGTGTAAAGCTCGCCACCATTGGACTCTGGAGCAGTGGAAAAGCGTTCTCTGGAGTGATGAATCCCGCTTCACCATCTGGCAGTCCGACGGATGATTCTGGGTTTGGCAGATGCCAGGAAAACGCTACCTGCCCAAATGCATAGTGCCAACTGTAAAGTTTGGTGGAGGAGGAATAATGGTCTGGGGCTGTTTTTCATGGTTTGGGGTAGGCCCCTTATTTCCAGTGAAGATAAATGTTATGGCTACAGCATACAATGACATTCTAGATTATTCTGTGCTTCCAACTTTGTGGCAACAGTTTGGGGAAGGCCTTTTCCTGTTTCAGCATGACAATGCCCCAGTGCACGAAGCGAGGTCCATACAAAAATGCTTTGTCGAGATCGGTGTGGATGAACTTGACTGGCCTGCACAGAGCCCTGACCTCAACCCCATCAAAAACCTTTGGGATGAATTGGAACGCCGACTGCGAGCCAGGCCTAATCGCCCAACATCAGTGCCCGACCTCACTAATGCTCTTGTGGCTGAATGGAAGCAAGTCCCCACAGCAATGTTCCAACATCTAGTGGAAAGCCTACCCAGAAGAGTGCAGGCTGTTACAGCAGCAAAGGGGGGGACCAATTCCATATTAAGGCCCACGATTTTGGAATGAGATGTTCAACGAGCAGGTGTCCACATACGTTTGGTCATGTAGTGTATCTATAACTCACATTTCTATGTGAAATTTGTTGGGTCGCCCAAAAAGTTACATATTGCAGCTTTAAAGCTGAAACCCCAGTGCATTTGTTATTATTTTTGTTTTGTTGAGGAAATGGAGGAGAGGAGCGTCCGCCAGCGTGGTAGAAAGAAAAATCGCAGTACATCTGGTGTTCTATCGCACATGCAATGTCAGAGGGAAAAAAAATGTTCATTGTTTGAAGTAACTTCTTTGTTATTGTAATATACCAAAAAGACGTGGCAGTTTCACTGCTAGGAATTCCAGCTATAAAAAATAAAACGCTACCTGGGTTTTCACCCCAACACTCTCTTGGACCGTACTGCGTGACAAAGAGCAGCTGACGGCGAAACACTGGAACATCCCTCCAATTGTGTTGCAGAGGCCTATCGCCAACAGGTCCTGCAGCAGGGAGAGACCAATTATAGCAGTGAAATAGCGGGAGAGAGAAACTGGTCCTCCAAACAGTGGTGTGAGGATAATGAGTTCATTATGAGACAATTTCAGAGCTAATTTCTCTGTTACCTGGTTGCTGTCCATGGCGTAACCATGTTTGTGGGCAAATATTCTGCCCATGGAGGAGGTAAAGCCAAAGCCCACCACAGCCAGGGACAGAGCCGGACCAAACAGCTCCTTGACCTGGGCTAGAGAGGGGAGGGCTGGGGAGGACAGGCTGAAGCCACAGAGAGATAGAGGGGACATACTGGTAGTTTCATCATATTTTTGTATCCATCTCATGTAGCCTGTGAACATAACACTGTAATAATTAGGTTTTATGTCACAAGTAAATTCATTTTCAGTCTTGTTTTCTCTACATGGCACAAACAGATGAAGAGAGACAGTAGGACTGACCCAGTGGGTATGTGTCCTACAACCTGGACACTATGTTGTCCTGACAACTCCAACTGCACTGACAGGAAGGTGGCCAGCATTATCTGAGGATAAAATGAAGAGGACAGAAATACCTTTATGCAATTCTGACTCAACTCTGACTGTGTGTGTGTGTGTGTGTGTGTGTGTATATGTGTGTCTCACCAGCACCAGCTCCCATGGAATGGGCATGGGTAGCTTGGTCTTGAAGAGTCTATTCAGCATCTTGCCTCCCACCAGGATCCCCATGGAGACGGCGGAGACGACCAGCGTCCCAGGCGTTGCGTTAGTCACTCTAGACAGCACATCAACCAGCGTCTGACACACACCGGGGTACAGGAATGAAGACAGGGACACACACTTTCTCGCACTCTCTCTGTCTCCTATACATGCACACAGACACATACACGCACATACACACACACACACACACACACTCACAAACAAAGCTCACCCAGCCTACAGCCAGGAAACCGCTGTGTCTGTCGGATGAGATGCCAACGAGTAGAGGCAGCTGGTGGATGGTGATATGGAGGGCTGCTGCCGTGGTATAGCCGCTCACCAGGGGCTGAGACAGCCAGTGACACACATCCCCTCCTCTCAACAAGAACAACACTATCTGTAGAGGGGGATAAGTAACATATATAGCCTGTCATCCTAAGACGTGTGTGTGTGTGTGTGTGTGTGTGTGTGTGTTCACCTGTATAAGGCCACAAAGGAAGGTAAGTTGTACTGCCACACACACTCTGGCCATCTCTCTTTCGCCGTCCTGCTCCTCAACACTGTTGCTAAGCAACTCCACGCTACCCGTCACAGTGCCAATCATGATAGAAAGAATGCCGAAAGTACCTGTGTGTCAGTAATGCATAGAAACATACAGATATTATACTCAAAGTACCTGTGTGTCAGTCATGCATAGAAACATACAGATATTATATTCAAAGCCTTGCACTCTTTTCTCGCTCAGGTTAACTGAACTCTACCAACATTTCACTCTTTCAGCACTAGCTGAAAGAAAACTAATGCCAATGAGGGAAGTTGAATATGCACACCACTTCAGGTGATGAGAGTGACGTAGAGGTCAGTGCTAACACTCACCCACTGAGATGTGTCTGGATGTCCCAAAGATGAAGTAGATGACCAATGGATAGAAAGAGGTGTAGAGACCAAACACAGGAGGCACCCCAGCCAGCAACGCATTAGACATGCCTTTGTGGGAGAGAGAGATTGATAGAGAGAGGGGGAGGGAAAGAGAAAGAGAGAAACACAGACAGTGAAATGACAGTTCAAATTAAGCATCTGGGCTAAAGCAGACATGGGAAGTTGGTATACCATGTGCATATCAATCTCATTCATATCAGTAGCTCAAGGTAGTCAGTGGTACCTCCAGGTAGGTGCATGATGCCCACACTGATGCCCGAAATCAGGTCTCCGATGGCGTTTTCTCTGAGGGAGTAGCGAGGCAGCCAGGCGAGGACAGGAACCAATGACAACATACAGCTCTTCAGCCTGGGACCAGAACACCTGGGAGAGGAGACACACCAGAGTTGGGGTTAAATCGTAGACATAAAGGGTTAATTCCTCTCTGTTGAAGTGGGCACACATGAATATGTAGGCCAAATAAAAAATGTGTTAATGTAAAAGGAAATGTAATATATAAAAGAAACACCAATAATGTGATACTGTCCCTCATAATAATATACAGTATGTCCCTCATGACACCCGAGACTACTGGGGGTAGGGTTAACGTTCACGGCACAATGAATATATAGAGCATGAATACAGCGCTGGGGCAAACAAGGCTCCACTTTCACTCACCAGCATTCTGCCTTCACCCTCTCCCAAACCGACCGGGACGTCTTTCCCAACCGCTGACCCAGTATATCCAACTGTGCTTCGTCCAGCATGGCTGTGTGATCAGGTAGGACAGGCTGGAGAGGATTAAGAATAATACTGTCCATCTTGAAGTCAAGGGCACAGCGCAGGAACACTCTCCAGCACTGCTATATAAGGACGGTTCACATTCACTGACTGCTGCCAATTTTCCATTCGCTAATTTCTCTCTATTTTGTGTATGAATAGTTCAGTGAACCAGTTTAGATATAATTAGAGTGAATGTGCAAAATAATAGCATAGTAATTAAATAGAAAAATAGCCAAACAATGTGTGTGTGTGGGAGAGTAAATACTAGGTGAAGATAAAACCTGTACAAAACCATATCCAGAGAATGAGCAGGCTGGTGTCATGTGAGTGTGTTTACCGTACACCACGTGTGCCGGGGAGGGTGGAGTGAAGCCTTGAACTGTACTCAGAGCAGCGGGAAATCCCTTCCCCTCCCCTCAACTATTAAATGCTGCTGAACACCTCTTTTATAATGGCTCGCATTCAGACAGAATGGCACCCTAAGTAGTGCACTATATAGGGAATAGGGTGCCATTTGGGATGTAACCAAAGAGCCATGGCTTAAAAGTAGGGCCTTTCCCAGGAAGGAGAACCCAAACGAACTCCTTGATCTCCTGGCCCATCTACAGTTGATTAAACACCACACTGTCATGTTCACAGGAGGACTTCAGCTATCTAACAAACTCATTTATTTATAGTATAATGGTTGGTGGATTACAAGGCATCATCTACTAGACTGAACCAATCCCTCAAAGCCAACACCAGTGTGGAGACCTGAGGAAAACATTCCACACACATAGGAAATCAGGGAAACACAAAACTACTCGAATACTCAAATATGTTATGAGATATTTGAGAGGAACCAAATGTTGTATTTATAGCAGAACTAATAAATGGAACCGGTAATAAATACTGATTAGAGTGGAAATGCCCCTGATTACATTCATATCATGAATTATTACTTAATACTTCCACAAGATCTTATCTACAGTGGGACCTGGATCTTTTTCGGGCCGTTCCAAGAACTTGATATGCGGAGGAAATGAAACACTGTGAGTCACATGTGTAAGGGTCTGGTTATTTATCGGATGCCTCTCTTTATAATAAAATAAACTCAGCTCCAAATTGAATAACATTATCAGTGGGAGAATGGAAAAGAGAACTAGATTCAGTTGTATTCAGAATCTGTTGTTCCAATGTACTTTAGAATGACAAAAGGAGTGCAAAGCCATGGAGAACGGAATATGTCATGTCTCACGGACGTGATAAAAATGGATCAAATTGACTTCCCTTCAAGCCAATCAGAATCGAGTATTCAACAATGCCAATGTATAACTTTCAATCAGCATGATAAAGGTAGACATAAGTTTAACATCATATGATTGAACTTGTATTTCAACTCTTATGGCACAAAGTAGTAGAGTTGGTACAGTATTATAATTATACCTACTGTACCAACAACTCACATGTTCAGGGGGCAGGTTTTCAAAAACAGAGAGCAAAATCATCCTCTATTAAAAGTCTGATCCCCTGGCATTTGTTTAAAATATTGCAGCGGTTTCTCTGGAACTTGAGACAACGATGACAATAACATTTTGATGGGAAAGAAATGTTGTGAATCCCTGGCCCCTAGCCTGATGCCACCATGATGTGTCTGCCCATGGACTCATAGAGACCACAGGGTTATAAGACTGTCATCCTGAGGACAAGGTCCAAATGAACAACATCAACGCCTCTTCCTATCAGTCTCACCGTCCACTGATATCAGATACCCACATATGTCAGTTAGCAAGGGTGGGCATGTCTGTGTGTGTGTGTGTCTGTGGATTAGGTTTTAGGTGTGAGTATGAGTGTGCACGTCTCTGTGTAGGTGAGCTCAGGTATCTCTAACAGTGAGTGAGGACAGGTGTGTTTGATTATTTGTAGGTGTGGGTTCATTCTTCTGCTGTACTGACATGCATAAAGGTCTTTGGATAAATCATCTTAGTTCTCAAACCAGCCTTCCATTATAACCATTTGCCACATCACACTGTAGAACATAAATCAAATCAAATCAAATTGTATTTGTCACATACACGTGTTTAGCAGATGTTATGGCGGGTGTAGCGAAATGCTTGTGCTTCTAGCTCCGACAGTGCAGTAATATCTAACAATTTCACAACATATACCCAATACACACAAAAAAGTAAGGAATGGGATTTAAGAATATATACATATATGGACAAGCAATGACAGAGCGGCATGGACTAAGATACAGAAGAATATTATAGAATAGAATGCAGTATATACATATGAGATGAGTAGCGCAAGATATGTAAACATTATTAAAATTAGTGTTCCATTTCTTAAAGTGGCCAGTGATTTCAATAGGCTGCAGCAGCCTCTAATGTGCTAGTGATGGCTATTTAACAGTCTGATGGCCTTGACATAGAAGCTGTTTTTCATTCTCTCGGTCCCAGCTTTGATGCACCTGTACTGACCTCGCCTTCTGGATGATAGCGGGGTGAACAGACAGTGGCTCGGGTGGTTGATGTCCTTAATGATCTTTTTGGCCTTCCTGTGACATTGGGTGCTGTATGTGTCTTGGAGGGTAGTTTTCCCCCGGTAATGCGTTCGGCAGACCGCACCACCCTCTGGAGAGCCCTGCAGTTGTGGGCGGTGCAGTTGCCATACCAGGTGGTGATACAGCCCGACAGGATGCTCTCATTTTTGCATTTGTAAAAGTTTGTGAGAGTTTTAGGTGATAAGACACATTTCTTCAGCCTCCTGATGTTGAAGAGGCTCTGTTGCGCCTTCTTCACCAATCTCTCTGCGTGGGTGGACCATTTCAGTTTGTCGGTGATGTGTACGCCAAGGAACTTGAAGCTTTCCACCTTCTCCACTGCGGTCCCGTCGATGTGGATAGGGGGTGCACCCTCTGCTGTTTCCTGAAGTCCACGATCATCTCCTTCGTTTTGTTGATGTTGAGTGAGAGGTTATTTTCCTGGCACCACACTCCCAGAGCCCTCACCTCCTCCCTGTAGGCGGTCTCGTCATTGTTGGTAATCAAGCCTACTACTGTTGTGTCGTCTGCAAACTTGATGATTGAGTAGAAGGCGTGCTTGGCCACACAGTCATGGGTGAACAGGGAGTACAGGAGGGGGCTGAGCACGCACCCTTGTGGGGCCCCAGTGTTGACGATCAGCGAAGTGGAGATGTTGTTTCCTACCTTCACCACCTGGGGGCAGCCCGTCAGGAAGTCCAGGACCCAGTTGCACAGGGCGGGGTTTAGACCCAGGGCCTCGAGCTTAATGATGAGCTTGGAGGGTACTATGGTGTTGAATGCTGAGCTATAGTCAATGAACAGCATTCTTACATAAGTATTCCTCTTGTCCAGATGGGATAGGGCAGTGTGCAGTGTGATGGCAATTTTATGGATCTGTGGATCTATTGGGGTGGTAAGCAAATTGAAGTGGGTCTAGGGTGACAGGTAAGGTAGAGGTAATATGATCCTTGACTAGTCTCTCAAAGCACTTCATGATGACAGAGGTGAGTGCTACGGTGCGATAGTCATTTAGTTCAGTTACCTTTGCTTTCTTGGGTACAGGAACAATGGTGGCCCTCTTGAAGCATGTGGGAACAGCAGACTGGGAAAGGGAGAGATTGAATATGTCCATGAACACACCAGCCAGCCAGAGGACGCGGCTAGGGATGTCGTCTGGGCCGGCAGCCTTGCGGGGGTTAACATGCTTAAATGTCTTAATCACGTCGGCCATGGAGAAGGAGAGGCCACAGTCCTTGGTAGTGGGCCTCGTCAGTGGCACTGTCTTATCCTCAAAGCGGGCGAAGAAGGTGTTTAGCTTGTCTGGAAGTGAGACGTCGGTGTCGGCGACGTGGCTGGTTTTCTTTTTGTAGTCCGTGATTGTCTGTAGACCCTGCCACATACGTCTCGTGTCTGAGCCATTGAATTGCAACTCCACTTTGTCTCTATACTGATGTTTTGCCAGTTTAATTGCCTTGCGGAGTGAGTAGCTACACTGTTTGTATTCTGCCATATTCCCAGTCACCTTGCCATGGTTGAATGCGGTGGTTCGCGCTTTCAGATTTGCGCGAATGCTGCCGTCTATCAACGGTTTCTGTTTAGGGTAGGTTTTAATAGTCACAGTGGGCACAACATCACCTATACACTTCCTGATAAACTCAGTCACTGTTTCAGTGTATATGTCAAAATTATTTTCGGAAGCTACCCGGAACATATCCCAGTCCGCGTGATCAAAACAATCTTGAAGCGTGGATTCCGATTGGTCAGACCAGCGTTGAATAGCACAGGTACTTCCTTTTTGAGTTTCTGCCTATAGGAAGGGAGATGCAAAAAGGAGTCGTGGTCAGATTTGCCGAAAGGAGGGCGGGGGAGGGCCTTATAACCATCCCGGAAGTTTGAATAGCAATGGTCGAGGATTTTAGCAGCGCAAGTACAACAGTCGATATGTTGATAGAACTTCGGCAGCCTAGTCCTCAAATTTGCTTTGTTAAAATCCCCGGCTAAACTAAATGCAGCTTCAGGATATGTGGTTTCCAGTTTGCATAAGGTCCAGTGAAGTTCTTTGAGGGCCGTCGTGGTATCGGCTTGAGGGGGGATATACACGGCCGTGACTATAACAGAAGATAATTCTCTTGGGAGATAATACGGTCGGCATTTGATTGTGAGATATTCTAGGTCGGGTGAACAGAAGGACTCGAGTTCCTCTATGTTACTACAATTACACCATGAGTCGTTAATCATGAAACACACACCTCCGCCCTTCTGGTTTCCGGAGAGATATTTATTCCTGTCTGCGCGATGAACTGAGAACCCATCTGGCTGGACCGATTCCGACAGAATATCCCAAGAGAGCCATGTTTCCGTGAAACAGAGTATGTTACAGGCCTTGATGTCTCTCTGGAAAGAAATCCTTGCCCGTAGTTCGTCGACTTTGTTAACCAAAGATTGAACATTAGCAAGTAGAATACTTGGAAGCGGTGGGTGGTGTGCACGCCTCCTAAGTCGGACCAGCAGGCCGCTCCGAGTGCCTCTCCTCCACCAGCGATGTTTTGGGTCAGCCGCTGGAATCAGTTCAGTTGCCCTAGGGAGAGCAAACAAAGGATCTGCTTCGGGAAAGTCGTATTCCTGGTCGGAATGCTGGTGAGTTACCGCCGCTCTGATATCCAATAGTTTTTCCCGGCTGTATGTAATGATGCAAAACACTTTCTGAGCTAATAATGTCAAAAATAATACATAAAAAAACAAAATACTGCAAAGTTTCCTAAGAGCTAGTCGCGAGGCCGTCATCTTCGTCGGCACCACACACTAAGTGACATAGTGACTAAAACAAATTATTCTGAGACAAATAGAGACTTTTAAAAATGTTTTACCCAGTCTCAGGAGATAATTCTTGCCAACCTTACATTATAAACATTGACACATTATATCAAACATTAACTTTCTTTATATCATATAAAGTGTTATGATGACTAAATGAAATGCTATAATCTTATGATTTTGAGAGAGAAATACAGGTCTTTATATTACCATGTCTTGGGAGAGAATGATTGCCAACCTGCAATGGAACCATTTGCCACATTATAGCTAATGTATCAAACATGAATTTAGATAGACTATGGTTAGCATACCAGACTACATAAAACTCTACCATCAAATAATTCTGAGTTTTATTTGTTTCAGCATGTCTGGGGGGGAAATTTTACTTTTTTTATCTGTGATTTTTTGTTGATATGTTTTAATCTAATAAATTACCTAATTTAATCCTTAATATACTGTCTCAAAGCCCCACCCCCAGATCCAGACAGCCAATAACAAAACATTCTTAACACACGTCACACACACACAAATGTTTAGTACTGTAATCACTGGGCACTATAACATACAAACATTGAGAATAAATGTGCTTTAAAAGCAGTATCCCTGGACAGAGTTCATCAGAAATGGTTCAGATGATCTGCACATGACCATGGTCCTGGTGTGGTTCTTGGTGTACCATCAAGGTGGTCAGTGCTGGACAGTTGTCCCGTATTTCAGAAGGACAGTACCTGACCACCGGTGCAAGTGCTTGACCTTGGTGAGGTTGTGATGCAACCAGAACTGGACCATTGTCCTGGTGAGTGGTCAAGTATTGTCCTAGGTAATGGTCATGCTGTGGTCAGTCCTGAGTTGCTGTTCTAGGTCATGGTGTGTTGCGGTCAGTCAGTAGTGGATCTGTTTCAGCAGCAGCATGAGGTCTCGGATGCGTTCAGCGCGGCTGTGGGGGGACTGGTGCAGCGGCAGCTCGAAGAAGGAGAAGGTGAAGCTGCGAGAGAAGCTGAGGTTGGTGACAGGTCTGAGGGGGGGCAAGCGGGGGGCACGGGGGAGCCTGTGCTGGGGGAGCACCCTGCGCCTCACCCTCACAGCCCTGCCCCCCTCCGTGGGCGCTGTGACTGGGGGCGAGGGGGCAGGGCTCCGGACACCTACACCCCCTGACAGGTGTCGGGGGAGTTGGGGGGACAGGGCTGTGGGGAGAGGGGCGGGCGGGGGTGGGGGCGGAGGGATGCTAGTGAAGGAGGATTCGGACAGGGACAGCCCGCCCCACGGGGTCATGTTGTCAGGGGGGATGTTGGCAGAGGTCTGGGCCGGCTGGGTGCGCTTCCTCCGTGTGGCCTGAGAGGGGCGCTGGTGGGTTGTCATAGTAGGCTTGACTGTGGAGGAGGAGAGATTCTTCTCAGTTTAAACCATGTTGAAAAGATAAGGCAGTAAATGTTCAAATGGACTGATTTAAAGCTGAAATCCACAGTTGGGGAAACTGCCACATCTGTTTTCTATATTACAACAACAATTACTTCAAACAATGAACACTGTTTCTTCCCTAGGACGCACGATTAGAACAGCAGAATATGTAATGTTGCTTTTCTTTACCAAGATGCTGGATGCTCCTCTCTCTTTCAGTTCATCAACAAAACAAAAACAATAACAAAGGTGCTGTTTCCCCCTTTACGGATTTCAGCTTTAAAGTAACTTCATTTGTCACAGATATACAGTTGACATAGGGCAAGGTTGTCTTTGAATTTGTATAGTATACAGTTTTATAAATGTATGTAAATGTGACATCTTATTCAAGTGTATAAAAGTGTTTTACTAAATCAAGATATTCATACCTGCATAGGCTATACACTGAGTGTACAAAACATTAGGAACAGCTGCTCTTTCCATGACATAGACTGACCAGGTGAAAGCTATGATCCCTTATATATGTCACTTGTTAAATCCACTTCAATCAATGTAGATAAAGGGGAGGAGACAGGTTAAAGAAGGGTTTTTAAGCCTCGAGACAATTAAGACATGGATTGTGTATGCGTGCCATTCAGATGGTGAATGGGCAAGACAAAAGCTTTAAGTGCCTTTGAACGGGGTATGGTAGTAGGTACCAGGCGCACAGGTTTGTGTCAAGAACTGCAACGCTGCTGGGTTTTTCCTGCTCAACAGTTTCCCATCTGGCCAACTTCACATAACTGTGGGAAGGATTGGAGTCAACATGGGCCAGCATCCCTGCGGAACGCTTTCGACACCTGGTAGAGTCTATGCCCCGACGAATTGAGGCTGTTCTGAGGGCAAAAGGGGGTGCAACTCAATATTAGGAAGGTGTTCCTAATGTTTTGTATATTTAATGTACAAGGTGTATCATTTTTCATGTGCATTTCCTTGCCCTTGTTCTAACATGCTGTCCTTTCCCTGTGTGTCTCTGTTGATATGATCAAGTGTCTGTGCGTTGACAGAGGACAAAGCCAGAGGAAAACAAACACTTGAGAGCCAACAGAGAGGAGAGGAGAGAGGAGCAGGTCTCTTAGACCAGTTAGTATCTGACACTGGTCCAGGACCAGCGGTCAATACAATGAAGCAGAAGGACAGATAATGTTAACACTCATGTTACAGTGTCTATATTACATACCAGCACTTTTCTTTATTGGAAAGGGAGTATGTCTGTTCACTGCTGTTCCTAGGGAGCGTCTTCAAATACATACTGGATTGGAAGTGAGAATAGCAACACAAGGGGGTTTTCTTGTTTGGGCAAAGGTCCGTCCTCTCTCCTCCGTGACCTGGACACTGATAAGTGCTCGAGGAGTGTGTCAATTCGTTAGTAGGCAAACGGAAGACGGTCCTCCCCTTCTCGATAGCCTCCTTATGGCGAGCAAACACAAGTGTATCCTACCGGATTCCTTCACGGAAGAGTTTTGAAATCTGCCACACCCCTTTTGAATCAGCTATTGTTTTCTCGGAGGAGAAAAGCATGTAAATATTTAAAAAACGATATTCTACTTCCCCCTTTATCTATAAAATGTCTTGCACAACTAGCTAAATTAGTTTTTATCACTTTACACATTTATTTTGGGATTCCACCCTGTAAACGTCATTTGCCTGATGACGCGCGATTGGAGGAGAATCTAATTTCATACAAGCGCATTTTCTCTCTCCTTGCCGCCTTTCCTCGATGATCTTTGACATTTTTCAAAAAGGAGACCAGAGAGGACACAGGAGCAAATCTAATTGGGAAAAGGCCTGATAGTTAGTTCACTGCACCTGTAGGTTTACTTCCAGAGGAGCCAATCATAGGCAACCGATCCCGTGACATCATAGATCCTGTGGCCTGTGATGACAGAGCAGAGAGTTCAGTTTATCTCCATGATAACACACAACAACTTGGTCAAGAATCTCACCAGTTTGTAGTACTGTACCTCTTTGGTGGGTGTGGAGAGCTCCTCAACTTGGGGTTCTTTCCTCCTCCCTCGGGGGGTCGGCTGGCTCACCTCAGCCTCATTGTCCTGGGTCCGGCTACGCCGAGGCATCCCTCACACCACTACACACACAAACTCTTCCTTTCTCTCTTTAGCCTTTCAGCAGACAATGCCTTCTGTTCAACTGAGCTTACAGTGAAGTTACTTCACCCTTCAGCACCGACTCCCTCCACACATCAATAGATCCCTTCCATGAGTCTTCTCTCACGCTTCACATATCTTTCTCCATGTGATTTCAGCATACTACAGTTGAAATCCAGGTCTTTTCTGAAACAACACCAATCCAGATATTTCCCATAGAGTATTCACATATACATTTGTTTGTATACGTCATTGGTCAGAAGGCATCACCTCCCTCCTCCATCTGGCTCTTCAACTACTACCCTCCCTCTCTCTCTCCCTCCCTCTCTCCTGCTCTCTCTTCCCTTCCCCCCCTCTCTCCCACTCTCTCCTCATTCACCTCTGCTGTCCATTTCCTTCCCCTTTTTCTGATTCTCTCTCTCTGTATCTCATCAGTGAAGTTGGCACTCTGATGGGTGGTGAATGAAAAGCAATTGGAGACGTGACTAAAATATTCATGTTCATCTGCTGCAGTCCTGCCTCCCTGTAAACCTGTGCACTGACCCCCATCCAGACCTCCATTTCACATTACAATGGTGGAGTACTTGCATTACCCCCTCCCACACACAATCACACAGTCAATTGGACCCATAGTATTATTACCACACAAGCAGAAGCAGTACACCTCAAGCAGTCATACATCTATAAATAATTTGAGATAAATATTTTGATTTAAATAAAGTTTATTTAAAAATCCAAATGTACATTATAAAATTAAGGTGTTTGGGATCTTTGGGTCATTTAGATGTAATCCATGCAAATTTCAGATATTAAAATAATCTAATCTAGTTCATGGGTCTGAAAGCACTGGGTCCTGTTCACAACAGGTCATGTTATCTTGTCTTCCTCCCTCCCTCCCACACATCTCTTTCTTTTAGTTTTATCTTCTCTGTTCCCTCCATCCTCCATGTCTGTCACCTTCAGCAGCTGTAACCCCTGTCCACAGACAACTACCCAGCCCCTGTCCCCACACACAGACCCAACCCCAGCATCAGCCCCAATCCACACCTCCAGCCCTGCTGCATCTGCCACATGGGAGATGAGCGCTCCCTGTTGGCTGAGTCCGGTACTGGCCAGCTTCCACAGACACACCCTCTGGTCAGGGGATGTGGACACTAACAGGCCTGGGCTCAGCATCCTCAGGGCGGTCAGAGGGGCAGCGTGGGCTAAAGCCACTGACCACTGAGACTGGAGCTGTAGATACACTCTGCTGCCCTCTACCTCCTCCCCCAGGTACTGCACCCTGATGAGTGCCACTGACAGCTGTCCGTCATCTCCTCCGCTAGCCAATGTTATCCGGGCTCCGTCTGTATGTCCCGCCCCCAGGCCCTCCTCCCATACGGCCAGGGTGTTGACTCCACTCTGGTGGGCGGGGACTGTTAGACAGGGGCTGGTTGGGGCTAGGGCCACAGTATGGGGCTTGTCTTCTGAGTTGGCCATGGTGCTCATATCCCACACTGCTATCCTTCCATCTGTGGCTGCGCTGAAGAGGAACACACATCTGAGGGAGACAGACGGGTGAGAGAATGTTAGGCAGATGTTATTATGATGAGGTCAAAATGATGATGCGGGAAAATGTTGGTTATTCAGAACATGAATTGCATCTTCTTTAATGAGGATGTGTTGGCTTTGCCACCTGACGTGAGCCGTCAGCCCCCCCAGTGCCTCACCGATTGCCCTGTCCATCCTCCAGGCTGCAGGTGGCGATGCTGAGTACACATCTCTGGTGGTGGAAACTCTCCCACAGGAGCTCAAACTTCCCCCTCACCTCACTGACTGAGAAGAGCCTGAGAGAGAGAGAGAGAGAGAGAGAGAGAGAGAGAGAGAGAGAGAGAAAGACAGAGAGACAGAAGAGAGAGAGAGAGAAAGACAGAGAGACAGAGAGAGAGAGAGAGAGAGAGAGAGAGAGAGAGAGAGAGAGAGAGAGAGAGAGAGAAAGGAGAGAGAAACACGGAGAGAGAAAGAGAGAAAGACAGAGAGACAGAAGAGAGAGAGAGAGAGAGACACAGACATATTTTAGGAAAGGGGTCCAATAAAAACACTAGGTCATAATCTTTTGCGTGTACCGCATGAATTTGACTGGTAAAATAATGATTGTGTATTACACGCTTACCTCACAGCTCCATCACTGCAGGCCAATGCCAGGAGGACTGACTCTGTCCCATCATCCACCACGGCAATGGACATGTACCTGCAAACACAAACAGCAGAGTAAAACAACAGATTGTGCTTGTGAGAGCAGCTGCAAGACAGTATCTGTGTGTTGGTGTGTTCTGGTAGAAAGTAAGAGGATATCTTGGAATGAAAGAAAGCATTTATATAAAGTACAAGTTCAAACACTCACCTGGTTTCTGCGTCCATTTTCACAGTCTTGTGTCGGTTCCGCATTCTCTCCCACTGATCGTCCAATCGGTGGCTGGCCACCTGTATCACCTGACAGGAGGGCAAGCCTAACTGTCCATTTTCTCCAATCAGCAGCCGGTAGCACTGCATCTGTGCCCGCCCACCTGCAGATACCAGCAGTGCAGAGAGGGACTGTGTTGCTGTCTGTTCATCTGTCCCTCTGTCAGTCCTTCCATCCAAACGTTTGACTGATGCCAGAGTCCGAACATTCGAGATGTGGTCGGTGATGACCGACAGCACTCTGACTGCGCCCGTCTGCGGTCGGACCGCCAGGACGGTCAAGCTGGTGTCCTCTCCTCCGGTCACCAGCACCTCCCAGTGGCCCTCTCCAGCCTCCCCCACCATCCCCAAGCGACACACACAGCCCACTCCCCTGCCGTGCAGCCCCTGTCTCAGGCCCAGGCTCCCTGCCCGGCTGGGTGCCTCACCAGAGGGTTCAGAGGCCAGGACCACCCCCTGCTTGATGAACACCAGTGCCCCCTGGCCCATAGAGAGGCCATCCTGGTGGGGGCAGTAGCTCCAGGACCGATGGCCTCCTCCACAGGGCACTGACAGCAGCCTCTCCTGCCTCACAGGGTCCCACACCACAAAGTGAACCGAGTGGAAGCCCACGATCACAAAGCGGGCCTCTTTCCCACTCCCAGTCCCTTCTGGTTCCTGGACCCTCTGGTCCTCTTCTGAGCCCTGGGGATCCAAAAGCAGAACTCTCTCCAGCCACTCCATCCCCTTGCAGGCCCGCTGGACCCTCAAAACCTCCAGTCCCTCTGGTCCGACACGGAGGACCCTCACACAGCCATCTCTCCCCGCACTGTACAGCAGCCCCCGGTGCTCACACACCCACGTCACCCCCTGCTTCCCGTGCACCCCAAACAGAGAGCTCACAGGCTGGAGGGTCAGCCCTGCCCTGCTGGCCTCTCTCTCCTCACCCCCCTCTCTGACTATCACATCCCCCTTTTCATCATTGCTTCCAACCATCCCATTATGTGCCTCTCTTCCTATCTCTTCATCCTCGTGCTCTTCTCCATCTCCCCTCTTCTTCTCTTGATGGTGTTCACTCTCTTCAAACAGCAGCAGTGATCCTCTCCTGTCTCCACATACCCACAGTGCCCCCTGTGGGCGGTTGAGGTAAACTACAGCAGTGAGCCAGCGTTTGGCACAGGGAGGCAGAAGGAGAGGAGAGAGTGGTTCCACCCTGAGAGCCAGTCCAGTGTCTCTCATCTCTACCTCCACCTGCCAACGATGGACCAGCCCCTCTGCTCCGGATGCCAGCAGGTACCCCCCTTGCCTCTGCCCCTCTGCCTGGCCCTTCACCCACAGCACACTGTGGACTTTCCCTGGCCCTGCCCTCAGCAACACCCCCGCGCCAGGCTGAGACAGGGGGAAGACCTGCACTCCTCCACTGAGGCTGCCTACAGCACACAGCCCCTCCCTGGACGCAGCAGCCCCCCAACCCCTCACCTTTAGCACCACCATCACACAGTAGGACTGGAACTCAGGACCCCCCTCCCATAGGAGACCCCACTGCCCCCCCTCATAGAGGTAGACCTCCCCATGGTCTGTGTTCACCACCACCCTGCCCTGGATCCAGTGCCCGTCCCCCACCACACCAACCACTTTCGGCACGCCTCGGCCCTGGAAGCCCAGGTCCACCAGGCTCTCCGCTTCCCCTTGCTCAGCCTCCCCCTTCTCCTCCTCACCCCCCACCCGCCACAGGCGGATCCCTCCATCTGCCCCTCCGGTGGCCACCCACCTGCCCCGGCCCTCCCCTCCTTCACTGACCGCCAGTGCCCTCACCCCCCCGGACCGGTGGCCTTTCAGTGTCCGAGCCACCCTCCCCCCACCTCCCCAGTCCCACAGCAGACAGGCCCCGTCCTCCCCAGCGCTGTACACCCGTCCAGGGGACAGCTTGACGGAGAAAACCCTGGCTTGGTGTCCATACAGCACCCGCAGACACGTCGGGCTGGGGTCTCCACACCCTCCTCCAGCACCCCCCAGGTCCCCCACCCCCCAGACCCTCACACTGCGGTCGTCCGAGGCGGATGCCAGCCAGCCAGTCTCCCGGCGGTAACAGAGGCTAAAGATAACACCACTGTGACCTGGCAGACGCCTCTCCACTGGGGCCTTCCCGTCTGGCTGTGCCACTCCTGGCCTCCAGAGCACCAGCTGGTTGAACACGGTCCCCCCCACCAGGACAGTGTCCTCCCAGGTCCCACCCAGAAGCAGGGCGGTGTACAGCAAACACCCCTCCTGGCAAGAGCAGAGGGCCAGGAACGCGGCCCTCAACAGGGTCCAGCAACAGAGCAGCATTGTGGGCCAGAGCCACGCCGAGTAGCCCTTTCTCTCCAGAGACCCAGCGGACATCCAGGGCCCAGTCCTGCAGCTCCATGAGGGGGCCCAGCAGCTCCAGCCTCTGCCCTCCAGCACTCAGCCTCAGCAGGCGCACAGCCTTCCCCCCAAACACTACCACATCATCCTCTGGGTCACTGGTCCGTCTATTTCCTGTCTGTGGTTTGGGACGAATCCCATGGATGCGGTAGTTGAGGAGCACGCTCAGTGAGGTGAAGGCTTTGGGCTGAGATTGGAGGCTGTACACTGTCAGGATCGGACCCTCACCTGTATGGACGCATGCACATGTCAAATATCTAATCAAACTTAATGACAGAACATAGAAAGGGACAAAGGAAGAGAGGAAGGATGCAATTTATAAGTATTTGGAACATGGCCCAGATCAGATTGGTCATGCTAGTGTTTCTAATGTCACAAACTCAAAACCCAACAATGCAATAATCAATAACAATGTAATACTAGAAAAAACACTCGAGAAATAAGAAGAAATATGAAGAACACGATAAGTAAGTAAGCATACTATATACAGGGTCAGTTGCAATACCATATTTACAATGTGCAGGGATACTGGCGTGATGGAGGTAGATATGTATAGGGGTAAGGGGACTAGGCAACAGGATATAAGATAAACAGAGTAGCAGCAGCTTGTATGTGAGTGGGAGTGTGTATAGTCAGTATAAATATATGTGCATATTATGTGTGAGTGAGCAGATGGAGTGAATGTGTATGCAAGTGTGTATTGCCCTGTGAGTGTGCATAGAGACAGTGCAAAAAAATAAAAGGTCAATAAAGATGCTAGGTTAACTCAGATAGTCTGTGTAGCTATTTTGTTACATTTTTATCAGTCTTATTGATTGGGGATAGAAGCTGTTCAAGAGCCTTTTGATGTCAGACTTGATGCACCGGTACCGCTTTGCCATGCGGAAGCAGAGAGAATAGTCTGTGGCTTGGGTGGTTGGAGTCTTTAACAATTTTCCGGGCCCTTCCTTCCACACCGCCTGATATAGATGTCCTGGATGGCAGGGAGCTCGGCCCAAGTGATGTACTGGGCTGTCCACACCACCCTCTGTAGCACCATGTGATCGAGGGCGGTGCTGTTGCCATACCAAGCAATAATGCAGCCAGTCAAGATGCTCTCAATGGTACAGCTGTAGAACTTGTTGAGGATTTGAGGGCCCTTTTTCAACCTCCTGAGGAAGAAGAAGCGCTGTTGCACCTTCTTCACAACAGTGCACATGTGTTTGGACCATTTTAAGTCTTTAGTGATTTGGACACTGAGGAACTTGAAACTCTCGACCTGCTCCACTTCATCCCCGTCGATGTGGATGGGGGCTTCCTCGCCCCCCCCCTTTCCTGTGGTCCACGATCAGCTCCTTGGTCTTACTGACGTTGAGGGAGAGGTTGTTGCTCTGGCACCACACTGCCAGGTCACTGACCTCCTCCCTATAGGCTGACTCATCATCGCCTGTGATCAGGCCTACCACCGTCGTATCGTCAGCAAACTTGATGATGGTGTTGGAGTCGTGCATGGCCATGCAGTCGTGAGTGAACAGGGAGTACAGGAGGGGACTAAGCACACACCCCTGTGGGGGCCCTGTGTTGAGGGTCAGCGTGGTGGAGGTGATGTTGCCTACCCTCACCACCTGGGGTCGGCCCGTCAGGAAGTCCAGGATCCACTTGCAGAGGGAGGTGTTCAGACCCAGAGTCCTAAGCTTGGTGACGAGCTTGGAGGGGACAATGGTGTTGAATGCTGAGCTGTAGTCAATGAACAGCATTCTCACATAGGTATTCCTCTTATGTAGGTGGGTGAGGGATGATGGAGTTAATGTGTGCCATAACCAGCCTCTCAAAGCACTTCATGATTACAGAAGTGAGTGCTACAGGGCGGTAGTAATTGTGGAATGAAGCCTTAGAGTTCTTGGGGACAAGAATGATGGTGGTCATCTTAAAACATGTGGGGATTACAGACTGGGACAAGGAGAGGTTGAAAATGACTGTGAATATGCCTACCAGCTTTGACAAGGCAGTAAGGACGGTCTTGTATTGTCTAGCCAGGGATTGGCTAATAAATCACTGGCTAGTCCGACTATTGCTAGCTGTTCCAGCTGGACGAAAGCCATTGATACGTAGCTTGTGTAAAGCATGTATCATCAACCACGGGCCGATTATTTCTTGAGTGGATGGTCAGGGGGCCAGAACATAATTACAAATAATTTGTAGACTGCAAATTGACCGCAAGAAGCCCAAACAGATATCATATTTGACTAAACACTCTACTCAAGTTTGCTTCCAACACTCTACTCAGCAAATTGGATGTAGTCTATCACAGTGCCATCCGTTTTGTCACTAAAGCCCCATATACTACCCACCATTGTGACCTGTACGCTCTCGTTGGCTGGCCCTCACTACATATTCGTCGCCAAACCCACTGGCTCCAGGTCATCTATAAATCCGTTCTAGGCAAATCCCTGCCTTATCTTAGCTCATTGGTCACCATAGCAACACCCACCCGTAGTATGCGCTCCAGCAGGTATATCTCACTGGTCATCCCCAAAGCCAACACCTCCTTTGGTCGCCATTCCTTCCAGTTCTCTGCTGCAAATGACTGGAACGAACTGCAAAAATCTCTGAAGCTGGAAATACTTATCTCCCTCACTATCTTTAAGCATCAGTTGTCAGAGCAGCTTACCGATCACTGCACCTGTACACAGCCCATCTGTAATTAGCTCACTCAACTACCTCATCCCCATATTGTTATTTACATTGTTATTTATTTTGCTTATTTGCACATCATCTTCTGCACATCATCTATCACTCCAGTGTTAATACTAAATTATAATTGTAATTATTTTACACTATGGCCTATTTATTGCCTTACCTCCATAACTTACTACATTTGCACATTTGTTATTTTTATTTTACACTGTATATAGATTTATATATGTATATAGATTTTCTATTGTGTTATTGACTGTACGTTTTGTTTATGCCATATGTAACTCTGTGTTGTTGTTGTTTTTATCGCACTGCTTTGCTTTATCTTGGCCAGGTCTCAGTTGTAAATGAGAACTTGTTCTCTACTGGCTTACCTGGTTAAATAAAGGTTAAATAAAACATAATCATTTCAAACCTTGCTTACATATGTATATGATCACATGCATCTCTTTATTATGTGTGGGAATACTTTGGAACAGATTTCCAAAATTAAAATCACTTCGAGCTTATCTGCTGGACACGGACATTTAAAAGATACACTATTCTTTATAATCGAAAACGAAGAAAGTATCGACAAGAACTGGTTATTTGAAAAATGGGTTCAGGCGCTTTCCATTAGCCAAACTGTAACGCTGTATGAAGAAATCACATATCACGTTATAATTCTGTAACTAGCCAGGGATACCCTACCTGTCAGCAGGTACTCCTCCCTTAGGAACTCCAGAGCGGTGATAGGAACTACTAGGGCTGCAGTCTCCATCATCACTGTGACATACTCCCTGCTGAAAGCCTCCCCTCAACAGCACCTGATAACCTGGCACACAAACAGAAACATTAGCTAGTAATCTTCTCATCCAAAATCATGTTGCATAGTGAGATGACATCAACCTGTTAGCTAGCTACGTGTGCGCTTGATAATTTGTGGCTTTAGCTGGTATTCATTATCTTATTATTTCAATGTTTCTCTTATGAATGAGAATCCGAAAAAAAATGAGGTTGCCATTGCCAATCAGTGCAGTACAGTGACAGTCACAATTTATAGCTAGCTAATTTACAATAACTTCTGATTTCTTGTCAACACCAAGGCATGGGATGAAAATACAATATAGCTGACAACATGCTAATAACTTTTTATTACGTTAGGTAGCTAGCTAAGGTTGTCACACAGATGGAAGGGGGTTAGCTAGCTAGCTAGTTATAATAATATTTGTCTTTGGTAGCTAGTCATGTCAGGGCTACTGTCTTGGAAATAATATGGCTAGTTACTTACATATCTAGCTAGATGCCAGGAAAATATTTTAATTTCTTGCAAATAATTGTATTCGTTGTCCTTTGTAACACATTTGTTATGTTCTTCTGAAGAACTAGCTAGCTACCCATGTGTTTCTCCCGCACGGATCAAATCAAATATGGCTACACTGACATAATGCAACGCACTTCGCAATAAAGCAGACACCCATTGGTTAGAAAATAGTCGAAAGTGCCATTTGCGTAAGATACGCAGGTTTGTTGTTTAAATTCCATATCCGGCCGCCGAACGTGAGGGGGTGGTGGTGGTGGCAGGACAACAAAGTGTTTGTCCACGATTATTCAGCGCTGTTATTGGCTGTCTTGTTGCATGTGAGTAATAATAACAAATCATATATTTATTTGTTTTAACATGTTTTACAATTAAAATGTACATCCAAATAAGTGCATTTAAATGGGGAATTCTAGGTGTATTAGCTTGGCTAGCATTATTACTGTCATCTTGCTAACCTGCTAGGTAGCAAGCAAGGCATTCGATATAAAGGCTGTTTCTGTCCCGAAACGCTCTGGTTGTTTAACGTTAACTGGTAGTTAGTTGCACTCACCTGGTGTCCCAGGTCTGAATTAGTCCCTTAATAGAAGGAGAGGATGAAAATCATTAGTGTTTCGGCCCCCCAGGAACGACATTGAACAGCCCTGTAGGTGAATGCAAAAATGCGGTATCCCTTGGGAATGATGGCACGTGTTCTTAAAAATCTCAACCTTGCTGTAAGGTATCCATATCAATCTGAATGTCATTCTGATGTTTCCTTCTATTCCAACCCAGAGATTAAGAATAATCACAGATTGGACCACAGCTCCATAAAACACGGTTCATGCGGTAATTTGACATGACAGTGGACACCCACCCTTTGCTGTAGTTTAACACTGCATAACAGCTGGTTATCCCAGTAAAGATGACATGCACCTAGCAGTTCTTCCACATGATCTCTGACAGGACATCAAGTTGGACTAAACCAAACAACCAACACTGTCACTGAAAACACCCTAGTTTAAAAATCAACTCGCTGCTCATGGAAAGAACAACCTCACGAAGACTTAAAACCTAAATCAAATTCATACAGTATGTTGCTGGGAAGAGAATGCTCACTGCGGCCCCGTAATCCCTCTCTCACACACAGACCCGAGCAGGACTAGAACCCTCCCCTCAGCCAGTGTTGCCAACTCCTCAGTAAGGAAAGTAGCTATTGGCTGTTCTAAAAGTCGCTAGAAGTCACTAAATGACGTCATCGCCTAATTTGCATAATTGACCATGTGCATGTAATTGTGATGGACGCTGTAGGAGAGAGGACTGGGCCGCATGTGAGTGCTTTGGGACGGCAGCACCCGCTGCTCGTTGAGAAGAGTAAGAACGATACGTGCTTTCACGTCAGTCTCCAATAACACCAGAAAAAGTCGCTAGATTTGTCGCTAGTCGCTTTTTTTTGTAAATGTGTCGCTAGAGGGGTCTGAATACTCGCTAAATATAGCAACAAAGTTGCTAAGTTGGCAACACTGCCCTCAGGTCCACCCCATTGCCCTGGCGACCAACGATCATGTCGTACCGCACGCCCAATTTCACCATGCAGCAGAAGCTCTACTTCCTGCAGAGGATCCAGGGTGTGGTGCACACAGTACAGGACTTCAGGAAGGACACCAACACCACTGTGCACCGCAACGCCGTGTGGGGCGAGGTGGTGGAAGCCTTCAACGCCGCCTTCCCCGACCGGCCACCCAGCTCGGTGGGCACCATGAAGACCCTGTGGAAGAGGCTGAAGGTGGAGAGCCGCCAGGCGCTGCACCGGCGCCAGGAGCAGGTGGTCGCCGGCATGCCTGTCACAGCCCTGACCGAGGTTCAGCAGGAGATCACAGCCATGGTGCCCAACCTCATCTCCAACCAGGATGACATGGACGGAGAGATGGGCTACGCCAGCCTCAGGCCTGGCTCCCCCACAGCAGGTAGTACCACACTACTCTCAGGACTGCCACTCCGCTAAGATGAGCTCATCTATATTGAGTTAACACATTTATAAAATGTGCATTCCTTAGATGATAGATTGATGTGTTGTCAACCAATTTTCTCACATAAATATATATGGTGCTAGGGGAGAACGTTACAAACTGATGTCTCGCTCTCTGTCTCTCGCTCTCTCTGTCTCTGTGTGATCTAGTGACATGTACTGCAGGGACCAGTGGGAGTGACCAAGAGGATGCTGATAACAGTCACAATGAGGTAACGTGTCACAGCTAGAGCACATCTCCATAGACAATCCTCTAGTGTATGATGATCTTACATATGAAAATGTCAATACAGTTCAATATTAACTGAAAGTGCTTCTATAATAAGAGCACACAATGTGTGACAGTATAGTTTAAATATAACCCAGTCTGTCTTTCCCAGGAGTATGAGAGTAAAGACCATGTAGCCATGAGCATCGGCATCGCCTCCTCCACAGCACTAGCAGGAAGTGACGGACCCCTCCGGATCCCCTTCTCCACCAGCCAGCCCAACACCTCCACTCTCACCCACAGTGAAACCTCCTGGTCTGGGACGTCCCCCTCCTTCCCCCCTCTGCCCATCCCATCTGCCTCATCCTCCAGCCTGCTCAACTCTTGCCCTGTGAACTTTGACCTGCCCTACATCCCCCGGGCAACCCTGCAACCCCTCACCTCTCTGACAGCGGCAGCAGGGCGAGGGGCTGAGGACCCACGGTATGGGCCGCGCATGCTGGAACTGTCGGAGTTGGAACATGAGCAGAGAATCAGAGTTCTACAGATGGAACAGAAGGTTCTAGAAGACAAGAGGAAGGCGGTGAGGCAGAAGGAGAAAGCCTACAGGCTAAAAAAGAGATACTACCAGGCTAAACTGAAGAAGATGGGGGAAGAGGTACGACCGTCCTCGAGTAGCGAGGACACAGAGGACGATAATCACGATCAAATCATTTGACTGTTATTTTGTTGTTGATTTTATTTTTTTTATGAAGATAATTGTACAGTTTTTGACAGTTTCAGGTATTTCAGGTACAAAGTGACATCTTTGTTTTGGTATTCCTTTTCATTGCTGCTCAGGATCTGTAGGAGTTTTGTTGTAATGGACTGGTAGAGATCTCTGAATCTGAAAAGATACCTGGCAAATAAAAATACCTGAAAGAGCGAGTCCCTCCGGAAACAAACTGTCAAAACTGATCTCTGCCAACACTGTTGTTTTCACCAGGGAATGTCACTCACAGAAAATAGGACTCGAACAACATCTTGTTAGGAATAGTTCTTTTTTTCTTTTTATGTCGGTAACTGAGGAGCAGATGTTTCAAATTCCCCTCATGCCGATGGGATAGCACATACCCCAGAATAAGCACACAAACTGACAGTCCCCCATTCTCCTCTCTCTCCCTCCCTCCATCATTACACTTCAATGACTTTCCTCTTCACTCTCCTCCTCTCACACACTTCCTTTTCTCTCAATGCACTTTGTCACAGTGGGAGAGTCAGGCCATACGAAACATTACATGTAAAAAAAACTACATTTGAACAAATACCGCTGCATACTCTTTTATAAATAACATCCTCTCACACAAAATGACAAAGTAATAAATAAAATAAATCTTATGTCTGTACAAGTTAAAGGTACTGCAATAATAAATAATGTTTAAAAAAAGAACTGACCAGTGGCAAAAGAACTGGAGCAGTTAAACATAGATGGAGTATAGCTAAGGATGGATATTGGGGACCCTGGGGAGATTTTTGGCAATAATACTGTCACATTTATATTAACTATTATATTTAAAGATGGAAGCAAGTCGTTGAAAAGAGATTTGCAGACCGTCGGTGTGAGAGAAGTTGGTTTCTTTCTACAATCTGTCTTTTCATCCTTCCTCTGATGATGAGTAATAGTTCCCTCGTTTCCTTCTGTCCTCTTTTTCACACATTTCTCTTTTTGACCCACTTTTTCTGTTCCACTCGTCTGTTTAGTATCGCGTTATTACATGTGCAACGTGTTCTCCTGTTATGGTCCTGGAACGACTGGTGCACAGGTGACTCACCCCTCACTACCCACTCCTCTTCCTCTCTGATCTGCCTTAATCTCAGAGCCAATATTTAACACCACTTTAGTGCTAACCTAAACATGGCCGCTCTTTCTTTACCTCTCATACCCCTATAACCCCAGAGGTATACGTGACCATTTTCCCAACAGAGGGTTTTGTACACTAAAATGGACCATATATCAGGCAGAGAAACCATTCGATATGTAACAGTGCCGTTTTTTTACTGGTATGTTTTGTTTCTGATATATAGTAGCACAGAGAGACATATTTGATGCTGTAGAATAGATGATCGACATTCAAATGCAGTGGGTCTTTTCTTTGATTAACAGAACACTTCCATCTAAACAGTATTCTGACCAACTAAAGAATGAGATAATCAAGCCATCAAGCCTCTCAAATATCAAAGTAAATTATATCTGCTTTCTTTCTTGTCACAATCATTTGTTCTATCAGATCCCTCTTTCATAGAATTCATTCCTATTTACAATCACCCGCCCCAACACCTTCCTCGTCCTATCATGTCTCAGGTCTGATAATCTCATCCAATCAACACTAACCGACCCCTGTCCCTAGTTTTATACATATAGTTGACGGGTTTGAGGAAACGTTTCAGGATAACGGTATTTTGATTTAAGGGCTATTGCCCCTAGCAACAGATTCCATTCACACCTCATTCACAACCACACATTGACACAATCTTCAAAAACGTCACAAGATATTTTTTTTCTTCCTCTCTAATGAAAAAGATACAAAATGTATAAAAATGTTATGTACAGGTTCTTCTTTTTCTTAGAGGTTCAATTCCGATCCTTGTGTTCATGACTAAATCTGAGGATCGAAGTTCGTTAAACATTAGTGGCTAAGGTAGCCATCCCTCTGTTTCAATCATATAGACCTCCTCCCCATACTTGGTGCTGCTTGTAACAGAAAATAGTCAACAACAGAACGAACCAACCAAACTCCATCTCACTGTCTGCCTTTTTTCAACACTTAGATCCTCAAGTATCCCAGGGTGCTTCAGCAGTCCAGGGTGCTCCTTGACCTATTCCCGGCCCCCACACAGTCCTTGGTAACCCCAATACAGACATAATGCATTGTGGGATATGGAGGGTGTCATCAAGACTGTCCTTCACTTCTGTTGACTCTGTGAAGAGACAAGAGAGACCACAATCAGTGACAAGCCAAAATAACAACTGATCAATGCTACATACACTGAGTGTACAAAACATTAAGAACACTTTCCTAATATTTAATTGCACCCCCCCCACCCAAGCCTCAATTCGTCGAGGCATTCTACAGGGGTGCTGGCCCATGTTGACTCCAATGCTTCCCACAGTTGTGTCAAGTTGGCTGGATGTCCTTTGGGTGGTGGACCATTGTTGATACACATGGGAAACTGTTGAGCGTGAAAAACCCAGCTGCGTTGCAGTTCTTGACTGGTGCGCCTGGCACCTACTACCATACCCCGTACAAAGGCACTTAAATATTTTGTCTTGCCCATTCACACTCTGGATGGCAGACATACACAGTCCTTCTTTAACCTGTCTCCTCCCCTTCATCTACACTGATTGAAGTGGATTTAACAAGTGACATCGATAAGGGATCATAGCTTTCACCTGGATTCACCTGGTCAGTCTATGTCATGGAAAGAGCAGGTGTTCATCATGTTTTGTACACTCAGTGTGCATCTCCTGACATGCAGTCTATGACATGTGTTTATAATCCAAATCACCACATCTTTGATAGGGACCAAAAAGATGGATGTGTGAGGACAGAGAGAGAAAGAGAGCAGACCAGGAGTGTGAAGAGGAGAGGAAGCAGGTAGATGAAGGTGAGTGAGAGTGCAGGACTTACTCAGAGTCTGGGGAGACCTCAGAGATGCTGTGGGAGGTGGCGGAGTGGGGCGGGGAGGGGGAGGGTCCCTGTGCTGAGGAGGGGGCTGGGGGGGTGAGCACGGAGGAGCTGAAGGAGGCCAAGATTGAGGAAAGGATGTCCAGGTGCTCGCTGGACGGGTGGCGGCTGGGGGGGGCGCCGGGGGCAGGGAGGGGAAACCTACACTGGGGGGCAGAGTCCAGCCGGCCGCGGCGGGGTAGGGGGGGCTCCTGGGGTTCCTCGCTGATGGGGGGAGGAGGGGAGGAGGGCGGGGGCTGGTCGGGGTGCGAGGGCTGGCGGGGGGGCAGGGTGCGAAGCCACTCCCTGCAGGGCTGGGACTGGGTCACCCCGCCGCTCCCGTTGGCCTCCAGCTGCTCGCGGGAGCGGCTGCTCATCAGCGCTCCTCCTAGGTGTTCACGGGAGGAGGCCTGGCGCCGTGTCAGGGTGTTGAGCTGGGAGCGCGACCCCCCCAGACCGGGCTCCACACCCCCATTCCCACTCAAGTCCTCCTGGGAGGCGTGGGTGCTGTGCTGGTGGACATCCAGCCTGTCTCTGGAGCTGCTCAGGTTCTCCCTGGAGGCTCTGTCTAGGCCCGGCTCACGCCGGCGGGGCAGCAGGTCCAGGTTGTCCCGGGGACCCTGGCGGTCCAGACGGTTCTGGGACCCTCCTCCAGCCTGGCGGCCCAGGGGGTCTCTGGAGAGCTGGCGGCGGGCCAGAGAGTCCAAGTGCTCCCTGGAGGAGTACCGGGAGGCGGGCTGGGACAAGGAGCCCGTGCCAGACAGGGAGCCTGTCCCAGAGTACATGCGACCGTAGGAGGCTGCCGGGACACCCCTGTGGCCCAGGGTGGAGGTGCGGTACCAGGAGAGTTCGCTGGGGGCCTGGCCCATGGTGGAGAGACCCTGCAGGGCCGGGGGACAGTCAATGCGGTTCTTCAAGATGCCTGAGTCAGCAGGGAGAGATTAGAAAAAAGGGTTAATAGGTATTTTGGTGTTTGAGTTTACATTTATCTGTATGGTAATAATAGCTGGTCATTAGCAGAATAGAAAGGTTACTGGGGCAATGTTACTGAGTTTGTGACCCTTTCTGTGGTAGTCGGGCTGAGTGTGTATGTGTGTGTGTGTGCATGCGTGTATGTGCCTGCATGTGCGTGTGTGTCTCACCCTTGCGGTGGCGGTTGGGCTGTCCTGTCAGGCCGTTCTCGTCCCCGCTGGTCAGCACAGTCTCAGGCTGGTTGTTGTTGGCGGTGTCCTTGCTATAGTCAGCCACTAGGCGGCGCTCTGAGCCCCACTTCTGCAGGGAGTGGACCTCGCTCTCCTCCAGTGCTGGCCAATAGGAGAGCAGATCATTGCCATCCAGGTCTGATACACAAAGATGGACAATTGCCATTGGCCAACAATTCCAAATAAATCACAACTGTATCCAATATGAGAGAGGGTTTTGTAGAAGTGCCATACTTCTTTAAATGCATAATGATTTTTATTGATTTATGGATCTCTGTGTCTGACATTTTCAGAGTGTGTTTGCATATTGGTATGGCATTTATAGGTATCACATACTTACATACATACATAACGTATGAATTGCTTTAATTTGTGAATCTATGAGTCTATCAGTCTTGCATTTCCATTGTGTCTGTCTGTGTACCTTTGGTGCCGTTGTGGGCGGGCTCTGTGAGAAGCCGCTCACTGTGATTGGTGCGTTTGAAGCGTCGCTGGATGCGTCCACGGAGACGAACGTTGTCCTCACTCTCGGAGGAGGGGATGGAGAGACTATGTTCCTCTTCTAAAGAGAGATCTGAGTCTGAGTCCGAGTCCTCACCTGAGAGGAGAGAGAGAGACAGAGAGACAGAGAGAGACAGGGAAAGCGAGAGAGAGAGAGAGAGAGAGAGAGACAGAGAGACAGAAAGAGACAGAGAGAGAGAGAGAGAGAGAGATAGGTTTATTATCTATTTCACTTGCTTTGACAATGTAAACATATGTTTCCCATGCCAATAAAACCCTTAAATTGAATTGAATTGAGAGAGAGAGGTTATAGAACCAGTTATAGTCTCAGTTACTATTAAAAGCAAAAAGAGGTCATGCACATTTGTTATCATTTGACTTGTATTGTATACAGTATTATAACCCTAGAGTGTTTATGAATGTGTTTATTTGTTTTACAATGCATGTTTATGTGCACATTCCTAGAGTCCTGTGTGCGTGCACGTGCGTGTGTGTGTTAGGGCTGCACAATTAATCAAATTGTGCAATATTGACATGTGCAAAATCCATATCGCAATAGATCCATATCGCATGAAATATTTTAAAAGGCCACTCAGCAGTTTTTATAGTTGACTCGTTTGTCGTCTCTTTCCCTCTCTCCTCTTGCGGCTGTGACGTCACACACCAAGCCCCGCCCCCTGCCACTCAAGCAGCACAGTCCCTCCTCCAAGCTGTTAGAGCCACTATACGTTTGCATGCTGTTGTTCTGTTAGGTCAGATGCAGTCAACAGATTGTTCCAAACAAGAACGATGCTGCTTTCCACTTTGCTTCTTAATATGAATCATTGTATTTTTATGATTCCAACAGTTTTATTTGTTAAAAAAAATCAAATCGCTATTCGATTTTTTTGCCCATATCGTGCAGCCCTAGTGTGTGTGTGTGGGGTGGGGGGTACCTCCGTCTCTATGGAACATGGCCACGTCCAGGTCTGTGGCGCCAGTGTGTCCCAGATTGTGTTCCAAGGTCTGGCGGGCCAGCAGGTTTTCTCTGTGGGAGGAAAGGAGGTGTTAACCAAAGTATTTACACATTCCATCACAGACACTGAGACTACTGACCACTACATTAGGCAGGCTACATAAGCCTGATTAGGCAGGCTCCATAAGCCTGATCTACATACAGTATACTAACAATAGAAGTCAGTTTCCCGGATACAGGTTGACCCTACTATTGGGTCAATAGAGAATCTCCATTGAAAGAGCTTTTTAGTCCAGGACTAAGCTTAATCTGTGTCTGGGAAACCGCACCTATATGTTTCAGACCCTGTGTATCTCAGATGGCCTACTGACCGAGCACTGCTGACAGAGGAGATAGTGGAGGCTCCCAGGGTGATGCGGTGCAGTCCGCTCTGCTCCAGCAACGACGCATTGTTGTAGGGGTTTTGACCCTGGACACACACACACACACACACACACACACACACACACACACACACACACACACACAGACAGACAGACAGACAGACACACAAAACACACACGTGTTCAAAAATACATTCAGGAGCACACATCAACATTCTACGTCAAACCGTGCTAGTCGAGTCCAAATAAATGACAGAAAACACAGCAACAATCATTCCCCAGATGAGTCAGTGGTACAAATCTTAATAAGGTAGGCTAAGCACAGTACATTGTGGAATCTGGGTCAAGTGAAAAGCCCTGAGGGGGTAATGTTAAGGGAAGGCCAGGGTGTGCTGATGTGGATTGGGGGGTGATGTGTGTGGTAGAATGGAGCCAGATGTGTGTGTGCGTGTGTGTGTGCGTGTGTGTGGTGGAGGGGAGGGTGCCATGCTCACAGGGATTTGTGGGGCTCTGGGCGTGTCCTCGTTGGGGCTCTTCCTACCCAGACACGACAACTTCCAGACCTCCTGCACCTCGGCGTTCAGCACCGTGAACACCAGGAACACAGCAAGACCCTGGGCAGAGGGGATGAGGGGAACACACACATTAACACACAATAACACACATTAACCCACAATAACACACAATAACACACAATAACACACAATAACACACATTAACTCCAAAACACACCACCAAGTACTCAGCAAGACCAAAAAGCAACTCACACAGTCTAATTGGGCATACACACACACACACAAACACACTCTCACACACACACACACACACACACACACACACACACACACACGTCACGTTCAGTACCTGCAGTAAGCATAGTACAATGAAGATGTAATGGAAGGCCAGAATACTGTTGTTGACAGCCATCAGCCCAAATAACCAGGTAGAGGTGGCCAGGAGCAGCAGGAGGAAGGCACTGCGTATAGTGCCACTGGAGAGACAGAGAGAGAGAGAGAGCGTGTCAGCCAGGGAAATGAAAAGGCTTTTATGGCTGAATTTAAAGGTCTGTTACTGCAATAGAATTGTATTCCTCATCATCAGCAGAACCTGGCCTATTATGCCATCTGTCCAACCTCTCTGGGTCACTCACATGACAGGTAGTTTCTTGGTCTCTTTCTGGGAGGGGTTGCAGGACATGCGCGCCACAATCAGAAACATCCCACCGTTTATCTGTAACAAAGAGACAGCAATGAGGCAGACCTACATGAGACTAGATACTACAGAGGTACATAGGCAAACACAGTGAACCGGCCCTAACGAAGTGACTGACGCAGAACGAGAGTGAGACAGTACCAGGATGACGATGGCGATGGGTCCAGCGAAGCTCCAGATGAGTTTGTCATAGATGGAGATCCAGCAGAAGTCTGGGTTGCCATAGCCCTCAGGATCCAGCCCTACCGCCAAACCTGAACAGTGAGAGAGTAAGATGAGGTAGCACTGTGTGCACAGGTGTGTGTGTGTGTGTTAGTTGTATTGTGCCTCACTGTGGCTGTTTTTAAGAAATCCATTCTGAAACAGGGCTATGTAAGGAACTGTCATATCTAGGCTGTCATCCTAAGACGTGTGTGTGTGTGTGTGTGAGTATGTGTGTGAGTATGTGTGAGTACCTGTGATGATGGCAGGTACACCCCACCCGATGGCATAGTAGAACCTCATGGCTCCATAGTTGATGTTGCGTGCCTCTGTCTGCATGCGGTATATATGGAGCCCTTCCACAAAAAGCCAGGCAAACATGGCCATGAAGAAATAGTGCAGCAGGATAGCCACCACCGTACACAGGAACTAAGAGAGAGGAGAGAGAGAGAACAGTCAGAGCCATGTATAGAGATTCTGTTATGACAACCTTCAATATATTCCTATGGGCGTGCTAGCTGAGTTCAGTGCCAACTTGCCAAGATGGTGTCCTATTGGTTTGTTTTCCAACCTCTGTTTAAGGCCTTTGGCTTTCAGACCAGTTAGAACATCTGGTGTTATACTGTAAGCATCACAGTACACATCTCCAATGAACACCAAGGCACAGAGAAAGAACCAGAAAAAGAGGCCTTGGCAGCCAGACGCTCATTTTGTCTACTCACTCAAACAGAATAACTTTCAAGTATGGTTTGAATGGTAGTGATCCTGATTCTGTAGTAAAGCGGATATTGAAGCTCATTGAAGACAATGATATAACATACTGTTAACGTACTGTACATACAGTACACAGTTGGAACACACGCATGTTGAACGCACCTACGCATACTGTGCCGTCTTGGTTGGGTGCACACACACACACACATAAACACATTATGATCGCTCTCTCTGTCTCACACACACACACACACACAGAGACCCCCACACACACACCCAGACACCCAGACCGCCCTTTAACACACACACCCCAACACACACACACATAGCCCCCGTCCGCACGCACACACACGTACCTGCTGCTCGGTCTGGTTGATGCCGAGCAGAAAGACGAGCTCAGAGAGCAGCATGGCGGCGGCCATGTTGGAGTGGATGGAGCGGGTGTTGGACTTTAAGCCCCTGAGGCAGGACAGCACCAGGACGGTCAGCAGCAGCGCCAGCATAGACACAGACAGAGAGGAGTAGGTGACCAGGGCCAGAGTCTCCAGATCCCCCTCCAGCTGTTCTCTCTGGGAGCTGTCCATTAGGACACCAAAGGTGCCCAGCCTCTGACACTGGCAACGCACGTGGGACGTGTTCCTGTATACTACGATGCAGTCCCTCACTGTCCAGCAACCTCCCACCTCCAACCTGGAGAGAGAGGGCAGTGGGGTGAGTGAGAAAGAGGGAGAGAGAGGGAGAGAGGAGGTTGGTGGGAGAAAGGCAGGAGGAAGAAGAGAGAGTTCACCAGTCTACACACTCTATCTATTTTCCACAGAGCACAAGTCCACTCAAGTCATGTAAAGCTCCACTCACGGGCTGCTGTGGTTCCACTGGACACACAGGGGCTTGCTGCGGTTGGCGGTCTCCAGCAGGTGGAACTCCAGCTGCAGGGGCGAGTCCAGCGGACCCCCGACAAACGTCTGGTTGTTGTAGACAGACACACTGACCACTGGAGAGTTTATTACAGGATGTCTGGGGAGTCTGTAGGGAGGAGAAGGAGGGGGAGAGAGGGGGAGAGAGGGGGAGAGATTTAGATTTAGTAGGACGGACATAATAGCCCAAACAGGGTTTTATGGTCCACCAAACACAGTGGCACAATTCCAATGCTGTGCTTCGAAAAGTCTAAATGAAACAGAAATAAACACTTGTAAACACACACACCTGGTACAACAGATGCCATCAGAGAGATAGACACTGGAGGGCAGGCATATACAGTATTCACACACACACACACACATACACACACACACACACACACACACACAATGAATTACCTGACTCCTCGTCTGTCAGTGTGGTACTTGGGGGGGAGTGCCGCTCCAAGGCTACGATAGATCAACATGATGACGATGGTGACGGGCGGCTCCGGCAGCGAAACAGAACGGCTGGCCGCAGCATATTCTCCTGTCTGATTGGCCGACATACTGATGGGGGCGGGAGCTGTGTTCTGTGAAGCTGAAACTGGAAGAGGCATAAGACATAAGAGGAGTGACAATAAGGTGTGTGTGTGTGTGTTTCAGCGACTGTCATGTGTGTGTGTGTGTGTTCTACTTACACTGGTGTCGTTGTGGCACCAGGGCAGCAGGGGGCAGCACCACGTGTGTGTGGGGGTCCCAGACAGCCTGGCCGCGGAACAGAGGGCTGTGGTAGCGAGGGAAACGTCTGCGCACGTGGGTGTGGTTCTCCACGCGGTCAAGGTTCATCACTGCAACACGCGCACGCACACACACACCAGTTTATGAGAGTCCAGGTTTCACCACACAACATAACAAAACAAACCTGATGAAGCTACACGTGAAACACGTTGTTTGTTTATGCACTACATTGCCAAAAATGTATACACAAATTATTAAAGTCAAGGTCGTCAGTCAATAGTGTACGTTTTTTACACTTGTTGTGGATACTTAGTTGTTCCTGCCAAAACCAAAACTTGGATCTAGACACACTGCTGTTCACAGGGTTCTCGCTTTCTTTTTTACACAGAAAATGGACTAGCCGACCTTCACACTTGCATGGACTACTTGACCTTGAAATAAACCAGGAACAACCACTCAATACAAAGAGTCAGACCTTACTTGACACAATGTACTGAGCACACCACATAAAAAGGGAAAGAGAGCAGCCTTTTATTCCATGGGGGCAGTGACTCACCGATGTTGGGGGCGACCAGGGCCACTGGGTTCAGGTAGGTTAGCTTCATGTTCTGGGCCAGGGTCTGGGCATACTGCTCCAGCAGGTCAGCCAGCCCCCCTGCCCCTCCCTGGACCTGGCTCTGGGCCCGCCATAACCCTGCACTGCCGGGACCCAGCACCGCACTGCAGCCCCGCAGAACATTCTGGAGACAGAGCGGGGGGAGAGGGAGAGGGAGAGGGAGAGGGAGAGGGAGAGGAGAGGGAGAGGGAGAGGGAGAGGGAGAGGGAGAGGGAGAGGGAGAGGGAGAGGGAGAGAGGGGAGGGGAGGAGAGGAGAGGTGGAGGGAGAGAGAGAAGAAGAGAGATTGAAACAGGTAGCAGAAGGTAGATCAAAAGCATGAGCCAGCAGGAGAGAGGAGGGAGGGAGGGAGGGAGGGAGGGAGGGAGGGAGGGAGGGAGGGAGGGAGGGAGGGAGGGAGGGAGGGGAGTTTGAGGTAAAGGGAGCACAGAGACAAAAGGCAAAGCAGATGTTAATGTCACAGTTAGTGAGGTGGAGACACATCACATGAGATGAGATCAAAGCCAAGATCAGATTCAGTTCATTCACACACACACACACACACACACAATCTAATAAAACGGTGACTACATTTTCCAAACTCGACTGACGTGTGTTACGAGCGTGTTGCCGGGCAACCCTCACCTCGTTGAAGTGTGCGTCCTGGGTGGCGGTCAGGCCGAAGCCCGTCTGCAGACTCTCAAAGGTCAACAGGCGGGACAGTAGCCGCTCTGCAATCTGAAGGTCATTGCCGTAGAGACGGGGTGTTGCTTCCGTGACATCACGGAGCTGGTGGGCCAGTTTCTTCTCGATGATGGTGCTGAGCTCTGTCTCGTTCCGCTCCACTGACTCCAGCTACACACACACACACACTTTATTATACACCATTTCAGTCTTTACAGTTCTGATCAGTATGAGCAATGGGGTAGCAGAGTATTTTTACCGCTGCATTGAGCTCCACAAAGGGAGGAGAGGTACAGTTGTAGAGATCTGGCTCCAGCCAGCCCCTCTCCACGTCACAGTGTCTGACAGCAGCACCTGGAGAGAACAGACACCATCAGATACTATACATACTAATACCTTTATAACACATCCACAACACTAAAAACCAACACAGGGGGATACATTCAAACACAGATACTATACTAGGTTTCAAAGGGGTGTTTAACTGGGAATAGTCATTATAGATCCTGAGTCTTAATGGGAGCTGCTATCATCTTTCCTTCTTTGGAAGACTCAGGAATTATACTATCTACAGACATCCACTTAACTACAGTGAATGTGGAGAATGTTGAGGGACTAACCCACAGATCCTTTAGGACAAGGTACGGCTGCTGGCAGGTTGAACTTAGTCCTGGGCCACCAGATCCCCAGGGTGATGGTCTTAGGACAGCCGTCATAGATGACTAACACAGAGAGAGAAAAATGGGCAAACAGAGTGTTAGTATACTCAATATCACTTAGAAGTAAAAAAAACGGTACTTAAATGCAATGAGAACGCCATACTAGTTTGAGAGGAGAGAGGTTTGACAAGAGAGAGATAGGTTTTTGAGAGAATAAGGGAACCAGAGAACCAGGAAGCACAGAGAAGATGAGAGAGAAGACGTGGGAGGAAGAGACAAAGAGAAGATCACAGGTAGGAGGAGAGGAATCCCTCTGTCTTACCTTCGCAGCCCGTCTGTGTGACCTCAGCAAAGGGGTTGTCGCACATGTTGCACTGTCGACCAATCACGCCAGCCCGACACTGGCACTGGCCACTCTCTGGTTCACATGACCGGGAGAAGGAGCCCACAGGGTAGCAGTCACACGGCAGGCAGGAGTCACTGCCCCGCGGGTGGTAGTGGAACTCCTGGTACACACACACGGATATATACACACAGAGAGACAGACACACACACACACACACACACCCACACAGACACACACACACACACAGACAGACAGAGACACACACACACACGCACGCAAAGAGATAGACACAGACAGACAGACAGACACAGACAGACAGACAGACAGACAGACAGACAGACAGACAGACAGACAGACAGACAGACAGACAGACAGACAGACAGACAGACAGACAGACAGACAGACAGACAGACAGACAGACAGACAGACAGACAGACAGACACATGTAGACATACATAAACAGATGCATACACATTCAGACCAAAGACAAGCACATCCAAATAGACAGAAAGGACATACATAGCAAAGTCACAAACATATACAGGCATAAACATATACATAGACATTTACATCAACATCAACATTTACATACACATCAACATTTACATACACATTTACATAGATGCACAGACAGACAAACACAGAAACGCACAAACATACATACACATTTATATGAAAAAAAGAGAGTGAAGAACATGTCAACAGACAAACACACACAGAAAAGAGATGGATTCAGAGAGACATACAGAGACGTGGACAGACAAACACAAAATAGACAGACAAAAATATTGTCCGGTGAGCATTTCGAAAAACCAGCACATAGCACGTAAAATCTCGTAAAAGAGCAATTCAACATTTGAATTACAATACTCTATGTGAGAAAACAGACCCAGAAGCAAGGAAAACACATGGAAAACTACAGTTAAATAAACGGTGCTACTGAAAGTCAATGATACATGCTTCTGTACTGTTCTTGAAAAAGTATTTAAGATGGGGTCACAGTGTGGAGGGGGGATATGACGAATAAGGGGGTGTCTGTTGGCGTTAAGAGTGTTAAAGGATAATGGGGGGTGTTCAGATTAACAAGATGAAGCTACTGATAATGCCTCTTAAAATAATGCTTTTTTGACAGCAGTGTCAGGTTAGAGCTAGGATCAGTTTCAAGGATTAGGGATTAAGGTCACAAACAGGGATTACGGGTTAGGCTGGGGTTACAGTTATGAGCTGATTAGAAATCGGTAGGTAAGGGTGATCATAGGTCTGCTGAGGTATGTAAGAGCATGGATCAGTGCCTGGGGTTAAAATATGAGTTGATTATCAGTAAGAGTATTTACTGCTGATATGAGCGAGTGTGTGTGTCGTGGCAGGCAAGTCACCTTGCAGTGACACTGGCCGCTGGTCTTGTTGCAGTCGGGGTCGAATCCTTTACTGGCATCACAGTGGCAGGGCCCACATGTTGGAGAGCCCCACCAACCACGTGGACATTGGTGGTCAATCCTACACACACACCGCACACACGCACACGCACACACACACACACACACACACACACACAGTGAAACACACAAACACACAGTGAAACACACACACGCACACACACAGACACACATGTTAAAGACCCAATGCAGTCAAAAATTTGATTTTCTTGTGTTTTATATATATACTGAACAAAAATATAAACGCAACATGTAATGTGTTGGTCCCATGTTTCATGAGCTGAAATAAAAGATCGCAGAAATTTTCCATATGCACAGAAAGATTATTTCTCAAAATGTTGTGCACAAATTTGTTTACATCTCTGTTAGTGAGCATTTCTCCTTTGCCACGATAATCCATCCACCTGACAGGTGTGGCATATCAAGGAGCTGATTTAACAGCATGATCATTACACATGTGCACCTTGTGCTGGGGACAATAAAAGGTCACTCTAAATGTAAAGTTTTGTCACACAACACAATGCCACAGATGTCTCAAGTTTTGAGGGAGCGTGCAATTGGTATACTGACTGCAGGAATGTCCACCAGAGCTGTTGTCAGAGAATGTAATGTTAATTTCTCTACCAATGTCGATTTAGAGAATTTGGCAGGACGTCTAACCGGTCTCACAACCGCAGACCACGTGTAACCATGCCAGCCCATGACCTGCACATCCGGCTTCTTCACCTGCGGGATCGTCTGAGACCAGCCACCCGGACAGCTGATGAAACTGAGGAGTATTTCTGTCTGTAATAATGCCCTTTTGTGGGGAAAAACTAATTCTGATTGGCTGGGCCTGGCTCCCCAGTGGATGGGCCTATGCCCTCCCAGGCCGACCCATGGCTGCGCCCCTGCCCAGTCATGTGAAATCCATAGATTAGGGCCTAATTTATTTATTTAAATTGACTGATTTCCTTATATGAACTGTAACTCAGTAAAATCGTTTAAATTGTTGCATGTTGCATTTATATCAGTGAAAGAGCTGTTTGAAAAGACCACCTGAAATTTTTGCCTGTTTTGGTGGGATGGAGTTTTGGCCTGCCTGGTGACATCACCATGCGGTAAATTAGTTAATAGACCAATAAGAAAGAGAGTTCCAAACCTCTCTGCCAATAACAGTTCGTTTTCAGTTTCCCCTCCCCACTCAGGCCACTCCCAGACAGTCCTAGCAAAATTCTTGTTTGAAAAATTGCTCTTTTGCTCATTTGAATTTAAAACAATCAGAGTAAGGTACTTAACATTTACATTATTTAGCAGACGCTCTTATCCAGAGCGACTTACAGGAGCAATTAGGGTTAAGTGCCTTGCTCAAGGGCACATCGACAGATTTTTCACCTAGTCGGCTCGGGGATTAGAACCAGCGACCTTTCGGTTACTGGCACAACGCTCTTAACCACTAAGCTACCTGCCACCCCTTAACTGTTACCCAGAAAATATTTGATATTGCGATAACACAGCTGCATTGGACCTTTAAAAGTGGTAGTTCTTTGAGTTTCACTCCCTGTCTGCTATATAGGCCAGAGTACATCACAGTATCTAGATCAAAGGGAATAGAGGAGATGAAAGATCTGAGACCTAAAGCTGGGAGGGATTTCACATGGGGGCAGGGTGACGCCCGGGTCACAGATATACACTGTGTTTTATCATCACAGATAAACGTAAGCCTTCTCTTATCCTCTCCTGTGGAATAGGGCATATTTGTGGGGAAAAAAGGACAACAAAAGCCACTTTGACAGATAGACAGAGCAGAGCACTGGAACACTGCTGCCCTGCTGTCTCCACCCTGCTTCAGCCTCGGGCACTGCTGTGGTGTACCGTTACTAACATTATAAACACACAGAGACATTTGGGATTCAGTCATATTGCCGGGGTTCAGTCATCTAAAGTCCTCACAGTCACAGATGTATAATATTATGTTAATAGCTAGTTGATTTAAAGTTGATGTATAGTTGACTCACTGACCTGTGCTGACAGTACTGGCCGTAGTGGTTGATCTATAGATAATCTATAGTTGTTCTATAGTTGATGAATAGTTGATGTAGTATGGTTGATCTATAGTTAATGTATGGTTGACAGACTGACCTGTGCTGACAGTACTGTCCGTAGTGGTTGTCTCCACAGTCACAGATGTATCCGTGGGATGAGCTGGGCTTCCTGTGGCACTGGGCATTGTTCTCACACGGGTTCAGCTGGCACGCGTCTTTGCAGCCCTTACCATAGAAACCTACAACACACACATAGTCGTTACAATGGGAACACACACACAGGTGTTACCATGCGAACACACACATAGTCGTTACTATGGGAACACACACATAAACGTTACCATGGGAACACTCATAGTCATTACCATGGGAACACACACAGGCGTTACCACAGGAACACGCACATAGTCATTACCATGGGAACACACACACAGGCGTTAGAAACCTAGAACACACGCACACCTTAATATAAAAAGCAGTCCTTTGAAAATGACCATTTAAGCCTAAAACAAGAGCAAAAGTATTTATGCATACTACACACAAAAAAAGCTTTCACACAAAAGATACATAGACTTTCAAGAACATAGCCCTAACTAAAGAAACCTACAGAATGTGTAGGGCTCTATGGTGTTTTGCTGTTTGTTTTCTATGCACTGATACTGTATCCTTTACGATATCAGTGCATCAAAGAACTCCATATAAAACCACAGTTTCCTAATAGAGCTCTTCTCACATCATTTTTACCAGAGAACCCAGTTGAAAAGAATCTCCCTATAGAACCAGGTGAGTGCTGTGAGCTGTGAACCTCTTTCTGTGAACAGCTCTTAAAAAAGGGCCTCACAAAAAATCCTACGCCTATTACACAATGTCCTTGAATTCACCATATAAGGATATCAGGAAACTGACAAAAACAGAGATGTTGGCCTTGACTGCATAGAAATGTACTCAATTACACTATCCTTGTGCTGACAATCTACTGGAGTCTTAAATCCTACATTTTGGGAAATTATTAACATATATTCTCTGATTATGGAGTGGTGTAGCTTTTCCCCCTAGCCATCTCTGGGTCGATACAACTGCAATCTATCAAAATAAACAAATGTTTATTGCACCTATTTATCCTGTGCATACCCAAACAGGCAAATACACACACATACATTCACACACAAACACACACACTAACCGCCTCACAGCAGCACACTGACAGCAGATGTCCTTGTGTCAGTGCGCTGTCGTGCAGTGCCCTGTATGTGTGTGTGTGTGTGTGCCTGTACAGTATATAGTCTGTGAACAGTGCTGTAAATGTTCTCCTGTGCGGGAGAGAGCCATTAAGCTAATTCAACGGGCGGCGCAGTGCCACTGTACTGCCTTTGTACTGGCATACTCACAGCCAAAGATGAGAGGGAATTATTCAGAGCACTTCTGTGTGGCATTATGAAACTTTGATTCGTCTCCCCCTGACACTTATTGGCCTGTTCTATACTTAATGCTCATTGTGCTAATGAAAGCCATCGCCGTGGTAATGAAGCGCTGCTACACTGTGCTAATAGGGAGAGGTGTTTGTGTTAGATGGTACTGAAGGGATGTCTGAGCCTCTCCATTTCCTCCCCCCCCCCACGGCGCTCATTGCTTCCTCTCTCACTCTCTCCCTCTCTTGTTCTTCATCACACCTTCTCTCAAATGTTCTTTCTCTTTTAAGTCGTCTCACTTTATAGTTTTGTATAATTTGCCGACAGAGGAATTAAATTAGATCCTTTCACGCTCGCTCGCTCGCAAACACACAAACACATTCTCTCTCTTGCAGTATCTTACCTGGTTCGCACAGACAGGTGTGGCGTTCCCAATCATCACTACAACGGCTGTGGGGCGGGCAGGGGGAGGAGACACAGGGGTTGCCAACGCTACAGCCCGTCTCCACTTTGACAGCCTTGGAAGGGCGGGGTAGGGGCGGGGCATCTGGTCGCACCCCCAAACGAACCCCCTGAGAACACAGACGAAATACATGTCAAATAGAGTCTTGTAAGAACATAGACCATTATACCATACATAGCATTCATACTACTAGTATATAAGAGTCCCAGAAAGAATCATGGGCAGTGGTTAAGATACAGTTGCCATGGTGATCGGACACTTACCTGGATGCAGCCCCGTATCCCATTCTGCACCTCCCCCGAGCCCAGGACTCCGCCCACATGAAGGTGTTTCACCTTCAGCCCATGGATCTCATTCCCCACTATCACTGTGCCCTGAGAGAGAGAGAGAGAGAGAGAGAGAGAGAGAGAGAGAGAGAGAGAGAGAGAGAGAGAGAGAGAGAGAGAGAGAGAGAGAGAGAGAGAGAGACTACACTTTTAAACTTTTACAAAAAAATGTCACTTAACAGACGCTCTTATTCAGAATGACAGTCAGTGCTTTCAACTAGATGGAGTTAGAGAAAGAGGGGGAGAAAAGAGTGAATACGTGAGAGAAAAGAACAGAATAGATAGAAAGAGTGACAGACACACAAATATTTGATAGAAAGCAAGTGAAGAGTACAGGAGAGCTCATAAAAGAACACAGAAAGGGTGTGTGTGTGTGTGTGGTGGTACATTGGAGTCAATATTTACAAACACAGGTTTTAATACCAGCAGTAGGTAGACAGGGTATAGCCAGGCAGAGAGCCATTACACTGGCTTTAAGATTGGATGTTGGGATTAACGACCTAAAGGATTACAGGGCCAGATTAGAGGTTATGATTTGCATTGAGACGTCTGCGCTGCAGAGTGATAGGGAGGATCATTGGGTCACGGGTCACTGGTCATTCTGGTCACGGCCTTAATGTGTCCCTCCGGGTAGAAGTCACCCTTAGGCACAGATCAAGGATCAGTCTACCCCTCCCCCAATCAAAACCTAACCCATTAAGAAATCTGATTAAATCTGACTTTAGAACAGTGAGTAGGGACAACGTGGGACTCTCACCTGAAAGAGGCCGAAGTCGAGGCGGACAGTAGCCACGTAGCGCGTCTCCCTCCCGCTGCGGACGTCTCGGAGCTCCAACTGCAGGTCATGCCAGCGCCCGTCGCTCACCTGCACCTGGTCCAGACGCAGACGCACCGGCCGCGTCGACCCCTTGGTCACTGAGAACACCAGCTGTCCACTCACCAGCTGCCATGGCAACACAGATACATTGGTGAATATACAGAGTTACCCACATGTAGATGACTACACACATATTAACATTGCATGGTTTGGAATCCCCCTGCAGGTTGGTATTACTCCAACATAAACTGACCCATTTACAAAGAAGAAAAACAGACACAGATAAACTAGTGCAGGTAAGGCAGCACAGGTGAGTCTCCATGTATGAGTGTAGAGACCTGGAAGACCAGGCTGGTGTACTGTCCGGCCTGTGCCTGCAGCAGGGTGCCATCCCTGGCCCGCGTCCTGAACACCAACCCCAGGTACCAGGGAGTGGAGATGGTCACGTCATTCTTCAGGTCCCACCAGAGGGCACTGTTTCCCAGGAAACGATGTGGGTGGGGCATCACTGTAGGGGGGGCGGGGAGAAGGACTACAGTCAGTGAGGTGTGTGAGTGTGTGTGTTCATATATGTGAGAAAAAGCCTACACGGGATAGGTATTGGGACTTCGATACAGCTATCCCCAGAAGTTACTTTTCATCGAATCAAATCAAATCAATTTTTATTTGTCATATGCGCCGAATACAACAGGTGTAGACCTTAACCAACAATGCAGTTCAAGAAATAGAGTTAAGAAAATATTTACTAAATAAACTAAAGTAAGAAATAAAATAAAAAGTAACACAATAAAATAACAATACTGAGTCAATGTGCAGGGGTACAGGTTAGTCGAGGTAATTTGTACATGTAGGTAGAGGTAAAGTGACTATGCATTGATAATAAACAGCGAGTAGCAGCAGTGTAAAAACAAGGGGGGGGGGGGGGTCAATGTAAATAATGTGGGTGGCCATTTGAATAATTATTCAGCAGTCTTATGGCTTAGGGGTAGAAGCTGTTAAGGAGCCTGTTGGACCTAGACTTGGAGCTCCGGTACCGCTTGCCATGCGGTAGCAGAGAGAACAGTCTATGACTTGGTTGACTGGAGTCTTTGGACAATTTTTGGGCCTTTCACTGACACCGCCTGGTATAGAGGTCCTGGATGGCAGGAAGCTTGGCCCCAGTGATGTACTGGGCCGTACGCACTACCCTCTGTAGCGCCTTACGGTCGGATGCCGAGCAGTTGCCATACCAGGCGGTGATGCAACCGGTCAGAATGCTCTTGATGGTGCAGCTGTAGAACTTTTTGAGGATCTGGGGTCCCATGCCAAATCTTTTCAGTCTCCTGAGGGGGAAAAGGTGTTGTCATGCCCTCTTCACTACTGTCTTGGTGTGTTTGGACCATGATAGTTTGTTGGTGAAGTGGACACCAAGGAACTTGGTCCACTACAGCCCCGTCAATGTGAATGGGGGCGTGTTCGGCCCTCTTTTTCCTGTAGTCCACGATCAGCTCCTTTGTCTTGCTCATGTTGAGGGAGAGGTTGTTGTCCTGGCACCACACTGCCAGGTCTCTATAGGCTATCTCATCGTTGTCGTAATCAGGCCTACCACTGTTGTGTCATCAGCAAACCTAATCATGGTGTTGGAGTCGTGCTTGGCCACGCAGTTGTGGGTGAACAGGGAGTACAGGAGGGGACTAAGCACGCACCCCTGAGGGGCCCCTGTGTTGAGGATCAGCGTGGAAGATGTGTTTTTGCCTACCCTTACCACCTGGGGTTGGCCCATCAGGAAGTCCAGGATCCAGTTGCAGAGGGAGGTGTTTTGTCCCAGGGTCCTTAGCTTAGTGATGAGCTTTGTGGGCACTATGGTGTTGAACGCTAAGGTGTAGTCAATGAACAGCATTCTCACATAGGTGTTCCTTTTGTCCAGGTGGGAAAGGGCAGTGTGGAGTGCGATTGAGATTGCGTCATCTGTGGATCTGTTGGGCCGGTATGCGAATTAGACTGGGTCTAGGGTTTCCGGGATGATGGTGTTGATGGTGTTGATGTGAGCCATGACCAGGCTTTCAAAGCACTTCATGGCTACCGACGTGAGTGCTACAAGGCGGTAGTCATTTAAGGAGGTTACCTTCGCTTTCTTGGGCACATAGTAGATAAGGAGAGCATTTTCGCTAACCCTAACCCTTAATCTTAACCTAATTCCCCTAACCTGCTAGGTTAATTCTCCTAACCTGCTGCGTAAGTTTTCTAAACCTGCTACGAAAAAGTCACTTCCGGTCGTAGCTGTATCGAAGTGGCATGTTTTTAGGGAATCTCGCTAAGTATCAGGGTGTTTCTCACCATGGCTGCAGTCCTTCCCTCCAAAACCTAGGGGGCAGTCACATGAGAAGGTCTCCCAGCTCACTTGGCACGTTCCTCCATTCTGACACGGGTTGGATTTACAGAAGGGCATCTTGGCACTACAGCCTATCAGAACCAGAGAAAACAACCACATTTTAACAAGCTCAACCAAAATGGCAGCTTCCTGTACATCAGAAGTGAATCCTAATTTCCACTTAAGTCAAATGTTCACTTCGTCTCCCAATGACATCAATGCATGACTAAGATAACATTTGGCTTAAGTGAATGTTAGGATTGATTTCACAGTGTGGAACAACCATACAGACCAGGTAGGGTTCCATTGTTAGCGATGTATCCAGCCAGGTCCAAAGGACTGTTGTCGATGTGGAGGTCTTTCATACAGCCGATAAACTCGCGGGTGTGGAAGTGGAAAATTATCAGGCGTGTTGGCACTCCGCCCAAAAACAAGGGACCGTGAGGATCCAGAGATCTGAGAGAGGAAGAGAAAGAGAAGAGAGAGAAAGAGAGAGAGATGAAGAAGAGAAGAAGAAGAGAGAGAAGATAGAGAGAGCGAGAGAGGAGAGAGAGAGAGAAGAGAGAGTGATAGAGAGACTTGCTAGACTCTGCGCGTCTCTCTCGAGTATGAACCGTCTTTTCTCGCTCGCGTTACAGAGCCTCGTCGCCGCTCTCTCTCGATCTCCTCTCTCTCTGCTCTCTCTCTCTCGCGTTCTCGCGCTCTCTCTCTCTCTCTCTCTTTCTTTCTCTCTTCCTCTCTCTCTACTCTCTCTCTCATCTTCTCCCTCTCTCTCTCTCCTCTCTTCCCTCTCCTCTCTCATCCTCCCCCTCGCGCGTCTTCTCCTCACTCTACACGAGGCATCGTAGAATAGACGAAAAAGGCAGATAAGACACATTATTAGAATTTATCCTTTTACTTTCCCCAGAGCTTACAGAGCACAGCAGCAGTGTTGTGGTGACTTGTCAAGTCTAGACAGGGAGAAGAGGCTTAAGTGGCAATGCTGAGCGTTTAACCCTGACACTGACTTGCAATTGACGCCCATGTGTGTGTGTGTGTGTGTGTGTGAGAGGAGAGAAAAGAGAAGAGAGAGAGAAGAGAGAGAGAGAGAGAGAGAGAGAGAGAGAGAGAGAGAGAGAGAGAGACTCACTTCTTGGAGCTGGTCTGCTTGCCCTGAGCAGCACAGCTGTAGTTGCCGAGCTGCGTTCCGAAGCGTAGCGACACGGCCGTGTCACAGTCATCCACACTGACCACCGCCACCTTCTCATCAGACGGACCCTGGGCCTCCCCACTCACACTACGCTTGGGCTGGGGCAAAGATAGGGACAGTGAAATATAACACATACAGAACACACACACAAGCATGTACACCAAAACACCCTGCTGTACTCTTTCCGCTTGTGCTGAAACAAAGAGAGATAGTCATATACAGTACACACACAACTGGGCTGTCGGAGATGACTAAGATGGCGCTGCAGTGGATAGCAGCCGTTTTACGGGCTTCTAACCAATTCTGCTATTTTGTGTGTGTTTTTTTACGCTGATCTTAACTTTTTTTTGTACTCATTGTGTATGTATTCCTTGTGTTATAATTGTGTCTATTATTTTTCTATTTTTCTCTGTGCATTGTTGGGAAAGGCCCGTAAGTGAGCGTTTCAATGTTATTCTACACTAAATTTCGATTTGATTTGATTTGATTTGAGAGAGGGCAGAAAGTTTGACATACAAAGGAACACTGACACTGCACATGGGCTAAGATGGCAGGGGAACTCACAGGGTTGACAAAAAATGGAGGAGTGGAGAAATTTGTAAAAAAATGCATGGTATGTGTAGTAGAGACACACACACACACACACACACACACCACATTGGGACTCACCTTGTTGTAGTAATGGATGTGGACAGTGTGCCAGTTGCCATCGGCTACGCCCCCAGGTAGGAAGGGGCTCACCTGAGTGGACGATTCACCTGGGGACAAAAAGGTCACACTCAAAACCAGGGTTTCACCTACCATTATATAGGTTGGACACACACCACACACACACACAACACACAACAACACACCACACACACCACACACACACACACACACACACACACACACACACCACACACACACACACACAGATAGACACCCACACACACAGATAGACACCCACCTGTGGAGTACTTGAGCACCACCTGGCCCTCTAAGATCTCCAGAGCCAGGAAGTCGTGTTTCTCGTTGAAGCGTCCGTTATAGAAGAGGAGGCCACTGTTCTCCAGGGTGGCAAAGCTGTAACACACCACAACCATGTAAGGGCGCTGTGAGTTATAACCATCCCTCACACATCCACCCCAGTAACCAGCCCAGACCCAAAACCAGACTTTTGTCCACTTGCATGGGTGAAATACTAGGTTTGTTATGTTAACAATGATGATGTGGTGTCAGCCTTTTATCATAGGGTTTTCCCTGGTCTTATATATGTGCTATAAGCTCTACTACAGTGTTCTTAACATATGGTACGGTATAAGACTGAAAGTGTTACTCCACTGCAAGGTTATATGAGTATGTACTAGAATATAGTAGAATATAATAGTAGTATTTAATAAAACATCCATTCCAGTGGACCTCTGAGTCATGGGATTTAGTTACACCTGAGATCAGTACAAAAAAGTACAACATGTATGCACTCACTACAGTAAGTCGCTCTGGATAAGAGCGTCTCCTAAATTAATCAAATGTAAATCACATTTATGACCACTTCACCCTAGCAACCACCCTCTGACCAATCAGAACACGCCAAGGGGCCAGGACAGGTCCCAAGTGGGCCAAAATGACAGATGAACGAAAGAGCAGGAATTGGAGAAAGGTGCTAAAAAGAAAGATTGAAAAGAAAGAGACAGAGAGAAAGATGTTCGGTGCTCACGTGAGAGAGATGGAGAGGTGGAATCTCTGGCGGAGGCCTCGGAACATGATAAAGGACTTGGGGGGGAAGGAGCGTGCGGTGACAGCGCAGTAGGGCCGCTCGTACCCCCCTCCAGGGCACTCACAGCGGAACCCCCCTCCAGACAGCTCCCTGCACATCCCTCCATTCCTACACACCCCAGGGACACAGCGACCCTGACGCCTGTCCCACTCACACCGCTCGCCTGGGAAGGACAGGGCACACAGGTTACTATACATACAGTGCATACACACAATACTGTATAATACAGCACTGATCAATACAAATACAGAAACCTAAAGTGTGCATGGTCCACATAGTATCCTAACTATATGGACCATCCAACAGACTTACACCTAATACACACATAAACAGAACTATTTATTCACGTAATAAACTAGGCATAAACACAAATGGACACACACAAATATTTTTCTTAACAGAACCACAGTACAGCCATAGTAGTCTCAGCTGAAACCCCAGCAAATAAAACACGTATAGTCAGACTCATGTGAGTACAATATCCCAGCTAGAGAGCTAGACTGCTCCAGCTATCCTCACTGACAATGAGCTGGTGCATAAACAGTGTGGGGATGTACTGCCTTCACCCTGCAGACACACTGCTCCTCCAGGCCTCCAGTTTAGAGGCCTGCTGAGGTCCATGGAGACATGCTGATCATGTTAAACCTGCAGGCTAGGCCTTTGTATGGCGGGCCTAATGTTGTCTCAGCGTTGGCACAATGTTTGTTCAGCGTCGAGGCACTACTGTGATGAATGCAGCCACTGGCATGGTTTAAAAACCAACCACTAGCCAGACGATTGTGCTTTGTGGGTGAGACCGCAGAGTGCCCTGGACTTTTCCTCGTGCAAGTACTGTATGTTTCCTTACACACGAATGGGCACACATGCTGACACGCACACAAACTGACTGTCTGTACCCCCCGGTATGATGGGTATGGTGTTAAAACATGCCAGGGTTTTGCGCCTAAAAGCATCAAGAGTTTAAACGGCTTTCACCCCACTTTCCCCCCCTCCTCTCTCCTTTCTATTCCCCCGGACCCCCAGGCAGAAGCACTCACTGCCAGCTGGTCCTGCCAAACACACACCAACACTACAAATCACCCCCAAGAAACATACACACACACACACACACACACCAATTACATTATTTTTCTCTCTCTCTTTCTCGCACGTGTATGCTCACACACAAATGCACGCACGCACACACTGACTCATTAATATTAAAATAAATAAACAGACATTAATAATCATGAATTATTTGTCTGGTGAGACAGACAACAGAACAGAGCTAAGATCAACTCTTTCATCCACCCCGGCAAAGAACAGAATATTCTTTTCACTTCACTTCACTTCACTGATGCTCTCCTATCATTTTCTACTGTACAAATCTGCACTCACTCAACACACTCAAGGCCCACTCAAACAAGATAGAGAGCAGAGATCAGCTTCTACATTCATATTATCTGCAGACGTACATGGATATAGAGCAATTACCGTACAAAAGCTCTCCCTAAGATGGATAGATTGCACTTACGCTCTCCATTCTACTAGTGCCTCTCTAACTCTCTTTACTATGGAAAAACAGAGCACTTTTTCTGTTCTCCTCCCCCTCTCCTCTCCCTCTTTTCTTCTCCCCACGCCGCAGTCCATCCTGACTTCCCCTCTTCCTCTCTTCCTCCCTCGTTCTCTCATCCCTGTTCCTGCACATCCTTAAAACAATCTTCCTATTGGCCTCGATCCGTTTCTCCCTAGCTCTACTTTATATTTCCTTCCTGCGTTCAATTTCCTCTCTTCTCTCTTCCTCATTCTCTCTGTATATCTGTTTTATTTCTCCAGCTAATGCATTCACACCCCTTCATTCATAGGATGTTTTATTCATCAAAGCTGTCGCTCCCCCTACTACCCTTTCTTCGCTCCCACACGGTACCCAGAGGCCATCTCTCTCTCTACCTCCTTCCTTCTCTCTCGCTCTACCTCCTTCCCTCTCACTTTCTCTTTTTCTTTCTCTTCCTCCTTCCCTCAGTCTCTGTCTTTACCTCCTTACTTCCCTATTCTCTCTCTACATCCTTCTTTCTCTCTCTTTCTCTCTCTACATCCTTCTCTTTCCCTCTCTCTGCCTCAGAAGCCTCTTCTCCTTCTTCCTATCTTACCTTCTCTCACTCCCTTTATCTCCTGCTCCATCTCTCCCTCTCTCCTTCATCACTCCATATGGAGCGTTTTTCATACCCCCCCCCCCCCCCCCCCCCCCCCACACACACACACACACACACACATACACACACAAGCAGTGACAACACCCCATTAGCTGTGTAGTCTACCGGTGTAGTCTTCTCTGCAGATACAGGTGTAGCCTCCCTCCCTGCGAGCACAAACCCCTCCGTTGAAACAAGGGTTGGAGTAACACAGGTTGATCTCCGTCTCGCAGTAGTCCCCAGTGAAGCCTGCGGGGCAGCGGCAGCGCAGCCCGGCGATGGGGTGGATGGGCCGGAACAGGACGGAGGGAGAGGAGATGAAGGGAGCAGAGCTGTTGAAGCGAAGCACCGAGATGCACTTCATGTAGTTCTGACATGGCTCCCGCAGACACACGTTGTCATCGAACGGGAGCACCTGTATTACAACACACACACAGATGGTTTCACTTCAGTGGATGGGTGGGAAAGAGAGTGGTGTGGGAGAGAGAGGAGAGAGAGAGAGAGAGAGAGAGAGAGAGAGACTAGAGAGAGAGACGAGAAGAGAAGAGAGATATCGACGCGAGACGCTATCGTACGAGCTCCTAGCCTCCTCTTCTCTCGCTCGCGCCTTCTTCTCGCTCTCGTCGCTTCTCTCTCTTCTCTCTTCCTCTCTCTCTCGCTCTCATCTTTTTCTCTACTCTTCTCTCTCTCCTCTCTCTCTCTCTTCTCTCTCTCGCTCTCTTCTCCCTCTCTCTTCTCCCTTCCTTACAGAGTCATAAGTGGTGGTGGTGTTACAACCTTGTCTTAGCTTACAGTAGGTGCTTACATCTATATGTCTGCTAAATGACGTAAATGTAATGTAATGTGTGTATTAGTGTGTAATGACAAATGTCTATTCGCATATATATATGATATCATATTATATTCCTGACTGATCTGTCTGTTTCTCCTCCTCTCCGTACCTCCATCTGTGCCAGGGAGGTGAGGTGTGGCCGGTTGAGGTAGAGTTGCTCTTCCAGGGCTTCAGAGGGGAAAAAGTTACCCCCGGGCAGCGCCGCAGTGAAACTAACATTCAGTATTCCCCCCGCCTCGCCGTCCGGCTGGATATTGAAAACAAACACGTCCTCCGGAGGGACGGACAGCACCGCCGACACCCCCTCCAGGAAGTGACCAAGCAGAGGGGACAGGAAGTGGTCCTGGGACATGTTTTGAAGGCGCACCGTCACGCTGCTGCTCAACATGTCCTCTGTGATGATGAGCACTCGGAGGATGCACTGGGCCGAGATACTGTGGATACCGTCTGAGAGAGAGGAGGGGAGGGGGGATGGGGAGGAGAGAGAGGGGCATGAGGTCGCAACGTCAATCTCTAGAGATACATATATTTAGTTAGCGTGAGCCGCCGTCTTACAAGTGCATGATCTTGACCATAATCTTCCCCTGCCCCCACTCATACATACAAGTGTGTGCACACGCACGCACACACACACACATGCACACACACACACGCACACACACATACACACACACACACTTAAATTGTCTATCAGTGCAAAGAGCAGTTTTATCCTCCTTTTATCATGATAATTAGACTACTTTTCCTGAGATTGCCCAAAATTATTACTATAAAAGCAATGATGAGAGTACAATATAATCAAAAAAATAAAAATACAATTTGAAACCACAGAAGACCCAAAAAATGAATTGAGTATAATACTACAAGAACAATTACATGCATGTGAATATGAAAACTGCAAGAAATAGATGATAGAAAATAATGAGAGAGTGAGAAAGAGAGACAGACAGAGAGAGAGAGAGCGAGAGAGAAAGAGAGAGAGGGAGAAAGAGAGAGAGAGAGAGAGAGAGAGAGAGAGAGAGAGAGTGAGAGGGTCGGTGGAGCTACTGAGAGAAAAGTAGAGAAAGGAGGCAGAATGAGAATGTTGACACTGTGGGGGGAGGGGTGTGGTGGCAGCTGGTTTGATTACAGGATTATGAGGAGGCTGACTCCCTATTGACCTCACACACACACACACACCACACACACACACACATACACACACATACACACATACATACACATACACACACACCAGACGTTAATAAATGAACAGCCAGAGGGTCGAACAGGATTATAAGAGGAAGGCTTAAACCTAAATTAATTTATCCATGTTCAAGAAATAATATGGGAAAAAACATTGGATATTGGCAACTTTCTCTCATTGTAAAAAGAGAAACTAATTATAAAAACAGAATACAAAATAGGGGATACTGCTCAGGCAAAGGATATTACAATGGCCTCATTGAATAGCTTGCAAAAATGCATTCCTAATTACTCCTGATACCCTTTCTTATTGAAATGAGAAGTATCGTAGTTAAGAGGATAATCGTGTGTGATTTGGCCCCCATTCCTGGCTTCTGTCCAGCAACCAGCTACGTAGCTAACTCAGAAACAGGTACATACAGTGAGCTACAATATAAGCTAATCCAAAACAGTACAATATAACCGAGCTTGCAGCTAGCTAAGTCAGGAGCAGGTAGCCTACAAAGACTACAAAATAATCGCGCCATCAGATAACTAACTTAGGAACTGAATACTGTACATGCAGTTTAATAATATAACCCAGCTAGCAGCTAGTAGCTAACTCACTCAGAAGCAGGTAGCTAAAGAGAGTACAATAAAACCCAGACCTAATGCATAGCCACTGGCCCTCTGAAGCTAAGCTACCGTTCTAGTCTTTAAACTTGTATAACCCTCCCCAAACCATAAATGAAGGTTATTTTAGCATTTTTAAGCACCGAGGGAAAACAGGAGTTTGTAAATAACACTTTGTGGGTTTCGATTTGTTCCTATCCATGTTTTCGTGTCGTGAATCCACACTTCAAACGGAGGAGGGGCGTTTTAGGGCTGGTGGGTTGAGAGGGGCTCTTCCAGGTAGACTTGGCTAATAGAGCTTTTACAGCCTCCTAGACATAAGTAATGCTTCCTTTCCTAAAGCTCAGCTGGAAATAGCAAGCTGCCTGCTGCCTATATCAGTAACTAAACCCTTTTAAAGAGATGGAGCCTTGCCTTGCTTTGCTCCTCCCTCACTTCAGCCTGCGCCTGAACAACTTTAATTTCATGTACACACACAGCTCCCTTTCCCTCCAGTCATATCAGGGGAAACTGAACAGGGGTTGGCCTTTTCAAATGGATGGAAATTATTAAAAGTTAACAACATCAAGTGTAGCGTAAGCACAGTCACCTAGAAAGAAACACACACACAACCAGAAAGGCACGCATCCATAGCCTGCATGCATTCACACTCTTGCACGTGTGAACACAGACACACACACACACACACACTACAGGCAGTGGTCTGACAGATGATTTCCGCGCTCTGTTTGTTTTAAAAGCCCTTCTCCCCCTGAGGTCTGAGCACTCATTACTCTCAGTGCAGAGCGGAATAAACCACACAGTAAAAGGGCTCTCTGTAGGCTTAAATTGCATCTTTACAAGACATTAAACCACACTCACACACACAAACACACACACGTACAGACACACACACAGATGCACGGATGCACACACACACTCACGCTAACACAAAAACGTACACACACACACATTACTCCACCATATTAACAAACACACACATAAGGCATAAGCATAAAAATGCATTGCACTTAGACAGATGCTTAAAGTCTCACTGATCTTAACTACACATTATCCTCCTCAACACTCATTCCTACCCAGATGTACAGATCTATCTACAGATTTGCTAAAATTTCTAAAAACCTGTTTTTTGCTTTGTCATTATGTAGTATTGTGTGTAGATTGATGAGGAAAAACAACAATTTAATCAATTTTAGAATAAGGTCGAAACGTAACAAAATGTGGAAAAAGTCAAGGGGTCTGAATACTTGACAACTACTGTATGTATATAATGAGAAATGACTCATTGACTATACTGTACTTACACACACACAAACACACACACACACATAAAATACGCCTGGACACTCACTACAGGATGTATTTATGTCTGTTGAATAAGTAAAGGATGACGTTGACAGAGGAAAGAGAGGGGGTATTGTACCCTGCTGTCTCTTGGGTTTAATAAAGTGCATTACAGAGGGATTATTTATTGGGAAAATCCTACAACTGGAGTAGGAAGAGAAGGACCTCTTTACGGACACTGTAAACTGTGTAAACTCTTGCCCTTCCATGCATGACCAGTCAAGAACACAATGATGTATGTTGGATGGTAAACAAAGGTGTACAACGCACGTTTTAAAACCCCCTAGAGTCAATCTAAGTAACATAATAAAAAGATCCACATCAAGATCCGTCAGTTTAAGCTAGAGATATCATTGAATGAGTCTCAGTCCACCGCATCCACCTATGTCGCACTTCCGTATCTGTGGTGAAAGGTGTTAGAGCTAGAGTGGTGTTTATCAGACCATGAGACATCCCGGAAATCGGTCTTCTCACAAAAACATCTGTAGCGTCCGAACGGTTTGACATACAAACTATTATGACCACTCTATGGAAAAGTGTCAGGGGACTCGTCTGAAATCAGTACCGTCGATGTGCCTAGTATGTCTACCTCATTTCTACCAGCATGTCACCTGTGAAACTAGAGGTTGAAAATACTCTAGATCACCTTTACTCCCCACACAGAGACGCATACAAAGATCTCCCTCACTCTCCATTTGGCAAATCTAACCATAATTCTATCCTCCTGATTCCTGCTTACAAGCAGAAACTCAAACAGGAAGTACCAGCGAAGCTCTCAATATGGAAGTGGTCCGAATGAAGTGGATGCTAAGCTACAGGACTGTTTCGCTAGCACAGACTGGAATATGTTCTGGGATTCATCCGATGGCATTGAGGAGTTTACCACATCAGTCTCCGGCTTCATTAATAAGTGCATCGACAACGTCGTCCCCACAGTGACTACACGTACGTACGTATCCCAACCAGAATCCATGGATTACAGGCAACATTACCTACAGGCTAGAGCTGCCGCTTTCAAGGAGAGGTACACTAACCCGGACCCGTATAAGAAATCCCGCTACGCCCTCTGATGTCATCAAACAGGACTAAGATCGAATCCTACTACACCGGCTCTGACACTCGTCGGATGAGGTAGGGCTTGCAAACTATCACGGATTACAAAGGGAAACCCAGCCACAAGCTGCCCAGTGACACGAGCCTAGCAGACAAGCCTTCTATGCTCGCTTCTAGGCAAGCAACACTGAACCATGCGTGTGAGCATCAGTTGTTCCAGACGACTCTGTGATCACGCTCTCCGTAGCTGATGTGAGTAAGACCTTTAAACAGGTTAACATTCACAAGGCCACAGGGCCAGATGGATTACCATGCGCTAACCAGCAGCAAGTTTCTTCACTTACATTTTCAACCTCTCCCTGACCCAGTCTGTAATACCCACGTTTCAAGCAGACCACCATAGTCCCTGTGCTCAAGAATGCCAAGGTAACCTATCTAAATGACTATCACCCCTTAGCACTCACATCTGTAGCCATGAAATGCTTTGAAAGGCTGGTCATGGCTCACATCAACGCCATCATCCCTGACACCCTGGATCCTGTCAAATTCTCATACCACCCCACAGATGATGCAAACTACATTGGACTCCACACTGCCCTTTCCCACTTGGACAAAAGGAACACCTGCGTGAGAATGCAGACTACAGCTTAGCGTTCAACACCATAGTGCCCTCCAAGCTCATCACTAAGTTAAGGTCCCTGGGACTGAACACCTCCCTCTGCAACTGGATCCTGGACTTCCTGACGGGCCGCCCCCAGGTGGTGAGGGTAGGCAACAACACAACTGCCACGTTGACCCCTCAACACGGGGACCCCTCAGGGGTGCATGCTTTGTCCCCTCCTGTATTCCCTGTTCACCCACAACTGTATGGCCGCGCACGTCTCCAAAACCATCATTAGGTTTGCCGACACACGACGGTGGTAGGCCTGATAACCAACAACAATGAGACAGCCTATAGGGAGGAGGTCAGAAACAACAACTTCTCCCTCAACGTCAGTAAGAGAAAGGAGCTGATCGTGGAATACAGGAAACGGAGTGCCGAGCACGCCCCCATTCTCATTGGCAGGGCTGTAGTAGAGCGGGTTGAGAGCTTCAAGTTCCTTGGTGTCCACATCACTATGGCTCTATCATGGTTCAAACATACCAACAAAGTCGTGAAGAGGGCACAACAACACCTCTTCCCCCTCAGGAGGCTGAAAAGATTTGGCATGGGCCCTCAGATCCTCAAAAGGTTCTACAGCTTCACCATCGAGAGCATCTTGACTGGTTGCATCACCACTTGGTATGGCAACTGCTTGGCATCTGACTGCAAGGTGCTGCAAAGGGTAGTGTGTATGGCCTAGTACATCACTGGGGCTTAGCTCCCTGCCATCCAGGACCTCTATATCAGGCGGTGTCAGAGGAAGGCCCTAAAAATGGTCAAAGACTCCAGCCAACCAAGCCACAGGACAGTTCTCTCTTCTCCGCAACAGCAATCGGATACCCAATGCCCACCAAGTCTGGAAACCAACAGGGACCCTCGAAACGCTTTCTTTACCCATTAAGCCATAAGACTTCTCTAACAAGACTGGGTAATCAAAATGGCTACCTGGACTAACTGCATTGACCCTTTTTTGCAACTAACACACTAATTTTTTTGCACATATGCTGCTGCTACTGTCTATTAAGTCTATCCTGTTTGCATAAGTCAATTTACCCCTACCTTATATGTACATTACATAGCTCCTCATTACCTCGTACCCCGGCAGATCGAATCGGTAACTGGTACTCCCTCTGTATATAGCATGTATTTCTACTCCCTATGATAGCACATGTTATTTTCCTACCCCTATATATAGCCATGTTATTTCACTCCTGTATATAGCCATGTGTAATTTTCTACTCCCTGGTATAGCCATGGTATTTTCTACTCCCTATATAAGCCATGTTATTTCTACTCCCTGTATATAGCCATGTAATTTTCTACTCCCTGTATATAGCCATGTTATTTTCTACTCCCTATATATAGCCATGTTATTTTCTACTCCCGTATATAGCCATGTTTATTTCTACTCCCTGTATATGCCATGTAATTTTATACTCCCTATATATAGAATGTTATTTTCTACTCCCTATATATAGAAATGTTATTTTCTACTCCCTGTATATAGCCATGTTATTTTTCTACTCCCTATATATAGCCATGTTATTTTCTACTCCCTATGTATAGAATGTTATTTTATACTCCCTGTATATAGCCATGTTATTTTCTACTCCCTATATTAGCCATGTTATTTTCTACTCCTGTATATAGCATGTTATTTCTACTCCCTGTATACAGCCATGTTTATTTTCTACTCCTATATATAGCCATGTATTTTCTACTCCATAATATAGCCATGTTATTTTCTACTCCTCTATAATAGCCATGTTATTTTCTACTCCCTGTATATAGCCATGTTATTTTCTACTCCTATATATAGCCATGTTATTTTCTACTCCTATGTATGAAATGTTATTTTATACTCCTGTATATAGCCCATGTTATTTTCTCCCCTATTATAGCCATGTTATTTTCTACTCCCTATATATACCATGTTATTTTCTAATCCCTGTATATAGCCATGTAACTTTTCTACTCCCATATATAGCCATGACACTTTAACTCCCTATGTAAGAAATGTTTTTTATACTCCCTGTATATAAGGCCATGTTATTTTCTACTCCCTATATATCAGCCATGTTATTTTCTACTCCTGTATATAGCCATGTTATTTTCTACTCCCTATATATAGCCATGTTATTTTCTACTCCCTATATATAGCCATGTTATTTTCTACTCCCTGTATATAGCCATGTAATTTTCTACTCCCTATATATAGCCATGTTATTTTATACTCCCTACATATATAAATGTTATTTTATACTCCCTATATACAGCCACGTTATTTGTACTTGTTATTTCTATTCGTTATTCACTGTGTATTTATTCGTCATTTCACTATTTCTATTTTTATCTTAACTTAAACTTTGAAAATAAGTAAGTACGAATTTCACTGTTAGTCTACACCTGTTGTCTACGAAGCATGTGATAAATACAATTGTATTTTATTTTGACTTGATTTAATGCTCAAATCAAATCTCTATAATTTGCCTTTCTTCTCTAAATCTCTCTGTCTACACCTAATTTATATGTACTGTGCAGACACACACAAACACAGATACACATGCAAGCACTCGCACACGCACACACACACACAAAAGAGGGGAAGTGGTGTTGTGTGTTGGTGCCCCAGGGAAGGAAAGACAGACAGATGGACGGAGACAGATATCAGATGAGTACAGGCCTGGCCTGCTGTCCTGCTGGGATCTTAGACCGACTATATTACATCTTAATCTCCCCTCTCTCTAGTCTTAGTAAAGAGCAGGGAGATAGAGAGAGAGAGCATGAAAGCCAGAGAGAGAGAGAGAGAGAGAGAGAGAGAGAGAGAGAGCAAAGACAGAAGAGAGAGTAGAGAGAGAGAGAGAGAGAGAGAAGAGAGAGAAGAGAGGACGAGATGAGCAGACGAAGAAGAGAGGAGAGAGACGAGAGAGAGAGATGAGAGAGAGAGAGAGAGAGAGAGAGAGAGAGATAGAATGAGGGAGAGAGCGAGAGATGATAGCATCTAAGGGAGAAGAGAGTGGAGGAGAGCCAGCAGGAGAAAGACGAGGCAACACATGATCTGAAGACTGCTCTCAGACTGACTGTATTCATTATAATCTCAAACTCCTGTCCTGAGGAGAGGAGTAGGCAGAGAGCGATCTGAGAGAGGCGAGGTGGAGAATGGAGGAGGGAAGGAGAAACAGAGACTCCATACTGCAGATGGAACATTGAAAGTGACGTACGAGGGAGAAGAGAGATGCAAAACACTCACATGTACTGTACATACGTGCATAACAAGAGAGCGAAAGAGCTTATGATAGACCACACAAACAAAGACACTTATTCATAATCGCACACAAATATGCATTAAGCGGCCACAATGCAATTGGAATAAAAGCTCTGTAAATAGGCTAGCAGGTCACACAAAAAAAACACTGGCCATATAAAAGCTATTTAAACACACTAAAAATGCATGACTGTTGTACAGTTAAATAAATCATAAACCATCATTACCAGGCAGTTTATCATTCCATGTCCCATATCGCCTCTTTCATTTAATTCACTAAATAACATTAATCATGGAACAAGAGCCTAAGTATCTCAAATACCCCTCATTCGCATTTTCTGACAGGCCCTTACCCCACCCTCTCTCTCTCCCACACACACACAAACCAACACCCTCTCTTTCACACACAAATCTCTCTCAACATCCTCTCACACATCCAGCCACACTTTCTCCCTCTGTCTCTCACCTGTGACAGTAATGAGCATGGGGGCCACCAAGGCTCTGTTATTGTCCAGCTTGCGGCTCAGCCGGATCTCCCCGCTGCTGTGGTTGAGCAGTAGCAGGTGCAGGTCGTTTCCCTGGTCAATGGAGTAGTACAGGCGGTCTGACACATCAGGGTCATGGGCCGGCACCCGGCCGATCACCCCACTGGGGAAACTGTTGGAGCGGTTGGACACAAAATTGTTGAAGATGATCTGGAAGTCCTGGAGCTGGGGCCGGTTGTCGTTCTGGTCCACCAGCCGGATGCGCACCGTGGCCCGGCTCACCAGGGGGGCTGAGGTGGCCTGGACCACGATCACGTACTCGGAGCGGGCCTCATAGTCCAGGTCTATGAGGGAGGTGAGCTCCCCGGAGAAGATGTCCATCTGGAAGATCTCAGGGATGTTGCCTTCTACGATCTGATACATGATCTGGGCATTGGCCCCCTCGTCTGGGTCTGTGGCTGTGATCTGGGCCACCACCGACCCCACAGCGCTGTTCTCCTTCACTAGAACCTCAAAGTCGTCCGCCGGGAACACAGGCGCATTGTCGTTGACATCGAGAACCGTCACCTGAATGTGGACGGGCGTCCGCTGTGGAGGCACACCACGGTCCACGGCGTACGCCGTCAGCTCATAGAATGGGACACTCTCGCGGTCCAGACGACGGACCGTGCGTACGATGCCCGATGTGGGCTCTATGGTGAAGTCTCCATCACCGTCCTCCCCATTCTGGAAGGTGTACTGGACGCGGCCATTGGCATGGGCATCTCGGTCCATGGCGGATATCTGTAGGACGCTAGTGAAGGGTGGGGCGTCTTCACTGACAGTGCCCTGGTACCTGGGGCTGAGGAACTGTGGTGCGTTGTCGTTCACATCGTTCACATTCACCTCTACGTAGGTGGTGTCAGACTTCTGTGGGATGCCGTTGTCCCGGGCGGTGATGGCCAGAGTGTAGGTCATTTGGTCCTCGTAGTCCAGCTCGGCTTGCAGGGTGATGGCTCCGCTGGATGGGTCGATGCGGAACTGGGGTATGTTGTCTTCCAGGAAGTAGGTGATGCGAGAGTTCTCGCCAACGTCATCATCCGTGGCGCTGATGACCACGACCGTGCTGCCCGGGGGGCGGTCCTCGTTCACGGTCACCGAGTAGTGAGCACTCTGGAACACGGGCCGGTGCGTGTTGGCGTCCGTGATGTTGACGTGGACCTGGCATGTGTCATGTAGCGTGCGGTCAGAAGCGGTCACAGTCAGAACGTAGCGGCGCTCCTGTTTGTAGTCAAGCGGCAGTGCTAGAGAGATCATCCCCGATCCCCCGGCTGTGCTTATAGCAAAGCGGTTACGGGTGTTGCCCCCCGTGATCTGATAGGTGACCGCGCTGTTGACATCACGGTCGACCGCGGTCACAACGACCACACTGGTGCCCACAGCCGCGTCCTCGTTGAGCCTCACAAAGTACTCTTTCTGCAGGAACTCTGGCCTGTTGTCATTGACGTCCATCACTGTTATAGTCACGCTGGCTGTGGCGGAGAGAGGTTGGATGCCATAGTCTCTGGCCTCCACCCCAAAGAAGAAGTGTTCCACAGACTCCCGGTCGAGGGCCGAACTGACCGTAACCCAGCCGGTTGCAGAGTTAATGACGAAGGGCGTGTCAGGGCTGGTGCCAGTCAGCCTGTACTCCAGACGGGCGTTGTCCCCAGAGTCGGTGTCGATGGCCTGGATGTGGAGGATGGAGCTTCCCACGGGGGCGCTCTCCAGCACTGACGCCTGGAACGGCGTGGACACAAAGATGGGAGGGTTGTCGTTGACGTCGGTCACCTGCACGCTGATGATACCTGTGTTATTGGAGAGCGGCGGCCGGCCGTTGTCCTGGGCTCGGACCCTCAGAGTGTATTCCCTCTCTGCCTCGAAGTCCAGAGGGGCAACTACCTGGATCTCCCCTGTCACACTGTCGATGGAGAACTGGCCCCGGCTGTTCCCACTGATGATGTTGTAGTGGACGGCCGCGTTGCTATCCTTATCATGGTCCGTAGCGCTCACCCTCAGGATCTCAGAGTGGGGCCGGACGTCCTCCCTGACTGCCACCACATAGCGCTTCTCGCTGAACTGGGGCACGTTGTCGTTCTCGTCCAGCACCGTGATGAAGACCTTAACGATGGCCGAGCGCGGCCCGGGCTCCCTTCCCTGGTCGCTGGCCTCCACGTGGAGTGTGTAGCGCTCGTTGGTCTCCCGGTCGACCACGCCCCGCGTGGTGATCAGCCCTGAGCGGGGGTCGATCTCGAATGCGGCCCGGGCGGCAGCAGCGGTGTCTCCTATGAAGCGGTAGCGGATGTTGGCGTTGGACGGGGCATCCAGGTCAGTGGCTCGGAGCTGCAGGATGGGGTAGCCCTCTTCCACGTTCTCCCGGATGGTCTCCCGGTACTCTGTGTGCTCAAAGATGGGCGAGTGGTCATTGCGGTCGGCCACGGTGATTGCCACCATGGTGGTGCCAGAAAGGCGTGGAGAGCCGTGGTCTGACGCCGTAACCCGGAAGTAGTGCAGGTCCATGTGCTCCCTGTCCAGCACCTGGGAGGTGGTGATGAGGCCCGTGTCAGGGTCGATGTGGAAGTAGTCAGTGGATCTGCTGTTCATGAGAGGGGCCATGGTGTAGCTGAGCCTGCCTGCGTCACCTGCGTCTGGGTCGGTGGCTGACATTGGTATGACTGAGGTGCCTGGGGGCTGGTTTTCTGGAACCTGCACTTGGAAGTTATACTGGGAAAAGTGAGGGTGTCTGTTGGCAGCTCGGCGAGCGCGCCCCACCACCAAAACCTCTTTCTCTCTGTCCTTCTCACCTGCATCTTCCACTATCTGCCTTTTCAGACTTCTCTCTCCCCTTGAACTGTGTTTTTCCTCCTCTTCTTCTTCCTGTGTGCTTTCATCCCCCTGCCACACTTTCTCCCCCCCCCCTCTTCCTGCTGCTCCACTCTGTGCCTGTGTGAGGCTGGCCCTCTCCTGACCTTTCTCTCTCTGTCCCTCTGCCTCTACAGTTGCATCTGTCTGGGCTGTAGCTCTCTTTGTTATTCCCTCTGACTCCCACTCTTCCACTTCCTCCCTCCGTGCCACTCTGGCCTGTCTTTCCCCCTCCCCCACCTGTAATTCGCCTCCCCCAGACCCCTCTTCAACCTCACCCCCCATATGTCTCTCTGGCTGACTGACACCTTCCTGTTGTAATGGCACCAGTTTACCGGATTTTAATTGCGGGCGCGTGCCCCCCTGGACAGTAGTTAAGCTGTCGCCAGAGCTGCTGTCAACACACGCAGCGTGGAGCAACTCTTCCGGGACCGAGCCCTGCTGTGTCTGTGAGCATGGTCCACTCAGATCTGCTGACGCCTGTCTACTATTGGCTTCATTACTGTCATCATTCGTCTGAACATTCCCCTCTTTGTTCTCCTTGTTGTTATTGTTGTTCTGGTTGAAATTTCTGATGTTGTTATTATTATTGACGTTGTGAACACTCTCCAAAAAGAATGGCTGAAAGTGGTGAGCCGAATATGCGTGTTTATTTGGAGAAAGCTGGGTAGAAGTTTTCATGGGTGCTGTCCATTGTGCCTGTGGTGCTGAACCTATGTGAAGGGAAGCGGGGGTGTAGAGGAGGCTAGCCCGTGGCCGGGAAGGTGAGTCTGAGTCACTATCCCGTTTAGTCAGATTGAGCTCCATGGAGAATGAGAAGAGGTTTGTGGTAACAAGATCCCTGTGAGTAACACCAGACTTAATTGCCCCAGCCTGTCCAGAGGCTGATATAGTGAGAGCGGTGATGGAAGACAATATAGGCGTGACGATAGCTGACTCATTGTGAGCTGGCTCAGACTGAGGATGAGGAACATTGGCTCGAGCAGCCGAATCTACTGCCTGTATGTCATCATGGAATAAGGAAAACGAGCTAGTAGAGGTAAGTGAATTTCTATTTTCATTACCGGTTCCATTAGATGGCAAACAGAGACTGTCCGTGATATTTGTGGTGGGGGAAAATTGGATGCCGAGATTACTCACTGCTATGCTTCCCCTGGGACCTATAATGTTTGCTGAAAGTCCTCCCCCTACATCCATCCGCTGCAAACCACAACACCTCGTTCTGGGGAGAGACCCCCAGGGTAACCCCTTACTCTCTACCTGGGGTTGAGCGCTTTGTTCTCCGCCTGCCAACACTGATATTCTCTGTGGACGAGCAGCCAGCTCCTTAAGCTTGGTTGTTAGATAAACAGAGGCCAAATCCTTATCCGGATCATTTTTGTTCACGTGTTTGTTGCCTTGTGCCTTCTCTCCCTCCCTCCTCCGGCCCACACCCAATGCATGCCCAGAACTGGGGCTGGCGCGGAGCCTGTCTCGGGCACGGCTGAAGTAACAACCTGTGAGGACCATGGCCCCTTCAGTAATCCTGGGTGACTGGTAACATCTGGCCGCGCTGCCTGCGGTGGCTGAAGTGAGATAGTATGGGTAGGGCCCTTGTGCCCCACTCCTCCACGTTCTCCCAATGGCCTTAGTAAATGAATGATTACAACCATCAGTGGGGAGAGCGATAACATTGTGACTACCCAAATGAGAACAATCACTGGTGGCCACCTCTCTAGCCTTCAAAGCATTATCACCCAAATGAGAGTGAGGAGTGCCCCATGGCAGCGGTCCAGGTGGTTGCTTAGCTGTAGATATGTGCTGTGTTGGGGGAAGTGGCCGGTGGAGGGTCCTTGTATACCTTTCAGAAGCCCCTCTAACATCTCTAGCAATCTCCGATGACTTGGTCGCAGGTCCCCGGTCTTGGCCGCGCACAAAGACTCTCCCTGTGTCGGGTTTGGCGGCCGGCAGACAGGGTGGTGACCGCGCGCAAACTCTAGTCCTTTGTACAAACCTCTTTTTGGCATTTTGAACCAGCGAAGAGAAAACAGGTGAAACAACGCCCCTCTCCCCACCGCTGCTCCTGCTCCTACCTACAGGGTGGGGATGCCTGACTCCATTCCACGGCCTTCTCGCACCTCCTTCTTCCGTGCACAAAGGTTCAAAAGGGTCTCCATGCGCGCATTGCCATATAAAAGGACTCCACACTGGGCATTCTGGTCCCGATGGGAGCCGTCCCGATGGGAGCCATTGTAACGTCCACCTTGGGGCAGATCACCGAACCGCTGCTGCTCGCCAAGACCCCAGCTTCCCTTGGATGGCTCGGTGTCTCAGGGCAGTGTCCCGAGCTCCAACCGCAGGGCCCTGCTAACTTCCCCGGGTTAACCGCGAACAAAGGGCTGAGGAGCAGGTGGAGAAGAAGTGGTGAGAGCAGGCTGGAACCCAGTAGCAGTGCAGCCATTAGTCTGGTAAAATCCTTTCTCCTCTCCCCCTTTCTCCCGCTCACCCCTCTCTCTTTCTCTCTCCCTCTCTCTCTCTCTCTTCGAGTGCGTCTCTCTCGCTCTCTCTTCCGTCGCCGGCTAGGTAGCCAGCTCCAACGGCACTGCCCGACACCTTCCCCCGCGCTCCCCCGTCTTTCCGTGGGCCCGGGAAGTTGGCATTTACTCGCTGTGTTCGGTAGAACTCGGTCTGTCGGCGTCAGGGGTGCAGCATCTCTCCCTTTCATTCATATCCAACATGGCTCTCAGCAGACCCCGGTGGTACTGTCCATCCTCTCGTTACACTCTCCTCCTCTCAACACCCCTCCCCCTCGCTGCTCTCTTCCTCCACCTCCCTCTCTCTCTCTCTCTCTGCTCACAGAAATAGGAGATAATGGTTTATTCCAGCTCGCAGGGCTGTTACACCACCCGTAGCCGCCATATCCACAACTGGAAGGCGACTCGGAACTATATCTCACTCACATTCATATTTTAATAAACCAATCTAAATAAATTAAATTATATATAGGCTATAGCAGAGCATAGTAGCCATGAAGCATATGAAACCTAATTCCATTTTGGTAATAATGAGAAATATTTAGGCTTTATTAAATATGAAATTATAACGCAGAGGGCACTGTCAATTATATTTATTATTGCACATTTTATGTCTCTGTAGCCTAATACATTTTAAAGACAGTTAGGCCTATGTTATATAGCCTACAGAATTAGCTTAATGAATTGAGCCTCTCCATGACGTCATGCTCTGCCTACACATCGATGAGTAATTAGTAGGCTTCCTATTCATTGCTTTTCCTTCGATATGGTCATCACCCTTCACTTATTATTTTAATCAAACATTAATTTATATGGATATGAGCAATATATTTCATTGTATTTACAAAGTGGATTAAAAGTCGTTAATATGGAAATATAATTTTTATTCCAAATTCAGGTAACACAATTCATTCTGATGGTGAATTCTACAACCTAAAATGAAATCCCCACATTTTGGAAATGGCTGAGGGAGGGAAGGCGTGTCTGGCAGCCTTGGCTTGCATCATCGGATGTGTTGTGGCACAAAATAGTTCTGCTATGAAAACCAATCTGTTTCTCTCAGTCTGGCTGTCGCCGCCGCCACGGTTGGAGCTAATCCACGTATGTTGAAATATTCATGCTCCGACCACAGTAATGAAGTGCACAAAAAAACTCAAACGTCTGCGATCTATATGCTCTAGCTCTCTCCGAGCTGAGAACAGTCAGTCATTAGGCGCGAGGAAGCGAGGGGTAGGCAGTCAGCCCTGTTGGGTATCATCGCTCGCCTTGCCTGCACACCAACAATAATAGGTGTGAAAAGTAGGCTAGGTTATATTGGCGAGCCGCCCTCTCCGTGATTAGGACGGATACATGTCGACACGCGCAAAGTCGTCTAGACAATCGGGCTCTTGTACTGAAATAGTGGGATGAAGAAAATCCAAGTAGGCTACATTATAGGCTATGATTCCATGCTTTTCCTACGTTTAATATAAATAATGTATCTGGATATAAACACAAGTTTGTATTAATGGAAAGTGCCTGAAATGTAAAGTGACACCAAAGCAGGGTGCTGTAAAACTTTAGCTGTTCATAATGTAGCCTAAAACCATGAGCCATCAGTCCTATATGTTGAGCATTTCAACCTGGCTCAGGGTCAATATCATTAACTTAGGAAAGAGGGAAGTAATAAAATAAGACGAAAACTTGATGGGATAGATGAGCGTACGAGTAGGCTATGGGAAATTTCAGCATTACAAAACCATGGACAGCGCCCATGTAAACTATGCTGAAAGAAGCCTACATTAGGAAGCCCCGTCGAACACTTCAACCAAAGAACTGTAAGTCTGGGCAGTCCACACCATGAATTTCTTTCCGAGGAGAAATGGCTAAGCTAACAGGGGTCATTTTTAGTAGTGGCGTAACCGACCGCATTACATACAGCACCATGGACAGCGGCGTTCCAAATAGGCCTGCTGCATCACTCGGCCCATTTAGTCTACATATTACCTTTTAAAATATACTTCCTACAGTAATTAGTCAGCTAAATACACTCCACTTGGTTAATGCACGTTTAGGCCTACGCGTGTGCGTGTGTATGTGCACGTGTGCGTTTTAGAATGTATAGACACAGCACCCTTTTCAACATGCGGGTGTGTCCAAATTTAGCTGGTTGGCTCCCCTCCACGCAACGGTGAATCAATAAGCTCTGACTCCTCACTGGGGGTCTCCTAACTACCGCAAGCCGCCATGCAAGACCCTGCTTTTCAACAGTGTGAGTTGCCATGGGAACAGCGAAAGTGGGGGTACTTTTAGCCTCTGGTGGATTATACCCCTCCAAGGGGTTGAGTGTGCCGGGAGGGAGGGGCGGAGTTGAGGCTTTCTTCACTCATTTCGCCTGCCAGTCACATACTCGGTAATTGCACTCCCCCGGCCCCTCTATCCTTGTCTGACCAGGCCCGGTGCCACAGAGTTGCCAGATCCTTCCCCCCTCACTGAAATCCTGAGTGGCAGGTGGTAGCGGAGGCCCGGTGTGCATATGGCCTCGACTGGAAATGATGAGGCAGTAATACATTCATGAGAAGTGACGGAAGTGTGATGGGGACGGACATCGATTGACATGTAGTGTCGTTTGCCAGCCAATCATCTGTTGTCATTTACACCCACAATTTATGCTAGAGGAGGAGGCCAAGGCCCTGGCCGTCCTGCCACTCAGACAGGTTGACACAGAACGCCGCTATCCGGGAAGCCACCCTCCATCCCTCCCCTCTCTTCGTACAAGTCATAATGACATATGGCGACAGCTGCGTGGCATGTGCGGGGTGATTGTGTGAATCTTGCCACAGCTTATAGGGCCTGTGGGTTGTGCGTGATTAATAAGATATGGCAGACTTCATTGACTTGAATAGCCTACCAAACAACCATCAAAAGATAAAGGGCCCTTAGCTCTCCTTGATCTCACAGTTGATTAGTGACCACTCATTTATTCATTGGTCCAGACTCAAGTCCTATTGTAACCTGTTTTCCTATCATGTTCAAGGTGTGTGCTTTCCTTCTGACCTTCAATAGAGTCTAAACCAAAAGGATGATGATGTCATTAATTATTTGGGGAGATTAGCCCTATGTGATTAGGACACAAGGGTCTGTATACCTGTGTTCATTATCTGACAGTTAGTTTATTAGATTCAGACAGGGGCCTAGAGCTTGGCCAATTTGATCATGAAATGACTGATCTGCTTGCTCTACCATCCTATACACAAACACATCAATCCACCATTCTAGGTTCCACAATAAATCTAAACAAATTGGACAGATTTCTCTGTCATATAAACATCTAAAGCAAATAGAATGAAAATCTCTTGATATGATGAAGAGAGAGCAGCAAGATCCCTTATACGTGCACACACACACACACACACACACACACACACACACACACACACACACACACACACACACACACACAGTTATATTCAGGTCACAGAGTTTTGTTTATTAAAAGAGTGGATGAATGAAGGGAGAGTGACAGAGAAAGAGAAATATAGAGAAGTTAATGTTCAGTGTGGGCAAACAAAAGTAAACAAATGTTTTACAGAATGTGTGAGTCTGTGCCAAAGTTAAATTGTGTGCCATGAGTGAGTGTGTGTGTCAAAGAGTTTATAGGCCAGCTGTGTGTTCTCTCTTAGTCAGCCAGTGACCCAAATCACTGAATAAAAGAGAGAGTGAGAGAGCGAGAGAGAGATGGGGGGGGGGGGGGTTGAAGAGTGGGAGAGAAAGAGTGAGTTGACATTTAAAAAAAGAGAATGTGGAAAATGTATGTAGCGCAGAAATAAATATCAAACATTATATATTCCCTACAGTCCCTGAACAGCTTTTATTTATCACCATTGCTCTGTCACTACAACCCCCCCCCCCCCAGCATACTCCCATAGAATGTATCAAATTGCAAATATTCTAATGAATGTGAACATTCAGATAAAACACGGATGTAAAAATGCCTAGAATGAAATCATTCACTATAAGGGAATATTCAGAACATAAATCCACATTGCCATATTACCAATGACAGACAAAATGTAATCCTCAAAATACAACGTAGAAACACAGTCACTGTAATAGATATTTATTTAATTTAACTAGGCAATTCAGTTAAGAACAAATTCTTATTTACAATGACGGCCTACACCTGCCAAACCCGGACGACGCTTGGCCAATTGAGCGCTGCCTTATGGGACTCCCAATCACGGCCGGTTGTGATACAGCCTGGAATTGAACCAGGGGGTCTGTAGTGACGCCTCAAGCACTGAGATGCAGTGCCTTAGACCGCTGCGCCACTCGGGAGCCCTAGATAGACTGAGATCTACACTGAGTGTACAAAAGATTAGGAACACCTTCCTAATATTGAGTTGCACCCCCTTTTTGCCCTCAGAACAGCCTCAATTCATCGGGGTATGGACTCTACAAGGTGTCGAAAGCGTTCCACAGGGTGGTGGACCATTACATTTACATTTTTAGTGATTTAGCAGACGCTTTTATCCAGAGCGACTTACAGTTTTAGTGAGTGCTTACATTTTTCATACTGGCCCCCCGTGGGAATCGAACCCACAACCCTGGCATTGCAAGTGCCACGCTCTACCAACTGAGCTACAGGAGGCCCATGTTGACTCCAATGCTTCCCACAGTTGTGTCAAGTTGGCTGGATGTCCTTTGGGTTGTGGACCATTATTGATACACACAGGAAACTGTTGAGCGTGAAAAACCCAGCAGCGATGCAGTTCTTGACACACTCAAACCGGTGTCCCTGGCACCTACTACCATACCCCGTTCAAAGGCACTTAAATCTTTTGTCTTGCCCATTCACCTTCTGAATGGCACACATACCATGTCTCAGTTGTCTCAAGACTTTAAAATCCTTCTTTAACCTGTCTCCTCCACTTCATCTACACTGATTGAAGTGGATTTAACAAGTGACATCTATAAGGGATCATAGCTTTCACCTGGATTCACCTGGTCAGTCTATGTCATGGAAAGAGCAGGTGTTCATAATGTTTTGTACTCACTGTATATCAGTAGGCTATATGAGATCATGAGATTCTAGAGCACTATAAAGGTGCATTTCCACACCAGTGTGTTGCCAATGTTCATATTAAAAGCTTTAATGTAATTTTTTTGGGGAAACTGTTTTTCCATCAGGAGTGTGACACTAAAGAATCAACAACCTATGCATCAACGAGACAGTTGCTTTGTGAGAAGGTGTTAATCGTGGAAGGTGTTAACCCATGTTCACAGTTAGCCATTGTTACGTAAATGAAAGCTGAAAAGTACCAGTGGCCTGGTCTTGGCCCTAAGTCAGAGCTGGCCATGGCCCAGTGAGACACTGGAGCCGGGCCTTAGAGGTGGAAACACAAAAGTCTGAGCCTTTTTGGTAAAACACTGGGGTAAGTCTCAGGTGGAAAGTTGACATAACTGCCAGGTCTGAGAGCTAGCAGAGCCACGGCGCTATCAGGCTGGATCTACCCCTGACTGGATCACAGTGAAGCTGGATTCACATCAGATGAGATCAGGCTGGATCGAGAATCCCTATCACACTACTGTGGTCTGGGTTGCTTCAGCCTGGCACCTGGCGGCGGCCAGGCCCGGGTCACACTGGATCCATTTCAGAGGGGAATCCGACCAATCCAAATTGGATCAGCAGCAGCTGAATGGCTGGATCTCTATCACTGGGTATTGCAGGTTTCACTATCAGCAGAGGCCTTTATGGGACTTTATTAGCATTAGCTAAAGAAGTGTATTATCCCTATAAGCAGAGCTATTCAACTAGGGTCCTGGAGGGCTAGAACCCAGCAGGGTGTCCTCCCAGCCCCGGCCTCATGCTGACTCTAGATCATTACTGCTGGATGTGCTGATAGTTTGATATAGGAGCTTCCTAACCATGTGGCTGGTTGAGAGGATGGTAGAGAGGATTTTGGAATAAATCAAAGTGCTGTGAGACGGTCAATACCCATGCTGGTACCTCTGCCCTCAGTTGAACAGTGACATGATCTGATCAGCTACAGCATTAAGCAGCCTTCAGCCTATTTTCTTGGCCTGTGAATATGTGAAGAGGGTAAACCTAAGCGCGCACACACATGCACATGCGTCCATAAACATGTCTGAGAGAACAGAATCAGGAAATACATAATTATACACAGTCATAATTAATCATAATGTACTAATTCAGGGAATCATTCAAACAATGGATGGTCTGTCTCATTTGCTTACAATTAGGTATCCTGTACACAGCAATTCAAGTTCAACCAGTTGCCTATTTCGTATTCAACCAGGGTAGCGCGAGGCAGAAAGGAAAGGGAAGACAGAACGAGAGTGGCAGAGAGAGGGATCGAGAGAGGGAGAAAAGGGCTGGATGACAGCTGTTGCATGAGGAGTTTATCTGTTTAAATCTATCCATCTCCGGGCCCCTGCCATCAACCAACCCCCACAAAGTCACACGCTCTCCTCTCACCACACCCTGCACGTTCAAAGACATGCTCAACAGGAGCCACATTCACTTGAAAATAACCTGCTGCGTTATAAAGACACAATTTATATTATCTTTCAGTAGAATCTCTTCCTCACAGTCACCACTCCCTCCGTGTTCAAAGAGGATCTGTGACTCACATAAGAAGCACATTAAGTAGAAAATATCCTGGATGTTCTGACTGATATCAGTCATTGTGTTGTTTGTGTTAGACATCATTTGAGTTGTCTGGCACCGTGACTGTGTCTCTGTCTGCACCTCAGTCTCTGTTAGTCTCCCTCCACCCCCAATATCTCATCCTGTCATTTCCTGGCTTGTTAGGGTATGCCCAGCCACAGTCAGTCAAAGCATTTAAATACCATCAATATCAGTAGCCTAGCCTACTCCTTTGTTTCCTCCTTTTCTCCCATCCTCCTGTACTCTCTCCTGCTCTCTCTCTCTCTCTCTCTGGCAACCACAACGAATCACTCTACTCTCATGGACATCCCTGAACTCATTCATCTGTCTGTTTTCTCCCTCCTTTAAGACAGTAGATTTGCTCATAGAGATGACTGCATGCTCTCCTTTCCCTTTCTGTATCCATCCCTCTGTTTCTGAACTACTTTCATGTTCACATCCCTTTTTATTTCTCTCCTCCCTCTATTGTCTCTGGCCAACCGAGGCCCGAGGGGAGTGATTGACAAGAAGGCAGGGTAGGAGAAGCGAAGAGCTTTGATAGGAGGAGATGCAAAGCAAGGCTGGTGGACTGTCAGGTGGCTAAAATATGTCGGCAGAGCTCCACCCTGTGGATATGTTGGTGTACTGCACAACCCCTGCCTAGTTGTCTTGTCAGACTTCTAGTCAAGACTAACTCATTGGCTGTGGGGAATGGGTACATACACACACACTCATGCACACACATACACAACTTGTTTTCAAACTGTAATAACCAGTCTATTCCCAGAAATGGATTGCATCATAGCATTGAATCATGTTGCACCAGAAATCTACACAGTCAGATCGTAATCTGTGTATGCATTTACTCACAGATATAAAAGAGAATGGTTAATCAACTATGGGAAATCAACTAGGCTTCAGTGCTGTAAACATATGGCCTCTTCCTTCTATTCCCCTACTAGATTGGTAAATAAAACAGATGTTAGAAACAGCTGATTCCCCACATAACGGCAGACAGTGTAACACTGAACGTAGTGTCACACCCTGCAAAACCCTGTCTGCCTCAAGAGGTTTGGTCTGACGTCAGAAAACCTTGTCCCAATCAGAAAGACTCGTTTTACATTGCAAAACATTTTGCTACGGTGTGCCCTAATGAATAGGAGCCATGGCGGCTGTGTTGGGAGGGCAAACAGCTGCAGCCGTGGAGAGCTCCAAGGCCAGCTGTTCCTGTCTCATTATAGGGGGGTCAAAAGGACACCAGTGGAGGGAAAAAATAATCACTCAATTTTACATACAGAGAGCATAGATGATGAGGAGAGGGCTGAACCACCAATTATTCTCTATAGTCGTCAATGTGGGTAAGTTTCTAATTGCGTGGCCCCGGTGTCCATTTTAATTGCCTAGGGTGAACTTGAGCATCCACATCTTTTTATATTAGCGCTATGATGGGGGAAACTATCTGATATGGCCTACAAATGAATTATACTCATAACCAACTATTTCCGTAATCCCCAGGCATTATTCAACCATTTACAGATTTGCCCCGTAACTCATTACACTTAACAAGAACAACAAATAGCTGCACCCGGTGCTGCAATGTGGTACATATCCAAACCTTAACAAACATCTTAACACACACAGCAGCGGGGTCACTGAGGTCAACACTCATTTATTGATCCAAGTTGAAAATATATTGACCCGATGCACCGTTGACAAAAACATTGTGGGAGAGAGAGTGAGAGTCTGTGTGTGAAGCTTGGGTCACGATCAACACACAAACGTACACAATACTAATAGTCCAAGATATGGCACAGAGTGACAATGGTGAACTGGGATCTGGGACAGTACAGTATAGTACTTTGGCACAGGAGAAGTACTGTGGTGGTGGTGGTTTGGTCCATGGCACATATATCATTCCATATACTGTACAGCTGCACTATATGTATAATACTGACACAGCCAGTTCCAGTGAAATATATATAATTTGTATTATTCAAGTAGGAGGGGAAGGGAGAAGGGGAATGTAAAAGGCTCATGGTGGCCAGGAGCAATATCTGGTGATGAGGGCGGGGCAGTGCTTACAGTGTACATGCAGAGTCTGTGTAAATACTGTATCTATGGCTCTAGGGTATTGTTTGTTAGTGGAATAGTGTCTATGGTATCATATAAGGGAAGACTGAAGATGGGTAGATGTTCATTGGTTAAGTGTCTATGGTAGGGGCTGTATCTGTGGTACATCACAGAGATACTGGTGATACGTCTGGGGAGACCAAGACTTCACAAAGGGGTGCAAATGATCTATACGGCTTATTTTATCAACAATAAATAGAGTGGGTACAACACAGGGTGTATGTCACATATACATAAGTATGTGAGGACTACACAGGGTTTAAATTGTGTGTGTGTGTGTGTGTGGGGTGGGGGGGAATAAAAGCCTATTGCTAGCTACAGTACAGTACTACCTTTGGGCAGTAAAAGTGACATTTATATGTGTATTTCATGTAGGGGATAGGCTAGTGATAAGTTACGGCAGTTATTGGGCCTTATATTTGGGGCAGTTCATGGGGCTATAGTTGGAGTATTTGGGGGCATTTGTTGGGGCTATATTCAGGGCTACAGTTGGGTTATTTGGGGGCATTTGTAGGGGCTATATCTGGCGCTACAGTTGGGATATTTGGGGGCATTTGTAGGGGCTATATCTGGCGCTACAGTTGGGGTATTTGGGGGCATTTGTAGGGGCTATATCTGGCGCTACAGTTGGGGTATTTGGGGGCATTTGTAGGGGCTATATTCAGGGCTACAGTTGGGGTATTTGGGGGCATTTGTAGGGGCTATATTCAGGGCTACAGTTGGGGTATTTGGGGGCATTTGTAGGGGCTATATTCAGGGCTACAGTTGGGTTATTTGGGGGCATTTGTAGGGGCTATATCTGGCGCTACAGTTGGGGTATTTGGGGGCATTTGTAGGGGCTATATCTGGCGCTACAGTTGGGGTATTTGGGGGCATTTGTAGGGGCTATATCTGGCGCTACAGTTGGGGTATTTGTGGCTATAGCTGCTGGATGGGAGGAAGGTGAAGAGTATCCAGCGCGCCATGGTAGAGCTCTCTCAGTGCTCTCAACAACTGCAGCCGACAGAACATCTGATTGAAGAGGTGAGGCAATGGCTCCTGTAGAGAAGGGAAGAGAGGGGGAGAGAGAGAGAGAGACAGATTGAGGTTAAACGTTATGGACTGAACTACGTGGGAACTTGAATCAGTTTAAATCCAATCAGCTGTGCTGTCTGCCAGTACAACATGTTTTCAGGCCTGGTATATTCACCCCCCCCCCCCCCCCCCCCCCCCTTGGCATTTTTCCTATTTTGTTGCCTTACAACCTGGAATTAAAATGGATTTTTTAGGGGTTTGTATCATTTGATTTACACAACATGCCTACCACTTTGAAAATGCAAAATATTTTTTATTGTGAAACAAACAAGAAATAAGACAAAAAAACAGAAAACTTAGTGTGAATAACTATTCATCCCCCCAAAGTCAATACTTTGTAGAGCCACCTTTCGCAGCAATTACAGCTGCAAGTCTCTTGGGGTATGTCTCTATAAGCTTGGCACATCTAGCAACTGGGATATTTGCCCATTCTTCAAGGCAAAACTGCTCAAGCTCCTTAAAGTTGGATGGGTTCCGCTGGGATACAGCAATCTTTAAGTCATACCACAGATTCTCAATTGGATTGAGGTCTAGGCTTTGACTAGGCCATTCCAAGACATTTAAATGTTTTCCCTTAAACCACTTGAGTGTTGCTTTAGCAGTATGCTTAGGGTCATTGTCCTGCTGGAAGGTGAACCTCCGTCCCAGTCTCATATCTCTGGAAGACTGAAACGGGTTTCCCTCAAGAATTTCCCTGTATTTAGCACCATCCATCATTCCTTAAATTCTGACCAGTTTCCCAGTCTCTGCCGATGAAAAACATCCCCACAGCATGGTGCTGCCACCACCATGCTTCACTGTGGGGATGGTGTTCTCAGGGTGATGAGAGTTGTTGGGTTTGCGCCAGACATAGCCTTTTCCATGATGGCCAAAAAGCTCATCTGACCAGAGTACCTTCTTCCAAATGTTTGGGGAGTCTCCCACATGCATTTTGGCGAACACCAAACGTGTTTGCTTATTTTTTTCTTTAAGCAATGGCTTTTTTCGGGCCACTCTTCCGTAAAGCCCAGCTCTGTGGAGTGTACGGCTTAAAGTGGTCCTATGGACAGATACTCCGATCTCCGCTGTGGAGCTTTGCAGCTCCTTCAGGGTTATCTTTGGTCTCTTTGTTGCCTCTCTGATTAATGCCCTCCTTGCCTGGTCCGTGAGTTTTGGTGGGCGGCCCTCTCTTGGCAGGTTTGTTGTGGTGCCATATTCTTTCAATTTTTTAATAATGGATTTAATGGTGCTCCGTGGGATGTTCAAAGTTTTCTGATATTTCTTTATAACCCAACCCTGATCTGTACTTCTCCACAACTTTGTCCCTGAACTGTTTGGAGAGCTCCTTGGTCTTCATGGTGCCGCTTGCTTGGTAGTGCCCCTTGCTTAGTGGTGTTGCAGACTCTGGGGCCTTTCAGAACAGGTGTATATATACTGAGATCATGTGACAGATCATGTGACACTTAGATTGCACACAGGTGGACTTTATTTAACTAATTATGTGACTTCTGTGGGTAATTGGTTGCACCAGATCTTATTTAGGGGCTTCATAGCAAAGGGGGTGAATACATATGTACGCACCACTTTTCCGTTATTTACTTTTTATACTTTTTAAAAAAAAGTTATTTTTTACATTTCACTTCACCAATTTGGACTATTTTGTGTATGTCCATTACATGAAATCCAAATAAAAATCCATTTAAATTACAGGTTGTAATGCAACAAAATAGGAAATACTTTTGCAAGGCACTGTATGTGTCAAACAATAGGGGGAAAAACTGAAAGCACGAACCACCTCATTTAACCATGGCAAGGTGACTGGGAATATGGCAGAATACAAACAGTGTCGTTCCTTCCGCAAGGCAATCAAACAGGCAAAACGTCAATATCGAGACAAAGTGGAGTCGCAATTCAACGGCTCAGACACAAGACGTACAGTTGAAGTCGGAAGTTTTCATACACCTTAGCCAAATACATTTAAACTCGGTTTTTTCACAATTCCTGACATTTAATCCTAGTAAAAATGCCCTGTCTTAGGACAGTGAGGATCACCATTATATTTTAAGAATGTGAAATGTCAGAATAATAGTAGAGAGAATGATTTATTTCAGCTTTTATTTATTTCATCACATTCCCATTGGGTCAGAAGTTTACATACACTCAATTAGTATTTGGTAGCATTGCATTTAAAATTGTTAAACTTGGGTCAAATGTTTCGGGTAGCCTTCCACAAGCGTCCCACAATAAGTTGGGTGAACTTTCGCCCATTCCTCCTGACAGAGCTGGTGTAACTAAGTCAGGTTTGTAGGCCTCCTTGCTCGCACACGCTTTTTCAGTTCTGCCCACAAATGTTCTATAGGATTGAGGTCAGGGCTTTGTGATGGCCACTCCAATACCTTGACTTTGTTGTCCTTAAGCCATGTTTGCCACAACTTTGGAAGTATGCTTGGGATCATTGTCCATTTGGAAGACCCATTTGCAACCAAGCTTTAACTTACTGACTGATGTCTTGAAATGTTGCTTCAATATATCCACATAATTTTCCCCTTCCTCATGATGCCATCTACTTTGTGAAGTGCACCAGTCCCTCCTGCAGCAAAGCACCCCCACAGCATGATGCTGCCACCCCCCTGCTTCACGGTTGGGATGGTGTTCTTTGGCTTGCAAGCAGCCCCCTTTTTCCTCCAAACATAACGATGGTCATTATGGCCAAACAGTTCAATTTTTGTTTCATCAGACCAGAGGACATTTCTCCAAAAAGTACGATCTTTGTCCCCATGTGCAGTTGCAAACCGTAGTCTGGCTTTTTTATGGCGATTTTGGAGCAGTGGCTTCTTCCTTGCTGAGCGGCCTTTCAGGTTATGTCGATATAGGACTCGTTTTACTGTGGATATAGATACTTTTGTACCCGTTTCCTCCAGCATCTTCACAAGGTCCTTTGCTGTTGTTCTGGGATTGATTTGCACTTTTCGCACCAAAGTACGTTCATCTCTAGGAGTCAGAATGCGTCTCCTTCCTGAGTGGTATGACGGCTGCGTGGTCCCATGGTGTTTATACTTGCGTACTATTGTTTGTACAGATGAACGTGGTACCTTCAGGCGTTTGGAAATTGCTCCCAAGGATGAACCAGACTTGTGGAGGTCTACAATTTTTTTCTGAGGTCTTGGCTGATTTCTTTTGATTTTCCCATGATGTCAAGCAAAGAGGCACTGAGTTTGGCCTTGAAATACATCTACAGGTACACCTCCAATTGACTCAAATTATGTTAATTAGCCTATCAGAATCTTCTAAAGCCATGACATCATTTTCTGGAATTTTCCAAGATGTTGAAAGGCACAGTCAACTTAGTGTACAGTGGGGGAAAACAGTATTTAGTCAGCCACCAATTGTGCAAGTTCTCCCACTTAAAAAGATGAGAGAGGCCTGTAATTTTCATCATAGGTACACGTCATCTATGACAGACAAATTGAGAATTTTTTTCTCCAGAAAATCACATTGTAGGATTTTTAATGAATTTATTTGCAAATTATGGTGGAAAATAAGTATTTGGTCACCTACAAACAAGCAAGATTTCTGGCTCTCACAGACCTGTAACTTCTTCTTTAAGAGGCTCCTCTGTCCTCCACTCGTTACCTGTATTAATGGCACCTGTTTGAACTTGTTATCAGTATAAAAGACACCTGTCCACAACCTCAAACAGTCACACTCCAAACTCCACTATGGCCAAGACCAAAGAGCTGTCAAAGGACACCAGAAACAAAATTGTAGACATGCACCAGGCTGGGAAGACTGAATCTGCAATAGGTAAGCAGCTTGGTTTGAAGAAATCAACTGTGGGAGCAATTATTAGGAAATGGAAGACATACAAGACCACTGATAATCTCCCTCGATCTGGGGCTCCACGCAAGATCTCACCCCATGGGGTCAAAATGATCACAAGAACGGTGAGGAAAAATCACAGAACCACACAGGGGGACCTAGTGAATGACCTGCAGAGAGCTGGGACCAAAGTAACAAAGCCTACCATCAGTAACACACTACGCCGCCAGGTACTCAAATCCTGCAGTGCCAGACGTGTCCCCCTGCTTAAGCCAGTACATGTCCAGGCCCGTCTGAAGTTTGCTAGAGTGCATTTGGATGATCCAGAAGAGGATTGGGAGAATGTCATATGGTCAGATGAAACCAAAATATAACTTTTTGGTAAAAACTCAACTCGTCGTGTTTGGAGGACAAAGAATGCTGAGTTGCATCCAAAGAACACCATACCTACTGTGAAGCATGGGGGTGGAAACATCATGCTTTGGGGCTGTTTTTCTGCAAAGGGACCAGGCGACTGATCCGTGTAAAGGAAAGAATGAATGGGGCCATGTATCGTGAGATTTTGAGTGAAAACCTCCTTCCATCAGCAAGGGCATTGAGGATGAAACGTGGCTGGGTCTTTCAGCATGACAATGATCCCAAACACACCGAAGGAGTGGCTTCGTAAGAAGCATTTCAAGGTCCTGGAGTGGCCTAGCCAGTCTCCAGATCTCAACCCCATAGAAAATCTTTGGAGGGAGTTGAAAGTCTGTGTTGCCCAGCGACAGCCCCAAAACATCACTGCTCTAGAGGAGATCTGCATGGAGGAATGGGCCAAAATACCAGCAACAGTGTGTGAAAACCTTGTGAAGACTTACAGAAAACGTTTTGACCTGTGTCATTGCCAACAAAGGGTATATAACAAAGTATTGAGAAACTTTTGTTATTGACCAAATACTTATTTTCCACCATAATTGCAAATAAATTCATAAAAAATCCTACAATTTGTTTTTCTGGAATTTTTCTCATTTTGTCTGTCATAGTTGAGTGTACCTATGATGAAAATTCCCAGGCCTCTCTCATCTTTTTAAGTGGGAGAACTTTCACAATTGGTGGCTGACTAAATACTTTTTTTCCCCCCTGTATGCAAACTTCTGACTCACTGGAATTGTGATACAGTGAATTTTAAGTGAAATAATCTGTCTGTAAACAATTGTTGGAAAAATTACTTGTGTCATGCCAAAGTGATGTCCTAACCGACTTGCCAAAATATAGTTTGTTAACAAGAAATGTGTGGAGTGGTTGAAAACAAGTTTTAATGACTCCAACTTAAGTGTATGTAAACTTCCGATTCAACTGTATTTGGGAGGGTTTATAGACAATCACGGGGCTACAATAGGAAAACCAGCCACGTCGCGGACACCGACGTCTTGCTGCCAGACAAGCTAAACAAGTTCTTTGCCCGCTTTGAGGATAACACAGTGCCACCGACGCGGCCAGCTACCAAGGACTGTGGGCTCTCCTTCTCCGTGGCCGACGTGAGTAAGACATTCAAACGTGTTAACCCTCGCAAGTCTGCCGGCCGAGATGGCATTCCTAGCCGCGTCCTCAGAGCATGCGCAGATCAGCTGGCTGGTGTGTTTACGGACATTTTCAGTCTCTCCCTATCCCAGTCTGCTGTCCCCACATGCTTCACGATGGCCATCATTGTTCCTGTACCCAAGAATGCAAAGGTAACTGAACTAAATGACTATCACCCCGTAGGACTCACTTCTGTCATCATGAAGTGCTTTGAGAGACTAGTCAAGGATCATATCACCTCCACCTTACCTGTCACCCTAGACCCACTTCAATTTGCTTACCGCCCCAATAAGTCCACAAATGATGCAATCGCCATCACACTGCACACTGCCCTATCCCATCTGGACAAGAGGAATACCTATGTAAGAATGCTGTTCATTGACTATAGCTCAGCATTCAACACCATAGTACCCTCCAAGCTCATCATTAAGCTTGAGGCCCTGGGTCTCAACCCCGCCCTGTGCAATTGGGTCCTGAACTTCCTGACGGGCCGCCCCAGGTGGTGAAGATAGGAAACAACATCTCCACTTCGCTGATCCTAAACACTGGGGCCCCACAAGGGTGCGTGCTCAGCCCCCAACTCAATCATCAAGTTTGCAGACGACGCAACAGTAGTAGTCTTGATTACCAACAACGATGAGACAGCCTACAGGGAGGAGGTGAGGGCTCTCGGAGTGTGGTGCCAGGAAAATAACCTCTCACTCAACCGCAGGGCTCTCCAGAGGGTGGTGTGGTCTGCACAACGCATCACTGGGGGCAAAACTACCTGCCCTCCAGGACACCTACAGCACCTAATGTCACAGGAAGGCCAAAAGGATCATCTAGGACAACTACCACCCGAGCCACTGCCTGTTCACCCCGCTATCATCCAGAAGGCGAGGTCAGTACAGGTGCATCAAAGCTGGGACCGAGAGACTGAGAAACAGCTTCTATCTCAAGGCCATCAGACTGTTAAACAGCCATCACTAGCACAGAGAGGCTGCTGCCTACATACAGACTTGAAAATCACTGGTCACTATAATAAATGGAACACTAGTCACTTTAATAATGTTTACATACCTTGCATTACCCATCTCATATGTATATACTGTATTCTATTCTATCTATTGCATCTTATCCTATGCCACTCTGACAATGACATTGCTCATCCATATATTTATATATTCTTATTCCATTCCTTTACTTAGATTTGTGTGTATTAGGTTTTTGTTGTGGAATTGTTAGATATTACTTGCTAGATATTGCTGCACTGTCGGAACTAGAAGCACAAGCATTTCGCTACACTCGCAATAACATCTGCTAACCATGTGTATGTGACCAATACATTTTATTTTATTTGATCACACATGCAAACATATATTTAATTCTACATACTGCGAGACACATGCTGTAACAGTGCACTGTCCACTAACTCTAACCTAATTTAACTACCCCCATGCTCAACACAGACAGACAGACATAGCGGTAAAATGACTGAGCGCTTACCCCAAGGACGTGGACTCTGTTGTAATAGGAGCTAAAATCCTTACTGAGGGACACCAAGAACTTGCAGATCTGGGACACACATTGCACACACATTAAACATACATTATATGAGCATTCATTCACCTAGATCAACTAGGGCAGGGACGATACCAGTATCACGATACTCGTTAGTATCGTGGCAAGGAAACAAAACACAAAGTGGATTAAACTTCTTTAGGAAAACAGCCCTAATGTTCGAAACAAACGTCATTATGTTGTCATCCAGTGACATTTATTAATTTTCCAAGCTATAGCAAACAATATGTTACATACAGCAGGTTTTTAAAGGACCAAAGAGTTTGGCCTGCCCTCGTGTTTTCATTTTTGCTATCAACTGATATTTCAATACACTAAAATATATCCTTTTAAACCTCACCTGTTCAGTCTTCAGGTTGACTCTGGCCCCTCCTCCATCACACTCCAACGTCTGTCCTGATTGGTCGAGAAGCTCAGAGAATGGAATGAGGTAATTGAACAGAAGAAGCCACTCCCCCTGTGAAACAGGAAGATAGACACCATGACTGTGTAGAACAGTGTCTAGAGGACCTAAGTAAAAATTAAACACAGATATCTGGGCCCATATTCACAAATTGTCTCAGAGTAGAAGTGCTGATCTAGGTTTAGGTCCCCCCCCGTCCATATAATGATGACCTAAAAGGTCAAACTAATCCTTTATCTGCACACCTACTGTGGGCCTACCTCTTCTTTTAAAGCTGAGAAGTCCAACTGGGAGCCCTCTGGGATTTCAGGGTAAAGTCCTGTGGGAGGCAAATACAGGGGAACTGAACATGCAGCATCAGAATAAATACATAGTACAATTATGTTTATATTGCTTGGTGTGGACTAGTACTCATATACAACATGGTAGTTTGTGGTCTTGTGTGGCTCAGTCGGTACTTGCAACGTCACCGGTTGTGGGTTCGATTCCCGCTGGGGCCACCCACACATAAAATGTATGCACACATGACTAAGTCGCTTTGGATAAAAGCTTCTGCTAAATGGTCTGTCTATTATTATATATTGGTAGTGTTTGCGTATGTACAACCGTGTGGTTCAGTTGGGTGAGGAAGTGCTAGATTGTGGTTGGACTACAAATATACAGTACGTGTTAACAGTGGATAAGCCAGTCACGTCTGCTAAATGACCATAATCGTATGCATCATCATCATGTTGCTGTGCATGTCTCACCCTTCTCCACGCCTCGCTCGTAACTGTCAAAGAGGGTGTGCAGCCGAGCACAGTTGTACATGACGAAGACTCCGCCTCTGGGGCCTTTGGTGGACACACTGCCTTCCCTCTGCACGTCCAGAGTGACCTGTGTTTTAAAACAGTTGCCAGTCAGCTCTGACTCAACACAACACCAGCCAGGCACAAACCCCCTGGAGAGCAAGGTAGGCCAGCACGCTACAGAGCCACACACACATGATTATTGGTGTGCACAACTGTGCACACACACTGCTCCTAAGACTCACCGGGCTCATATGGACCGTTGAGAGCAGCTCAAACCTCACCGTGGCTGAGGTCATGACCTTGATGATGTCATCCCAAGTATGGCCTGGAAAATGATTTGGAGTTGTAATAGAAGTATTAAGTCCAAGGAGAAGAATCACATACCCTAATCATACAAATCAGTGCCATATAATATATGTCTCTGATACACATTAAAAAGGCACACACACGCTACAGACAAATTGAGCACACTCACCTTCGACTTGTTCTCCGTACTTCATCTCTGAGGCTTCCTTCATCTGCACTCTTCTCAGTCTATAGGACAGGGTGAACAAAGACCCGATGAGACACAGACATGCAGTGGCTCGAGGAGATCTGAATAGACTACATTTGAAATCTGAAGATTGCATTTGAGATCTCAAAAGACTACCTTCGAGCAGACGGCGGAGCACAGTGATATACTTAGGTGCTGGGAATAAAGAGAAATCAAATGGATAAAACTAGATGTAGTTCTTACTGAAGGTACTGGGCCGCACTGAGGTGAGTTCCAGGAGTCTTCACTGGTCCACAAACTAGATACCTCTGAGAAACAGAAAGAGGAAAGAGGGAAAACTGGTTCACTCATAATGTATTTGGTTGCAGCCAGGATAGGTTGAGAGACTGTTTTGTGGATGCATAAAGCAATATTGTCAATACCGTCAGATTTTGTTTTACACATTTTTTTATTTACATTTTTAGTAATTTAGCAGACCCTCTTATCCAGAGCAACTTACAATTAGTGCATTCATCTTAAGATAGCTAGGTGAGACAACAATCCATCACAATCGTATTAAGTACATTTTCCCTCAACAAAGTATTTATCAGCAAAGTCAGTGCTAGTAGGAAAAGATGAGTGGCTTTTATCTTTCATTTGCGCCGTGAGAGTTATTTAAAGCTGCGCTATGAAATCAAACCAGCATTTCCTGGTTGCTAAAATTCTAATAGTTCGCCTAATTTCAGTTTAATGTGGCAAAACAAGCAAGTATAGTGTAGAGAATCATTGTACCATCTAAACCGCTGTGAAATATATTTTCCATAACCAAAATTATTGTATTTTCAGCTGTTTGAAGCTGATGTACAAAACCAAAAGTAAAAGACGCAAAAACAAACCTTAAGAACGGGAAGCATAGAAATAGCGCACATAGAACACATCTACTGACAGATCTATAACCCCCCCCCCAAATGAAAGATAAAAGGCACTCATCTTTTCCTACTAGCACTGACTTTGCTGATAAATACTTTGTTACATATTTTAGCTTTAAGATACGCTTCAAAGAGGTAGGGTTTCAGACGTTTTCAGAAGATGGGCAGGGACTCCACTGTCCTTACTTTAGGGGGAAGCTTGTTCCACGATTGGGGTGCCAGGACAGAGAAGATCTTTGACTGGGCTGAGTGGGAGCTGCCCTCCCGTAGGGTTGGGTGGGCCAAGAGAGCAGAGGTGGCAGAACGGATGGCTCAGGTTGGAATGTAGGGTTTGAGCATAACCTGGAGGTAAGGAGGGGCAGTTCCCCTTGCTGTGCCGTAGGCAAGCACCAGGGTCTTGAAGATGATGTGAGTTTCGACGGGAAGCCAGTGGAGTGTGCGGAGGAGCGGGATGACATGCAAAAACTTAGGAAGGTTGAACACCAGGCGGGCTGCGGCATACTGGATAAATTGCATGGGTTTGATGGCACAAGTGGGGAGCCCAGCCAACAGAGATTTGCAGTAGTCTAGACGGGAGATGTCAAATGCCTGGATTAGGACCTGCGCCACTTCCTGTATGAGGAAAGGTCGTACTCTACGGATGTTGTAGAGCATGAACCTGCAGAAGCGAGTCACTGCTTTGACGTTTGCAGAGAACGACAGGGTGTTGTCCAAGGTCACGCCAAGGTTCTTTGCACTCTGGGAAGGGGACACCGTGGCGTTGTCAACCATGATGGAGAGGTGTTGGAGCGGGCAGGCCTTTTCCCGCGAGGGAGAGAGCTACGTTTGCAAGTACTGAGGGGTTTTATTTTATTTTTTTTGATTCACACCAGGTAACCAGTTAACGTTCTCATTTCAACTGCGCTGGCCAAGATGCAAAGGTGTAAAAACACACAGGTTCATATGGGTAAAAAAAAACATAAAGCAGAAACACATACAGTTGTGCCAATGTAGCAGCTTAGCTTAGTGAATATGACATAGTATAACCTGGATCTAGAGTGCGAGATAGTGCAAATAGCAGAAAGGGCGACATCCAGCATGTCTGCCACCTGTCCCACCGGGTGTCAGAAGAGGGGAAGGAGAAGAGTAGTTGAATGTCATCCGCATAGCAATGATAGGAGAGACCATGTGGGAGGATATGACGGAGCCGAGTGACTTGGCATGGAAGAGAGAAGAGGAGAGCGCCTAGAACCGAGCCCTGGGGGATACCAGCAGTGAGAGCACGTGGTGCAGACACAGATCCTCTCCACGCCACCTGGTAAGAGCGACCTGCCAGGTAGGATGTAATCCCAGGATTGGTGCAGAGCCTGAGACGCCCAACCCTGAGAGGGTGGGAAGGAGGATCTATTGGTTCACGGTGTCGAAGGCAACGGATAGATCTAGGAGGATAAGAACAGAAGAGAGAGTGTCAGCTTTGGCAGAGCAGACAGAGAGAAGAGTGGTATCAGTTTAGTGAGCTGCCTTGAAGCTTGACTGGTTAGGGTCAAGAAGATCATTCTGAGAGAGATAACAAGAGAGTCAGAGAGAAAAAAATGAAGAAAAAAACACTGTTTTGGAAAGAAAAGGAGAAGGGATGTCGTTTTTGACGTCAGAGGGGTCGAGTGTTGGTTTCTTGAGGAGAGGAGCGGTTCTGGCCATCTTAAAGTCAGAGGGGAAACAGCCAGTGGTCAGGGATGAGTTGATGAAGGAAGTGAGGAATGGGAGAAGGTCTCCAGAGATGGTCTGGAGAAGGGACGAGGGGATGGGGTCAAGTGGGCAGGTTGTTGGGTGGCCGGACATCACTAGTCGCAGGATTTCATCTGAAGAGAGAGGGGAGAAAGAGGTCAAGACGTACCTAGCTTTGTGTGAGTGGGACCAGTGGGCTCAGTAGTGAAACCTTTTTTTCTAAGTGGTTGAGGGAGGAGGTGGAAGATTAAGGAGGGAGGAGAAAGTGGAGAATAGTTTCCCAGGGTTGGAGGCAGAAGCTTGAAATTTAGAGTGACAGAAACTCTGTAGGCATCGGCAGATCAAATCAAATCAATTTTTATTTGCCACATGCGCCGACTACAGTGAAATGCTTACTTACAAGCCCTTAACCAACAATGCAGTTTTAAGAAAAAAAGTGTTAAGTAAAAAATAGATAAGTAAAAAATAACTAATAACTAAAGAGCAGCAGTAAAATAAAATAACGGTAGGGAGGCTATATACCGGGGGTACCGGTACAGAGTCAATGTGCGGGGGCACCGGTTAGTCGAGGTAATTGAGGAAATATGTACATGTGGGTAGAGTTAAAGTGACTATGCATAGATTATAAACAGAGTAGCAGCAGCGTAAAAGAGGGGGTGGGGGGGATAATGCAAATAGTCCGGGTAGCCATGATTAGATGTTCAGGAGTCTTATGGCTTGGGGGTAGAAAATGTTAAGAAGCCTTTTGGACCTAGACTTGGCGCTCCGGTACCACTTGCCGTGCGGTAGCAGAGAGAACAGTCTATGACTAGGATGGCTGGAGTCTTTGACAATTTTTAGGGCCTTCCTCTGACACTACCTGGTATAGAGGTCCTGTATGGCAGGAAGCTTGGCCCCAGCGATGTACTGGGCCGTACGCACTACCCTCTGTAGTGCCTTGTGGTCGGAGGCTGAGCAGTTGCCATACCAGGCGGTGATGCAACCAGTCAGGATGCTCTCGATGGTGTAGCTGTAGAACTTTTTGAGGATCTGAGGGGGAATAGGCTTTGTCGTGCCCTCTTCACGACTGTCTTGGTGTGTTTGGACCATGATAGTTTGTTGGTGATGTGGACACCAAGGAACTTGAAGCTCTCAACCTGCTCCACTACATCCCCGTCGATGAGAATGGGGGCGTGCTCAGTCCTCTTCTTTTTCTCTTTTATGCTTCTGCTACTCTGTTTATTATCTATATTGACTCTGTACCGGTACCCCCTGTATATAGCCTCCCTACTGTTATTTTATTTTACTGCTGCTCTTTAGTTATTTGCTTTCATTTTATTACTTAACACTTTTTTTATTTTACTGCATTGTTGGTTAAGGGCTTGTAAGTAAGCATTTCACTGTAATGTCTACACCTGTTGAATTCGGCGCATGTGGCAAATAAAATTTGATTTGATTTGGAATCAGGAGGATAGAATTGTGGTCAGATTTGCCAAATGGAGGGCGAGGGAGAGCTTTGTACGCGTCTCTGTGTGTGGAGTAAAGGTGGTCTAGAGTTGTTTTTCCTCTGGTTGCACATTTAACATGCTGGTAGAAATGAGGTAGAACGGATTTAAGTTTCCCTGCATTTAAGTTTCCCGGCCACTAGGAGCGCTGCCTCTGGATTAGCGTTTTCCTGTTTGCTTATGGCCTTATACAGCTCATTGAGTGCAATCTTAGTGACAGCATCGGTTTGTGGTGGTAAATAGACAGCTACGAAAAATATAGAAGAAAACTATTGGTAAATAGTGTGGTCTACAGCTTATCATGAGATACTTCGAGACTTCCTTAGTATTAGATTTTGTGCACCAGCTATTGTTTACAAATATACACAGACCACTATCCCTTGTCTTACCGGAGTCAGCCGTTCTATCCTGCCGATGTAGCGTATATCCCGCTAGCTGTATGTTATCCATGTCGTCGTTCAGCCACGACTCGGTGAAACATAAGATATTACAGTTTTTTATGTCCCGTTGGTGGGATATTCTTGATCTTAGGTCGTCCATTTTGTTTTCCAATGATTGTACGTTGGCTAATAGGATTGATGGAAGAAGCAGATTACTCGCTCGCCGTCGGATCCTTACAAGGCACCCTCAACAGTAAGGACTTGGTACTTGAATCAGTCATCAACATTTTTTATTGGTGCACCCAGTGGTGAAAGTAGATTTAATTTCTTCCCAGTACAGTACTTCCTATGCATACACACGCTTGAATGGGCTTAACAGTAACAACATGTCATTTAACTTTAAAAATCTATTACCTTTTAATGGGGCGTGAACACAACCTTTCCATCTTTGTTTTAATTATTGTGATAGTCTCATGTTTTACCGGTACGCCGTACCGGCACTATTTATTTTGCCGGTACTCCGGACCGCACCGGCTTACTTTCACCCCTGGGTGCACCTCTATTGGTTAGTATGGTGAAGTACAGATCACCATTATGTGGTAGTTAATGTTGTGTCAAACAAACCTGTGTCACTGTTGCACCGCTGGCTCTCCATAGCATCGCTATCTGCTGCTGACGGAACTCATCCTGACAGGAAGTGACATGTACCGCGGTTGCCGTGGATACCTAGGTCAATAAGAGATGTGATAACCAAACATGAGACGTTATTGTAGTACACGGCCATAGATATTTACATTTTAGTCATATAGTAGTACTATAGTAGTACACGGCTAAAGCTTGATGTTTAAAGCGTTGGGGAATAGAAAGCTTGACTCACTGTGCAGTCTGCAGTAGCCCTGTCCAGTTGGGCCAGATGAGACACACTGTCTCTTTGCACTGAGGAAAAATCACATGAATTATGTTACAGACAGTTCTTAAGTCAAATCTATAATAGACTGTTAAGCTATGGAGGTTTTATTTCCCTAGGCTATATTAGTTTCATATCTAAAGGCGTCATATTATAGACTTAGTTCCATATGAGACAATTTCATTGTATTGAACAATTTGACCCTAACATTCTGTCTGTGCCAATTTATGTGTTAATCACAGGTTAGCACATGTTTCAAAACAAATCCCCAGGTCCTAACCTAGGTCAAGGATCAAAGGTCCTTCATGTCTTACCTGTACAGGTGCCCAGGCTGGGGTCATACCCTGGCAGTTGCTCCTCCTGAAACACCCTCTTCAAGTTCACCCTGAGCATCCCCCACTCCTTCTCCCCCTCCATCTTCTTTCCTTCACTCTCTCTCCTTCCTCCATCTGTCTCCTCGCTTTCTTTGTACGGGGAATTTTGTAAAGCCTCCAACATCTTCTCCTCCCTCTCGTCATTGGTCCAGCTGACCGGCACTGACGGCCAATCGACACCAAGTATTCGGAGGAAGACGATAATGTCGCTATCTTCTGGCAGCACAGGGCAGCAGGACACAGTAAACCTGAGAAAAACAGGGATGTTACTAACACTGATATATGATATGGTGATAATGCAACACCCTCTATCTACGCAGTCTATACATATTTAACCAAGCTGGCACATATTGCATGAACATACACAACACGGATACATACAATGTACTGGACAGTGACATAATGTCAGACCAGTTATCAAACCATATCCTAACTCACCCCTGTCTCCTCAGTAGCGCCCCAAAGTGGTCAGTCAGCAGCACAGTGCGTAGTTGCCCCAGCGTGAGTGTGTCGGGGGAGGGTAAATTCGGTTTGGGGTGCAGGGCGGGGCAGTTGAGCACCACACACCCCTGTCTCTGGCTAGGAGGCTTCAGGTACGCCGACACTCCACTCAGGACCTTCTGAAACGCAGCAGTCCGGTTGACCCGCACCCTCAGCCCCTCTCCCATGACCTCCCCCCCAGCCACAGGGAGAACCCCACTCCCTCTCAGGGACAGCACTCTACCCATCACTGCTGGGGGAACCTAGACACAAACACAGAAACACATTACACTTACATACTGTCCATGGATAGCAGACAGTTCTTCTAAAATTCAAAGACATATACACTATCAAACTATCAATCACACAGTCAAAAACAATATTGCAGTAGTAGTAGCCTTCTGCCTTCAGTAATGTAGGCCTAATTTTCCTACTGCATGACTCTGGTAGTGTCCCCAGCTCAGACGTTGCTGACGCATGCCAGATCTTACAATACCTGGATAGGTAATTTATGTATCAGCTAACCACATCTTATGATATAGCAATCTGGTGCCCGATGACGTGGCCACGCAACCATTGGTTGCAACGTCTGAGCAGGGAAGGCAACCAGGCAACTATTTTGGCAGACTTTGCATGCATCAACCAATGGTTGAGTTCCACATCATCGACTGACAGATGCTATGACGTGCTTAGCTGATACATAAAGATGTAAGATCTAGCATGCGTCATCAACGAGATTCCACAGCCACAAAGCCAAAATTGTCTACATCATAAAAATGTATGAAAACAAAAATGTGCTTTTTGGTCTTAATTTAAAGTTAGGCATAACGTTAGCAGTGTAGTTAAGGTTTGGGTTAAGGTTAGGTTGAAAATCACATTTTAAGAAGAGAAATTGTACAAATAGGCGGTGTTTATTACTTTGTGGCTGTGACCTCAGCAACGCCTGAGCGATGCCATGTAAATATCGACTCGCGAGACCCCATGTAAAAACATGGTGCCACATTTTGCTGTGAGTGACCCACATTAGATTTGCCAGTCAGGGGTTAATAATTTTTGCCGCAGGGTTTAAATGTTATGTCGATGAGGACAATGTCAACGGTCTCAAATATGAAAACGTATTAATTTAATTTTGTTCACAATCATCAAGTGGATGTTGTTGAAGATAGGTCGGGGTAAAATAATTAGCCTCCACATCTCTCAAGACTCTTCAACCTGTCAAAAATAAAAGCGTGTGCTGTCAACTGTGTGTGTGTGTGTGTCTGCCTGTCAACCCATGCGTTATAACCAGTGCACCCAACTGCAAACAATTCAAATGAAAAATATATTTGGGTTCAAGATAATAAAATAATAATATTAAGAAGCTAGCTATCTAGCACACCGACCTGTCCGTCTGCATAAAGCGTATTCAGCACCGTAGTGGGTGACAAGAAGTCCCTGTTTTGGAGATTCTTAGCGCTGCTTTCTTTGAACCAAAGCTTCTCCGGCTCACTCGAGATCCTGTCACCGCTACCCAGACCATTAGCATCGGGAACATTTTCAGGCTCTCTCCGTAGAGCGGAGCCCAGAGCTTGGACGGTACGGGTGATAAGAAACCGTGTCTCATCAATGTTCTCCATCACTAACTCACAACCTGATCATCACTTCAACTGAGCTAAACGGTATCGTAATAATTTGTGTTTATGACAGCTAACTTTTCAAATAGACAAACAATTTGTTCCTCTGCTCTAGTCGATCGATCTCGTATTGGCTGTGAATGACTGCATAATAACCACAATGCGGAACTGTAGAGTGCACATTTTGTTTCCCTGAGTGCCGTTTCCTTGTGAAGCAGGGCAAAAGCGCGAGTTTACTGCGCCATATTGTGTGTGGCAGGGTTGGCTGTTTAGCATAATCTATGAAATTCATAGTAAATTAACTTTCATCAACAATGTTGGTTATTTAATGGTGATTCTGCAACTACGGGCACTTCTATGTCCTCGGAGTGATTTTATTTTATTTTAATTATAATAATTTTTATTCTTTATATGTTAAGTTCACACTACAATCACCCCATACTTTTTTAAACACCTCTCTATCAAGTATTTTATACCTCAATTTCACTGTTTTGCCGTTGTCCCTGACCTAGACTTTTGAGCTTCTACTTTATTTTTCTATGAGAAAACATTATATAGTGTGTAATTATTAATGTTATCTACTAGAGAAATAGTAAATGAAATAAAATCTATATCAATATTTATTGTGAGTATGCCCTTTATATTGTTTTTTTTTACACAAAATATACCTGTCCTTTGGTAGTGGTGTCATATCCACCACTGAGGAAAAATTCCTCATTAATAAAGTTTTTCCAAGAGAATGTTAATTTAGTTACTATGGAAACACATGGCTGCAGCGGACAGTTGTTCCAGATGTGATGTCCGGAAGTTGAAGAAAAATCGAGGTAAATAGAGCTCATGTAGAGAATATTTTTATTGTGATTCATTTCCATACAGGCTATAATTTATTTAATTTGTGGTAGAATTTAGAAAAAATTTGTATATTTTATATATTTAGTGTAAACTATATGCTAGCTGTAATACTAGCCAAAGCATGCTAAGCAGCCTTTCATTTTTCTCCAGAAACTGTAGAAGCGTCATTTCCATCACAGTCATTTCCATGACAAACTTAACTGTGGTGGAAAAGACAGAACGTGACGTTTACTTGTAACTTTTTTTTTACTTAAAAAAAACAACTTTAGGCTTATTTAATCAGGTTTTAAATTCATTTAATCTAGAACATGCTCCAAGGTGTGCACAAGTTTGTTTTTAGAAGATACCACATAAAACAGCACAGAGGTCACAGACATATAGAAAAAAATGTATCCTATACGATACCAGGAACATCTGAAAAAAGACAGAGAGAGATACTGGAAGAAAAAAGAGAAGGGAGAAGTGAAATCTATCTCTGAGCTTACAAAGCGAGAACAAAGAAACAAGAGAAGACAATTGAAATGCAACCAACGGAATAGAAGACAGACTTCAAAGAGAACAGTTGCAATGGAGACCTACCTATCAGGCAACACACCACCTCAGTCACCAGATGACTTGCAGCCAGAACATGAGGCCAACATACCTGCCCATAACATACCTGCCCATGATGCACGCCCTAATACCCCTTCCTCATTGTCTGCATACAGAGATATTTACATGACAAATGTCAAACTTGATAATGCTTTACGGAAAGCTGAGAAATACAAATAAAAGGTATGATCGACTGATGAATAAACTGGTGAGACAAAATTCCCCAAAGACAAAGACAAAACAGCAAATGAAGGAAACTCCGGAGAACTTGAGAATGATTATATTTTTTCAAAATGCCATCATTGCAGAGTTAAAGCAAAAGTATTTAAAAAATGCGCAGTGCCAAGGACAAACAAGTGGCTTAAAAAATGCTCAGAGGCATGAGAAAGTATGGCCTGGTCAATGCCGCAAACAGAGAATTTGGATTTTCAGCAAAAGCAATGAGGGCAAATGAAAGCAGGCCATCAAGTCTTCAATACTCAGGAAAAATCAGTGTAAGAGAATTAGCACAGAAGACAAAATCACTAGATTCTATGAACGTGATCACAACAGGAGAGCAACAACAGGGAAAAAGGACACACTAATGAGGAACAAGAAGAAAAAGCAGACGCACTTCTTGAATGGCACAATTCAGAACCTTTATCAGACGTTTAAGAGGGAATATTCAGAGATTCAAATTTCCTACTATGAATTCTTCAAAAGATGCCCCCTTTTTGGGTTGTCAAGCCAACAGTCCAGGATAGGGACACATGCCTCTGCAAAACCCACGCCAACCTCCAGTTCATTGAGGACAAACTACAGTATCACAAAGTGATCCGCTGCAGCAACATTGAGAACCTTATTGAGTCTTTGTGCTGTGAGAACCTGAAGAAAGAGTGCATGTATAGAGAGTGCCCCCTTTGCCAAGCAAAAGAGCTTAAAACATCTGACTTTGATGCTGGTGAGCAGACATGTTGGTTTGAGTGGAAAAACAAAGCTGAAGAGAGAGAGAAGAAAAACAAAGAGGGAAACATGGTGAAGTTCAGTAAAGGAAACGGTGTAGCACACTGCAGATTCTACTGGGGGACTTCTCCAAAGGATTGAAAGAGAAGTTGAGGAAACACGTGTACAACATTCGACACCAATACATAAAACTGAGAGAACTAAAAGAGAATCTGGGGAAAGAGGAGATCATTGTGCATATTTACTTTGCAGAGAACAACCTGTGTAAATACACCAGTGAAATCCAGGCAGTTCACTTTCGTGATTCTCACAAGCAGGTGACCCTCCACACCTGTGTTGGATATACCACAAATGATAGTTTCACTTTGCTCACTGAGCTCGTCTATGCGGCATGACCCTTCTGCTATCTGGGCCCATCTCTCAAAAACACTGGCCTACTTCCTTGAGCTCTGCCCATCAGCTACTGCTGTATACTTTGTGAGTGATGGGCCTACAACCCAGTATAGGTCTAAAAATAATTGATATCTCTCCACCCTTCCCTTTGAAATGGGCTTCCAGAGAGTCACATGGAATTTCCTAGAAACCGGACATGGAAAAGGCCCAGCTGATTGGGTAGGAGCAGCTGTGAAATGAAGAGCAGATGGAATTGTGGCACAAGGCCAGGACCTCCCAAATGGAAGAACTGTATTTGAGGAACTGTCAAAAGATCAGTCAGCTATCAAGCTCTTCTATATCTCAGAGGAGGAGATAGAGAGCATGGAGGCCCTCCTACCGGATCAACTGGAGACAATCCATGGGACAATGAAGATACACCAGGTAATAGTTTATTTTATGTCAAATCTCACATTTGTTATACAAACATATTATCACTACACTATGTGTTACTAGACTATGCTATCATTACATATTTCGAATGTATCTGACTTTCAGAATTTCCTGTGTTTCCAGATTGTTACCGACAGTCCAGGAGAGATAACTTGGAGGATACTCAGTTGCTTCTGTTCCTTTCCACATCACTGCAGCTGTTTCAGCCCACAGACTGGACTCTGGTTGAAAAAACAGAGGCAGACCAAGATGGAATATCCAACACATCTCACAGCGCCTTCCAGCCCGTTGAAGATCTGAGTGAAGCATTGATCAGAAAGTGGTGTGTGCTGGAGTATGATCAGGACGTTTACCCTGGCATCGTGCAAGACTTTCACGCAGAGAGTGGTGCTCTTGTGAAAACCATGAGTCGCGTTGGCCCCAACCACTTTTTTTTGGACGATGAGAGACGACATCATAGGGTACAGACCACAGCATTTGCTTGGACTTGTCCCTGAGCCCCATCCAGTGACCAAAAGGCACATGGAGCTGGATGCGTTGGTCTGGGAGGAACATAGCTCTCGTTCTAAGCCTTAGATACCCCTGGAAACTCAGTGTTTTGCTATTTTACTTTGTCTTATATTAATTAAATGTTTAACAATGGTTGTTGTTCAAAATGTTTGCAATAAAATATTGTTTTAATACGTTTTCTTTTTTTTTTTTTACATAGATGTCATTTCCACCACACCTTGTCATTTCCATCACAACCCATATTTTTGAGGTAAATGAGTATATTATGTATAATTTACAATGATTTATTTGTTTTAAATAGGGAAATCATATGATTGTTATCATAATCTCACAAAAAGGTTGGGTGGGAATATCTTATTTTTCATGATAAATAAATGATTTCAGCTGTCACCAAGGCAAGTTTATATTTTCAGGCATTGTGTTGAATTATTAATATTAGGAAAACCTTAACAATCACTTAAAAGAATATTCAGTACAAGTTCATGTACAAATGTATAAGAAATGTGTTATAAATACATTTTATGATATTTCATTTTAAACTAAAATGGATGTTTGATGACGTGATGGAAATGACATGGCTGTCTGAATTCCTGAATAGTACGATCGCAGCCATTATCAGATATTGTTTCTAGACAAATCAAAGACAATTTTAATTCGGGTAAAATGGTGTTTGAATACGTTTTAATTTCTGAAAGCTTGCAGTACAGGCCCCTTACTTTTTTCAATCTTTACTAACGACATGCCACTGGCAAGTGTGTCTATGTATGCGGATGACTCAACGCTACAACAGCGAGTGAAATCATTGCAACACTTAACAAAGAGCTGCAGTTAGTTTCAGAATGGGTGGCAAGGAATAAGGTAGTCCTAAATATTTCAAAAACTAAAAGCATTGTATTTAGGACAAATCATTCACTAAACCCTAAACCTCAACTAAATATTGTAATAACTAATGTGGAAATTGAGCAAGTTGAGGTGATTAACTGCTTGGAGTAACCCTGTCATTGTAAACTGTCATGGTCAAAACATGTTGATACAACAGTAGCTAAGATGGGGAGAGGTATGTCCATCAAAAAGCGCTGCTCTGCCTTTTTAACAACACTATCAACAAGGCAGGTCCTACAGGCTCTAGTTTTGTCGCACCTGGACTACTGTTCAGTCGTGTGGTCAGGTGCCACGAAGAGGGACCTCGGAAAATTACAATTGGCTCAGAACAGGGCGGCACGGCGGGCCCCTAAATGTACACGGTAAGCTAACATTAATAATATGCATGTAAATCTCTCATGGCTCAAAGGAGAGATTGACTTCATCACTACTTGTTTTAGAAGTGTTGACATACTGAATGCACCGAGGTGTCTGTTTAAACTACTAGCATACAGCTCGGACACCCATGCATACCCCACAAGACATGCCACCAATGGTCTCTTCACAATCCCCAA